CAACTTGCCGATTTACCAATTAGAGATCCAGAAACAATGAGCAATAGCCTCGTTCCAAGGGTCTCAGGGATTCCTGGCGGATTTCATCCAATGCAACTCCGCAAGCTGGACATGGTCGCGAAGGAATTCGCCACGAGGGCCAAGGCTACCTCAAATATTACGGACCTTGACAACGCGATCTTCATTGAGAAGCAGGCTCTCACAGGAATGACTCCAGCATGGGGCCAAGCCTTTGAAACATGCTTGAAATTTGTGGCCGATATGGCATGGGAAAGGTACAGGCTGTCGCAGTCGTTGCCGCATCTGCACGAAAGCATCCGCCACACAACTCGAATCCTGGAGTCCATTCCGGAACACGCTGCGACGAGACAGAAGCATGTCAGGAATCTCATTACATCCCTTGACAGACTGTTAGACGAGAAAGAGAAAAGCTCATGTCAAGCTGATGTGGTGGCTGTGACCAGGGCAACTCTGACAGGGGTTTTTGAAACGGACTCCGACTATCACGAAATTCTTCACATGCTCGGCTCGGGCTTGTTCACCAAGTTTGAAAAAAGCAAAAAGCTTGACGATTTGGACGAGGCCATTGCGGTTGCAAGAATGGCCCTTGAGGCAACGCCATTGCAGCACCCGAAAAAAATAGAAAATCTCAAGAACATAGGATTCGGGTTGAGGCACAGGTTCAGCCTTACCCAAGAAATTGCGGACAATGATGCCGCAATTTCGCACAGCCGAGACGCTTTGGAGATTACGCCAACTGGAGAAGATCGCGAGCTCTTCTTGCAGCACGTTGCGCAAGGGCTTGAAGTCAGATTTCACCTCGTTGGAGCCATAGCGGATTTGGAGAAAGCCATCGGTTTCACAAAGGAACTCATCTCGATTTTGGGAGAACATAACCCCCGAAACGTTCGAAGACTAAATGTTTTGGGAAGGATGTACGCAATGAAATTCGGGAGAACCCAAGCTCTTGAAGATATTGAAAGCGCCATACGCGTAGGAAGATTAATGATCGAGCTGACGCCATATAACGACGAATCTCGTGCAGACAGGCTGCTCAACCTTGCAACGATCCTGAACCATCGGGCCAAATTGGCACAGAATGCCCGGGATCTTGATGAAGCCATTAATCTTGGGCAAGAAGCCCTCGCCATCTCCTCAGACGATCATGAGTATCGATGCGCGCAACTGAATAACGTCGGAAATCTTCTTGGTGAACGATTTCTCATGACGGGTGAATTGGGAGACCTGGACCAATGCATCGAATATATCAGGGATTGCATCGAGGCCACCCCAGCAGTGGATCAAAAGAGACTGAATACAAGGCGGCTCAATCTGGGCGCACGACTCGATCTCCGATTCTCCACAACCAGTCAAGCAGCTGACCGAGACGAGGCAAGATCTTGCTTGCGTACGGTCTTGGGTTCTGAGAAAGCACGGATCACCACGCGGGTATCTGCCGCCCACCATCTTCTGCCAAAGAGATACATGGACCAAGATAAACATGAGGCCTTTTCAGATGCTAAAACTGCAGTTGATCTCATTCCTATATCGGCACCTTTGTCTCTACAGCCTGAAGATAGACAACACTTCTTGACGCGTGTAGTAGGATTTGCATCCGAGGCCGCGGCAATCGCACTCAATGATGACCAGAGCCCCGTCACTGCCATAGAACTCCTGGAAACAGGTCGTGGAGTTCTAGCCAGCTTCTTCCACGATAGGCGTACTGATCTTTCTCTGCTGGAGGGCAAGCATCCTCAACTAGCTCGCTCGTTTATCGAGCTACGAGCCGAGTTAGACAAACCCACATACAATGATGTATTTGGCGAACTGGAGTCGTTTGACGACCCGTCAAGCCAGCTCAGGCTTCCGGACACCGATCAACGTCACAAAGCAAGCATACAAATGGCTGCACTTTTGGTCGACATCCGCACGCAGCCGGGTTTCGACAGGTTTCTGTGTTCTGCAACTGGAAGACAGATGCAAGATGCCGCAGAGGACGGCCCAATCATCATCATCAACATCAGCTCCTGACGGTGTGATGCTCTGATTATAGAGCAGTCTCGGATACACGTCTTGGACCTGCCCGAACTTACCAGAGATGACGTTTTAAGACGCGCAGATGACGTCCGATCGTTCAAAACACTCATATGGCTTTGGGACTCAGTAGTCGGCCCGGTTCTAGACCATCTAAGCTTCTCGAAGCATTGCATCGACTACAGCTGGCCACACGTCATCTGGATTCCTACTGGGCCTCTCGTCCGATTTCCAATGCATGCTGCTGGCTACCACCTGGCTCCAGGCCATAAGACCGCCATGGACAGGGTTATATCCTCATACAGTTCGTCTGTAAAGGCCGTAATGATATCTCGTCAACAACGCTATCATGAATTCGGATCAGATGTCGTATTGATTGGAATGGGAGAAACCCCTGGGCTTCCACACTCAAACCTCCGCCACGCAACAACTGAGATTGACGTGGTTCGTGGTGTTTTCAACTCGACCTCGCTGAATTGCGTGCAGCCTGCTTCTATTAAGAAAGACGTCCTGGCAGCTTTGGAGACCTGCCGCATCTTCCACTTTGCAGGTCACGGAGAGTCGAATCGGCTTGACCCGCTCAAGAGCCACATTCTGCTAGATGATTGGATGACACAACCTTTGACCACTGCGAGTCTTATGGAGAAGGATCTTGCATCTAGCCCACCGTTCCTAGCCTATCTGTCGGCATGCAAGACAAGCGAAAACTCCAACCAGGATCTTGTGGACGAAAACATTCACCTGACAAGTGCATTTCAGCTGTCAGGCTTTCGACATGTGATTGGGACTCTGTGAGAGGTGGACGATGAAATGTCTTCAGAAATAGCGAAATTGACGTACGAGTTTCTGGTCACGAAAGGGATATCAGACGCATCCGTAAGCGGTGGCTTGCATTTCGCTACGAAGAAGCTTCGAGACATCTGGGCGGCGTCCGTAATTGCGGACTTGAAGCAGAGGGAGAAGGCAGACAAAGTCAGAGACGCTGTGCATGATGACGAACAGGAAGGAGATACGTCGCATCACGGAGAGGATCTTAGGTCCATGAGAGATATCAGAAGAACCGAGATCATCTTACCGCTCTGGGTGCCATACATTCATTACGGCCCTTAGACCAGGTTTTTCCGATAGATGGTCGGTCAAATCTGTATGCACTGGTTCCGGAAGCGTCGTGTGACGTTGACTTCTCTCTCAGGCTATATTTTTCTTTATTTCGACACATTATCTGAGCTTCAATATCGCTGGACAGACTGTAATAACATTTGACCAATGCAGTTCGCAATCGAGTTTTGCTATCCGGGTGGATGCTTCTAGCTAACCGGGCGGGTATTGAATATATGACGATAGGGACGATACGAAAATAACGATAATAATGATTATAACGATGACGACGACGACGACGACGACGACGACGACGACGACGACGACGACGACGACGACGACAATGACGATAATAGTATCAATAACGATAACGATTATAATAGGGAAAGAGAGAAGGATAGGAACAGCGACTATTGTAGTAAAGTTTGATCAAGATAAGATAAACTATTAGGATCAATATAGGTAGTTATTCGCCCGGTTAACTAGTAGTATCCTCCCAGATAGCAAGACTCTCACAATATTAGTCGCCAGTCTTCATAATCATTCACTCTTTCAACCTATCATTTGCGATTCTATATTATTCATCCTACTTTTGATCGTGAAATTTCACAACTATCTTGCTATTTTGATAGCCGACGACCTCAGCAGAGAGAAGGTCCTTCACCACCCAGTCAGGCTTTGCTGCAGATACCTGGTCCTCCGAGTGAGTCGTTAGAAGCGCCAAAACCTTGCAACCTGCTGCTTTGGCCGCAATTATGCCCGCTGGACTATCCTCAATAACCAGGGTCTCAGCCGATCTCCCTACCAAGCCAAGCTGCTTTAATGCAAGTTCATAGCATGAAGGATCTGGCTTTCCGTTCTCTACCAGCTCTGCTGTAACAAGGTGATCTGGCACGGGGAGTGACAGTTGCGAGATCCATCTTGAAGCGAGGGGCTCTGATGCCGATGTCACGATAGCCCACGGGTTGTGACCCTGCGCCACAGTCTCAAGAAACTTTCGAGCTCCGGGTATCTCTTCTACCAGATGTCCGTATAGCTCCGGCAACTTTGCTTCAACCTCTTTAACGTCTAATCTCAAGTCAGCCGCCGCTTTTATTAAGAACACACAAAGAGTCTTACACTCCCAGTTCGCCTTGTGAGGCGCCACCAGCTTCAACGTATCAATGCTTCGCCGTCCGTGAGATGTTTCCAAAATAGTCTCAGGTGGAACGCCGATTTCGTTTCCAATTCTGGAGTGCAGTCAGCTTAGGCGACTGCAACCACAGAACTTCGGTATCTTACCTGTGCCAGTGATCAACAATGGCAGAGGTCGTGTCGATGATAGTCCCGTCCATGTCGAACAGAATCACAGCGAAAGAAGCCGTGCCCGCAGGGGCTTCGGCGTCATGCTGGGAGCCCATGGTCGATGCCAAGGTCTCGCAATGAAAGCTTGAACTAGCTTGTGGTTAAAGAACGTAGGATTCCTGATAAGATATCTCCTATACAGCAAAAATACTTGTGAAAATGATAGCAGTGTGAAATCCTGACGTCGTATTTTAAGAAGCAGGAGAAATTGACTGTGCAGCTGCACCAGGTTACACATGGCTCGGATTTACCGAATGGGGAAGGTGGGGCAAGGGTTGGCTGCACTTCGCTTCCTAGCATGTGTTTCCCAACTTGGCCAAATAGATCTCTTAGAACAAGATTTATCTCAGTATGGGCGTTGATCTTGAAACTTTACATATTCCTTACTATTTGACAATACTAAGCAGACTCTCCTATTGAAATTTTTCTATACATCTTGAGAATTCCCCGCCTTGTGTCAATATCTGACCACGTTTCCGAATCCTAAATGACTGCCTTTCTACTATCCCATGGTGAACCGATAATTAGCTTCCTTCTTCCGGTATCGAGTATCGGTTTACAATGCCACCATCGCTCAACTGAACAACCTCATTCTTTTCTTCGTCCAAATCTTCATCCTCGCTTGAGTGGTTGCCTCTTGTGGTTTTGGCCGCGACCTCTCGTCTCTTGCGTTCCAGCGCCGCAAGGGTCACACCGGTGCCCCTGAAGTAGTGAGACATCTCCTGCAGCTTTTTGCAGAGATATTCAACATCTGTGCTACTAACCAGAGAAAACAAGTCTTGGGGCCGATTCTGGTTAGACTGCTGTTCCTCCAGGATTGTAGATGCCGCGACGAACAAGCCCTGATTGATGAACGGAACAGAAAGATACCCGGTTTTGTCGATGAGCTCAGCAGTGTTGAGCATTTGAACAATCTTTTGGCATGCCACCAACACCGCCTGTGGCTGGGGTGAGTTACCCGTACCTTCTGGTGAATGCTTTCTCGACAGGAGGATTGTGAAAGTGTAAAAGTAGACATGAAGCATCAAGAACTGTCCCGCCTGCCTACACAGGCTGGCAGCTTTGTAGTTGTCGATGCTAAAAGCCAGATCTGGAGGAAGGGAAGGGTACAAGTTCATGATCTGATCTCTGACCTTTTCCAACTTGGATCTTTGAGATGATTCATTTGAAGAAGTGGAGACGTCAGCCTGCTCTTCACTCCGTGTCTGGTTCAGAAGCTCAACTGCTTCTGAATAGAGCAGCATAAACCGGGCTATCTCGGGGAATATCTTGTTCTTCATTGACACGTGCTCCTGAAAGTCCAGCTGCGCGGCTTTCATGTCGTCTGTTGTTGGGATTGGCACTTCGACCTCTGAGCGCTTCAGAGTGGGTGGTCTGCCAGTAAGCAGGGATACAAACACATCCAAGAAGAACACCGTCCAAAACAGGATCAGTTTGGATTTAGCTTGGTGCAGTTTGGACATCTCATCGCTAAGAAGACCTTTGCCGTCAGGACTGAGAGGCGAACGATCCCAGAAAGCGACGCTGGAAGGGTTTGCTTCTTTCTCAGGACATCGATGTAGCCCCATATCCTGAGCCATTCGGATGGCCATACCAGAGAGCATCCATAGTCCTAAGGTTCTTGTCAGCCTTTGATCTTTGTCTCGCATTGATACCAGAGACACTTTGCTCACCAGCTTCGTTGTTGTCCCCGAATTCCGCCCAAGCTAAGATCAAGATTCCAGACACAATGTCTGTGGTGGGTATGGCTAGAAGTGTAACAAGCTGCTCTTTGGCACGCTTCAGAAAATAGGTCCCATTTCGCCATGGACTGTCTGAGCCTATATCCACTGTGCCCGGCGACAATTCAACGGGACAAAACCTCATCGTCAAAGCTGCGATGGCGTTCATCAACAAACTAGACGCCTGTCCTGAGCGAACATGACCATCCAGAATCTTGGGCTCAACGAATGGGAAGTAGCAAGCCAGCCGATTGAAGAATACCTCGGCTATTTGACGAATACCTTCCAAAGGTAGATCATAGGGCGAGTCGTCAGACATTGGCGTACCTGGTGACGGATGCGTTGCTTTCACCCTTCGAGAGTACAACGTCATCGAAGTTCCAGGGCGGCTACTGGCATCGGATTCACCACTCCCTTCTGGAGATCGAGTGTTGACGGCAATAGAGAGCTTTCTCAGTCCGGGCAGAACAGCAGTGGGCCCGAATCGTCGATACAGCCTTAGGCGCATCGCTTTGGCTGGAGGCCTAGGCGTTGCTGCGGGATCGTCTGACTGTCGGTCGGCGAGAATATTATCCCAGTTGATGTTGCTGACGTTTTCCATTCCATCGAAATCGAGCACCAAATCTTGAATTTCCGACCAGTCATATGACATATCCATGTTGTCAAATGAAAATAATTCCCTGGATGGAGGCTGAATTTCTGAGTGCACTTCGGATGGCTCCTTATTTGCCCTGATGCCCAACTCAGGCACGCCGACATGAATGCTGTTGAAATTCCCCGGCATTTGTGCGCTCTTTTCTCCTGGATGTACGCTGAGATCCTCACCTCCTGAAGGTTGGCTTGCCGCCCTGTTGTGAAGATGAGATTCCTCTGAAGCAGGCTGCTGGCCGTCCCCGATGACCATGATGCTTTCCATGGGTAGCGTTCCGGTTTTTCGCGATGCATCATTTGTGCTTTGCACCTTGCGCCTTTTTCTCTTGTCGACTGTGTCCCAGCGACACTCAATATCCGCTTGCTGGCATGCCTGACACCGTGGGGGCTGGGATTGCTCTCCCAGTGTGGAAGATCCTTCTTGACCAACGGACACATGGCATTTCACCTTCCTAGACCGACATGTCTGGCAGGCTGTTGATGGAAGCCCGGATCTTCGCCGAATATGTTCATTGCGAGTGCTGGAACTGAAGTCGTCGACAGTAGACACGCGAAATGAGCCGATTTTGCTTTTGCGGACGGGCGATGGCTGAGCACCTTCTGATGCGGGCTCGCTGGGTAACATGGTGGCTTATTTTGGCATGTTCAACTCGTCAAACATTTTGCAGGATGCTGAGGGAGCAAGGCGACCGGACTCTCCGTTGCATGTTTGCGTAAAAACGATCGTGACGTGGAATTACGGCGGGGCGAAGTAAGTCGGCGCCGTCGCAGAGCTGCGAGTCACGTGTCAGCTCTACACTCGTTTTCGCTGCTTATTCGCACTACCTTGACCGCATAATGACTGCTACTAGCAAAAGTAGTATGGACATTTGACCATACGTAGTTCGTGGTGGTCACATGCATGTTTGACGCTTATGAATTTGCTAAGAATTTCTTCAAATCGTGCTTGGTGCTAGTGATGCTCGTACTATGCTGGAAGAACTGCTCAATGTTCTGGAACATGACAAGGTCTCCATAAATGTTTGTACAGAGAATTACAAAGCTTTTCTGTCTACAGAATGTCCAGCGGAATGGGGCGAACCTGACTGCCCTAAGCATTGTTCGCTATTTTGCTTTGTTGCGCTCGGAGTTACTGCATTGGGATGCCCGAGAGCTAAAAAGGTATTCCCGAGAGTCCCAGCTGATGAGGTCCCATGCCCCAAGAACTGAATCTCAATGCTTCAGATGGCCCCTCAAGTCGAGCCCATGGAAGATTTTGAAAGCAGATTGACTGGTTATCAGTGTGATTTCCCATGCACTTAGTTTGTACGTGAAAACGAAAATGTCGGCTAGAGCTTCGAGTCTTTTTCTGTAGTCAGCCTCGAGCCACTACATACGGTGTACCGCAGAACGTACCTTAGAGACCCTCACCATAATCCACGTGAATATTGATCGCGTCAAGAGGACCACTATCATCAATTTGAGATATTCCAGATAGGGTTTCTGGTTCCTCCCTCTTCCCCTTGTCGTCCATCACCCACGAAACGGTAACGGGGCTGATGTGATGGATGTTCTCAACGAAAGTGATGCAGCTTTCCGATCGGAGGTTTTTCCAGATTCGCTCGGTAACTGCGAAGACAATTGTGGCAGAACGTGAAGTGGATCTTTTGGGGAGTGTCAGATATCCGCGGGGCTTCACAACCCACTCCCCGAGAGCTCGAACAACGTCTTCGTTTACGTCTTGGAGGGTGACTTTCGCATACACTCCCCCTCGCGCTGTAATGGGACGTTCTTCGCCAAATTCGGTGTCTTCATGTGCGCGGTTAAGCAAGTCTGCGAACTCCCTGCAGCGGATACCAGCTGCCTCCTGGGCGGTTGTTGACTTTGCTTTGGAAGCCATCGCTTCTGTCTGGAATCTGAAGGAAATCGGATGTTGATCAGATGTAAAAGAAAGATGGTGGTATGCTGTTTCAACCATTTGAATACTTATTATACTTTTTCGTACATGTCTCTGACTATATTAAGAGTACAAGGGTTGCAAAAGACCTTTTTGCCAACCGCAAAGAGGTCTGAGAGGCATCTTCACGGCTTTTTGACTTTTAGGAACTATCCAGGTCGCAAGTTCACCAAGGTCATTCCCGCATAGCGCAGAGTAATGACTGACCTAGCTCTCAATTGTTCTGAGGCAATCCGTTCATGACGGAGCTCAATAACCATAGCAACAGCCTTGACGATAAGCAATGGGTACGAAATGGCATATTCTTTTATGAGTTAATTTAATATACAGGCTTGATTTGATTGTAATGCTGTCGTCAAAACCGCGTTGTGGCATATCCGATTTACCCGGATGGGCCAGAGGTTCAAGCCACTCCACTCGTAAGGTTAGACACATCCACCGCCACCTTTGCTGTTGCAGCAGTTGGCAAAAACGGCAGCAGCTTTGTTGCTCAAAGGGCAGGAAGTGCTGCTCCACTGAGCACCGGCCTGGGCACAGCATGCCATGCCGGCCATAGCATAGCGCTGCTACCTGGAAGCCCGTCGCATGAACACCAGAACGCCTGTCTACCGAAATTGGGAAGAACAGTTCCGGCGGCAACCACGACGGTTCCTACAACGAGAAGAATGGCAAAGAGCCGTGGGAGCCTCATGACGTCTATCAAAAGGGGACTAGTGGGTGGGCCATCAAGGTTGAGTCATAGTGTGGTCAGCCTTACCAACGGGTAATTCGGGAAGGTGACTCAAGAGAGACTTGGTGGACTGGAGGAGTCGTCTGAAAAGGAGTGGACTCTGTCTGTTGGACTGCGAAAAAGATGTGACAATCAAAAGGTGTGAAAACTGTTGCGAGTGAGTCATTGAGGGTGTCCGAAAGGTGTGTAGCAAACCGGAAAACATGTCTGTTTAGGTATTCGAAGTTACTACTTATCATGGTAGTGCTCAGGAAAGGGAAATCCTTATGCCGTGAAGAATAGGGGCCAAGGACTGATGTTGAAGACATACATGCAATCATGATGCCTAGTTCTCCGTATGTTGAGTTGATTTCCTCAGATCCTCTACAATGGGACGAGACTGAAGTATTGGATTGAATGCCTGTGACTGTTACCACAACCGCGGTGAGAATGGCATATGATTTACATGATTATAATTGCGCAAGATCCATCGATCCTGTAGGAGGCGTTCCCCAGCCTGTGGGGTTGGGAAAGCTGACCCGAAATCATGACAGGATGCATTTGTCGTTGTGTCAACCGGTGTGGGAGGCCACTCAAAGATAAATCAGATCATGAGGTTTCATGAAATTAATAGACGTGATTTTAGAGGTGCTTAGAGACACTTTCCATCGCTCCTATCGTGCAAACATCATTTAGCCAGAAACGTTGATAAATTGAGAGCTTATTTAAGTATCACGCCGCCCAGTTCCGCTTAGTGTACTCTAAAGGGAAGGTTCCTTCAGGATTCGTTTTCATCCTGGAATCACCCCGAAACACCATCTGAATGATTCAATTAAATGCGCGACCGAACCCATTCTTCGATGTAAATTGACATTCCCTCTGCCATGAGGGAGATAGTTTGCTATTGCATGGCGCCCTAGTTCCCCAGCTATGAAAGTTTCAGTTTCTGCGCTTAGTGATTTTCAACCGACGAGAAAGATGCTGTAAAAGTGTCGCTAACCGGGCGCTATTCGGGCACATACCTCGGGCTAGCTTACTGGGCGGACTTTTGCTGATATCTTATATCTGTACAGTAGCTTGATAGCTATTACTGCCATCGCTTTCGTCATCGTCGTCGTCGTCGTCGTTGTTGTTATTGTCCTTGTCGATCTATATTCGTCTTCTATCCTGCCACCCTATCCGCCCGCCGTTTCAGTATTTCTTAGAAATTAGTGTCAAATTTCCCTAGAAATCCTCTTCTACGTGCTTTACGTTTCCTTGCATCCGAACCTCACTGCACGCGGATTTGTGGCGAAATGCAGGCCGAGCGTGTTCTCTCAAACGTCCTTCCTTTTATCGGCCGAAAAAGGAGAAAGCCTACTCATTGAGACATGAGACGCAGATGCTAATCAAGGTCGGCGATTACTCTGTATGCATGAAGACCTTCGCGGGGCTAGTGCTTATGTGCAGATTCAGCCACTGCCATGCATCATAGGGCACCTCAGCGGTTGTGATGAATTATCTGCGACATGTACATGAACTTGAGAAACCTATCAGAGCGTCTTACTACCCAAATTGGCATGAAAATCTCCGTTCCCGGGGCATTGGCTTTCTACGCGTTCCCCACGCCACGTTGCAATACCATCAAGTTAGAGAAAGCTGAGGACCCAACATTGTAATGTTTGGGGACAACCACGAGCAGCGAATACTTTCAGTGAATATCTCTTTTTAATCACCATCGAGTTTGTACAGATTGAGGTGAGCATGCATGAGCGGCTTGAACTTGAGAATTTGTGCATAACTCTAACTTAAGGCCGGATATTGGCTGGCTGAGAAGTAGGAGCATTAAACTAGGGTTTGTTGTGCAACCCACACCCCAGATAGCCTTTCCGGACTGGCGACAATGGGCTCAACGCATTGCCCGAAGCATATCGGAACAAGGCGAGACCTTCTCGGAAAGCTCGCATCTAGCAGACGATCGTGTTGAGCGGCTTCTTAAACGGCGAGCCCGGGGAAATACAACAGCCGGCGACCATACCGCTGACAGAAAATCTTAACACAGATGGTCCCATCGAGGGCAGGACGAGTTGATATGTAGAAACATAAAAGACACGATGTTGCCACAGCTTGTGCTTTTGGTCTTAGCAGCATCAACAAGATTTCACTAAATGAGAACACCTCGTTTGAAACACTTGACTCTGTTAATTCATCGATTATTATCTACCGCGATAAGTCGCCAACTCAACATGTTCACCAAAAGCTTCCGGTCTGCTTCCTGGGGCGCAACCCTTCTGTGCTCTGCAAGTGTTGCATTGGCCCAAAGGAGCCCATACGAGAGTCTCGTGCTCGCCGATTGCGGCATCGGTCTCGGGGCAAACGGCGGTTCTACCTCACGCGAGATGATCTACTACCCGGGCGATGTGTAGACGGGCAACGGGCTAGATACCTACAGCCCGACCATGATGGTCAACGTGCCCTGGAGTGGATCGTACCCTTGGGGTCAAGCTGGCGGTGTCAGCGCAACTATGCCCAATGGTGACGTCTTCACCGTCCACATTGACCGCAGCATCACAGATCCCAACCCAGCTGGCGATGCTTGGCACAAATACGAGTTGGACAAGCCGTTCAAGTGCTATTCGTACCACTGGGACAAGGTTTACCAGCTGGCCGACAGCAAGTGGTGTTCCAGTGCCTACGTGTGCAACCACCGCGGCAAGCCGTACGTCAACCCCGGCAGCGGTGGCGGCAACAACAATGACAAGGACGACACGACCATCACCGGCTCTACCAACTCGGACTGGGTGGAGCTGTACGAGCAAACCGCGGAGAACGTAGTCGCGACTGTCCGACGCATGTTCAACGACAAGAGTACCGATTGCGATACCACGGCCATCTCGATCGGCTCGGGCTGTACCATTGAGTGGTCATGCCACGCCAACGAGGGCCACTCTGAGCTGCATTCCCTGCAGCGACTCTCCGCCGCGTTTGCCAACCTCGGCAAGACCAAGGAATACTCATCGAAGCGCGAGACGACGACTCGTATCTGTCGCACGCCGGACACACGCCCCGGCCGCGAGGGTCAGTGCCTACAGTGGGTGGACAAGGTCGACCACTACGTCAAGGTGCCGCGAAAGATTAAGATGACGATGGACAACATCCCACCGAAAGGCTCGGGCCGCAACCCCTCCGAGCATGGCAACATGGAATACGAGATCAAGTGTAACAAGTCGTCGCTTGAGTGCGCGCTTTGCAACATCATCGGAACCGGCCTCACGGTGCCATCAGCTGGAGTTGGTGCATCCGTCTTGATCGGCTGTATCTCGTCGCCTTTATGCCGGTAGTGGTAGTCGATGAGCTTTTTTAGTAGCTCTTACCAAAGCATCATGCAAGTTCCAAGAGTGACGGGAGGGATGTCTACGACTTGACAGACTGATAGATATATAATGTTCTTCTGCCTGCGTTTCTACTCCTATCTCTAGTGTTGCTATTTCTACCTCATTTGTTTCTCTGTCTCTATCTCTGCTTCTCTTTCTAAATCTGTCTATCTATTTCATGAAGGGAAAATATCATGTCTCTCGATATCAGTATTCATGACCTCATTTGACATAGCCAAACGTGGGAAAAACACCCACCTTATCACGGCGATGAGTTCTGACTTTTAGGTAAAATTACAAAACAATGCTTTTAGCACGCTATTCACATATAACTCCGTGTCTGTCTACATTGCACGTTTCATACTTCTCTCCTGTGTTCCTTCCAAGTTGGTCAACGTTGCCTTTATATCTAACCCATCATTGATTCAATCCACGCGTGCATTCAACGTCCTTACGATTTCCATCTACAACGACGGTTTGCTCCTACAGGTGTTATCACACACAAATATTATTAACAGTTGAAATCAAAAATCGATGCACATCCGCCCGACGGCCTGGTAATGGCTCTTTCTTGGCAAGATAACACGTCTTGGCAAGCGATATCGCAGCGCTTGTATGGAAGCTCCGGGGATTTTTGACAGCATCCCCAAGACTTTAAACCCCACACTTTGAGGGGCATCCTCCACACTAGAGATGAACAGATGCCTATTTGCGCATAGCTCGAGGAAAAATGCCGTGACCGTCGTACCGCGACAGCGACAACATGACGTTATGAGTCCTTGACCGTGGTAAATGAGGCCTTGGCGATGCGATTGGAGTTCGGCGGGAGGCCGAAAGACTGCGGGCAAGTTTAAAAGCAAAGAAACCCACGTTGCGTTCTCAATGTCGGAGTTTGTCGCCTCACCGTCGCCGCCACTAATTGACAGAACTTGATCGGAGCCAGGTCCGGGGACGATCGTCAACATGCGCTACCAGGAAACAGCTGCCCTAGGTCTGCTGCACGCAGGCCTAGCCACCGCGCTCACCTATGCCAGCAACCAAGTAGAGGTGATTCCCGATACCGAGGTCGTCGCTGCCAACTTCCCTGAGGTCGAGGGCGTTGAGCTTCTCTCGCCTGCATTCGCAAACCCGGACAGCGTACCCAGCACTTTCGCCAATGGCACCAGTGGACCGACTGACCAGGCAACTCTCGGTGCGTGACGCCAACATCCGGTGTATTCGGGCTCTGCTGACTGGACACTCGCAGACTACTACCTCCAGACTCTCGCTGCCCGCAATGAGTGGATGACCTACCACAACCCCGACTTCAAGTCCGAAGAAGGCCGCACGATACCCTACGTCTACCTGTCGACCACGAAGCGCATCCCCGATAGTCTCGCGTCGCACGCCAATGCCAGTGTTCCCAGCAAAGTGCGCATTTGGATGCAGGGCGGCGTGCACGGCAACGAGCCCAGCGGCGACCAAGCTCTTCTTGCTCTGCTTGGCCGATTCGACGCCAACGCAACCTGGGCGGCGTCCATACTTGACAAGGTCGATATCATGATGCTTCCCCGATACAACCCCGATGGCGTCGCGTACTTCCAGCGTTACTTTGCGACCAATTTCGACCCCAACCGCGATCATACTAAACTAGCTCGCCAACAGACGCGCGACATCAAGCAGCTGGTCATGGGCTTCGCGCCGCATGTTGGCGTCGACTGCCACGAGTACAGCCCGACTCAGGCGTGGGGTACCAAGGAGCAATGGATCGATGGGCAGGACGGCCAATTTTCAGCCATGAAGAACGCCAACATCCACGCTGACATTCGCAACATCTCAGAGGCCGTCTTCGCCAACGCCATTGCGGCGGCGATGGAGAAGCGGGGGTTGAGATGGGGTCCCTACGTTGTCGGCTCGGATGGGACTGACGACATTGTGCTGGAGGAGACGACGGGCGACGCCAAGATTGGCGACAGCTCTGTAGCGCTGAGCCAGGCTATCATGTTCCTGACCGAAACCCGCGGCATCGGTCTCGCGGACCAGCACTTCCAGCGCCGCGTGGCCACGGGCCTGACAATGGTCGAGACGATTGTCCAGACGGCAGCGGACCACGCCGAGGAGGTTTACCAGACTGTCGAGAACGCGCGGAAGAAGTTCATCGAGAGCACTGAGGATATTATCATTACCGAGTCCCCTCGCCCGACGAATATTTCATGGCAGTTCATCGAGGCCGAGACGGGAGCTTTGGTCGACATCCCGGTCCAGTTCCTCAACACCACGCCTGTTGTGGCGAACCTAACCCGCGCTCGTCCCGAGGCGTACGTGTTCTCCAAGGCGTGGGCTGATGTGGCTGAGCGTCTTCGCGTCGCTGGAGTCACCGTTCAGACGCTTGAGTTCGACTTCAGCGGTGAGGTCGAGGCATTGAACGTTACTAGCGCCATTGTTGCTGCGTCGAAGTATGAAGGCGTTGCGAGATCTACTGTGGAGACTGCCATTGTGAAGAAGGAGGTTAAGATCCCGGCGGGAGGGTTCTGGGTCAGCACGAGACAGAAGAACGCTGCCCACGCCTTTGTTACACTGGAGCCGGAGGGCATCGACTCGTATGCCACGTTTAACATTTTGCCCGTCAACGTCGGTGATGAGTATCCCGTGTATAGGGTCATGGCATAATGTATTCAATGAGGTCGACCTTTCACTAAGAGGGGCGGCAACATCTCACGTACCTCAAGGTAGTTAATCGTCAAAGGATTAATTCAATAATATTGATGCTCACTTGCACTGACTTTCGTCTCCAGGAACCGTGAGAAATTGCCCTCTATTAACCCCTGCTGCCACCTTCCCCCAATCTACAGCTTCGATGCAGTCTTTTGCGATGCCTTCCAGCTGTCCAAGACATTATTCTTGGGATTGTCCAACCTGGCTTGCGAAGCTTCGTAAAGCCTTGGGATACCTGTGCTCTTAAAGTCTACACCCTCCATCACCATTGAAGCGACGCCCTTCGCAGACAAGAAGATTTGCGGCATGCCGTGACCGGTGAAGCCGGCCAGCATGAACTGGCTTTGTCTACCAGGAACCACGCCAACATGCGGCGTTGAATCCGTGGAGTATCCCATAACTTGTAATGAACAACGTCAGCAAACACGTCACATCAGTCTCAGAATATGCCAACTTACTTCCAGTCCACACCTTGTTCGTGTACGCGCCAGTGTCTTCCCAGCCCTTGAAGACCTTCTGCATGTACCCGTCAAAGTAGTGCTTCGCCTCCTCAATCAGCTTATCATCGCTGACATTGCCATACCACTTTTCCAAGTCGTGGTAGTACGCGCCCCTGGCACCTCCCACCACGATGCTGCCGTCCAGCCTCGGGATGAGGTACTCGTACTCGCTCTCCGACCAGCGGATGATGTACGAGTGAGGCAGCAGCGGCGCGGGCGTCTTGCCGGGGTGGATGTGGCTGCATATCCCCCGCACGGGGACAATCTTTTCCGAGAACTCGGGCAGGATCGACGACGTGTAGCCGTTTGTCGCGTACACGATGTTCTTAGTGCGCACGGTTCCCCGCGGCGTGGTGAGTGTGAGAAAGCCGTCTGCATCGGGCTTTTCTGTGACTTTAGTCACGGGTGTATGAGTCTGCAGGTTCACGCCGGCGGCAAGCTCCTTCTCGAGGAGGCCGACGATGAGCTTGTACGGCCAGAGGTGGCCCGCCGTGTATGAGAGGCACCCCTTGGCACCCTTAACGCCCGATAGCTGGTTTCCGTCAGCGACTAAAAACCTTTGATAGGAAAAGTTTGACTTACTTGCTCTGCCTCCGCCCCCTTGGCAAAATACACGTCGTCCATTACCTTAACGCCATGTTTCCTCAACAACTCAACGCCAGACCTCATGCGCTCACAGATCGACTCGCTCATCAACGCGTCGACGGCACGCGTATACACAAAGTCGCAGTCAATTCCCTCGGTCTCAATAGCCTTCTTCACAGCCGCAAGGTTATCCGCCTCAAAGTTGGCGCACTCGCCGGCAACCTCAACGCCATGCGTGAGAGCAAGGGTTGAAGGCCGATTGTAGGGGTCCGGCTTCAGGTGGCCGCCTGCACCGCCGCATCATTAGAACCATATCAATGAAATGAAAGATTTCAAAGACATACCATTTCGGCCCGTTGCCCCGGAGCAGGCCTCTCTCGCCTCGAGAATCACAATGTTCGGGGGCGGGGTGCCCTTGGCCTTGGCGATGTTGAGAATGTGGTAGACCGTCGAGACGCCTGCATAGCCGGCGCCAATAACGGCAATGTCGACCTGTGAGGGGACGTCGGGGGTAGACCGGTGATTGTCGAGCGGGTGCGGACTTGACCTCCAGAAGGAGGTCGTGGAGTTCGGAACCGGGAGCGGGGAGGGCGGCATGGCTTATCCGTATCCGAAGAAAGCAGTGTCTGTCTATCAATCAATCCGCCCGTCTGTTGCCAATTGAATATGTAAATCGAATTACAGCGCACTAACACACCACTGACTGCTTTTGGTAACACCACGCTTAGTAGCCACGTTCGGCCGGACCTCGCTGTTATAAAGTTCCCCCGGGAAATGTTTGGGAAATGTTCGCCGTCAGCGCTATCGCTTGCTTGCTGGGTCCTCCCCCGCTTTCGGCTCAGATACCCCAAACCGATGGAGTTCGCCTGTTCCACCACACCCCGGACACCTGCCGACTAAGTAGAAGCTAGAGGAGCAGACAGACACCCAGCTGGGAGGGAAAGACAACAGAGAGAGCTCCACTGCAACGTCACCCACAGATAACGCGGGATATGCAGGATAACCGTTGCTCGCCCCCCTGCAAGCTGGCGGCCGTGCTCAACTTTCCCGCCTCGTCTGGCTTACCTTACCCGGTCCCGGGACGTTATCAACGCTGCCTGCCCCCTGGAAAGACCACGTTTATCAGGGGAACCGGAACCGGGCCGGTGCAGATAAGAGCCAACACTGTTGCTCGTTGCCGGTCTGCGGTCGTGTGTGGTTGGTCGAGGTTGGAAGGCCACATGAGCAGGGTAGCATGTGTCGATGGGGGGAGAGCTTGTCATCTAGCCATCCCGCGGCCGCCATCCGGGATGTCAGCGGGGTGCGAGGACACTGGCCGTCTGGGGAAATGGGCTCATGTTTTGATACCTTGATGGCGACATGTTGGCATTATTAGCAGAGGCTCCGGCCAGTCCAATTGCCTTGTTCAATTGAACGGATTGTCTGATGTCGAGTTGGACTTTTGGCATCGTGAAGCCGGTTGACTTGAAGTTTGGATGCCAAGCCAGGAACAGTTGCGTTTCATTGAAGGGGATCGGAATCTAGTGGCAAGGTTACTGCTGTTGCAAGGGCCATCCGCTTGACAGATACGCATCGGGGATTTTAGATGGGCGCGTGTCACTTGTTATCTCCAGGCCGGTGTGCCATGGATGACAATGGCACACTCCTGACTGGCCCTCCGCAGCGCCTGGGCCTCACCCAAACCAAGTCCATTGATACGGACGTTCCAAGTTCCTGTCTGGGCGACTGACAGGCGACCCCCAAAAGCTTGAATATATAACTCCAATGGACGTTGAGACACACTCTCTTTGCCGCACTGATCTCTTCTTAATCGAGATACGCCAAATCTCGCCATCTCTTCACCATGGCTCCTGAACCCACGAAAGACGACACAAAGGTCGACGACACCACTGAGCTGGGCACCGTGCCCAGCCATGTGATCGAAGCCGACCACTATGGCATCGACGACGCGTACCTGCGCGCGCCAAAGTTCACCAAGTTCTGGCGCAGTGTTCTTTGGCAGATGATCCTGTTTGGAGCGTAAGTAAAGCAACCGCCTGTGCATCGATGCAAGTGTGGAAACTAAATGTTGTGTCTTCTGCTGCAGGTTGTCTTTCGTCGGCCCCGCCATGTCCGACGCCATCTCCAACCTCGGGGGTGGTGGACTCTCCACCCCGTACCTTGCCAACTTGGCAACCTCGCTCAACTATGCGGCTGGCTGCGTGATGACCCTCTTCGGAGGACCTCTGATCAACAAATTCGGCATCAAGTGGTCTTGCATGATTGCTGCCGTTGCCATGCCCCTGGCTGGCTCTGCCTACTATGTCAACGCCAAGTACGGTGTTGATTGGTACCTTCTCTTCTCTAGAGTAGGTCACATTTGTAACTGCCATTGAGCAATTGAACCAGTCTAATACCTCTTTAGCTGATTGGAGGCTTCACATCGGGATTCCTCTACGTCGCCGAGACGACCGCAATGCTTTCGTACCCGAAGCAAGACGACAGAGGCTTCTATTTGGGTATCTGGTCCGCAATGAGAAACTCTGGCAGTGTTATGGGAGGTGCAATCAACTTCTCCACCAACTACTCCGATAGCACTGCCGGCGGTATTGCGTGGTCTACGTACCTCATCTTCGTTGGTTTCGGTAAGTCTTCCCATCGTGCTTGTATAAGCCTACAGTAACTAACCAAGGCTATTTTCACAGAGTGCACCGGTGTCATCTGGGCATTCCTCCTCTCGCCCACCAGGCGCGTACGCCGTAGAGACGGTGCCAAGATCCCAATGTCTCCCAGCATCAGCTGGAAGCAGGAATTCTCTGCCCTCTGGAAGCACGCACAGCGTCCCAAGGTATGAAGCTCCCCCTTCTTCGTTAAGACTCCTGTCATAAACTAACGCCGGGTGCAGACTTGGCTCATCTTCATTCCCTCCTTCTACTCGTTCTTCTATGGTGGAACAATGGGGACCTATCTTTCCCTGCATTTCTCTGTTCGTGCTCGCGCGCTATCTTCTTTGATCATGCGTAAGCAGTCCTCGTACCTGAAGGATTACCTAGGAAACCATCTAACAAGCTCCTCAGCCACGATCACCATCCCGCTCGTCATTGCCTACGGAAGGCTTCTGGACAACACCCGTTGGTCCCAGTCAAAGAGAGCATGGATCTCCTTTGCCATGTGGTCCATTCCTCAGGCAGCCTGCTTCGTCTGGATTGGCATTGAGTACGGCAAGTTCGGCCTCTCGAAGCCGGCATTGGACTACGAAACGTACGTACATTCTTCCTCCTCCTCGCCCTCAAAATTACTGACATTGGCTCCCAATAGCCACGGCAGAAGATGGGCCGAAGCCTACGTCCCCTATCTCATCATCTTCACGACCGGCTACTGGACCCAGCTGTCTCTCTACTGGATCCTGGGCACCTTCTCTACCGACGTTGCCTCCAGCTCCAGAACCGGCGGCCTCTTCAGAGCGTTCGAAACGGCGGGACAGGCTGTCTCGTACGCCATCAACACCAACTCCGGCGCCGACCCCAAGGTCGCGTTTATCGTCAACTGCGCCATCCTGCTGCTGGCCGTGCCCTGCATGGTCTTCCTCATCCGCCTGGTGCCGGAGAAGCCCGCGGAGACGGACATTGATGCGGGGGAGCTGGCGGCGATCGATGGTGTGCCATCGGCGGCGGGGCAGACGCGAGATGACTGAGTCAGGCTCGACCCGGCACCCCGCTCGTTTAGTCATTGTTTAATTAGTAAAGAGACTGTACATTTACCTTCCGCTTGAAATCTCGCCGACCTGTAGATACCTGCCCGACCTTGATGTCCGTTACTCGTTGTACACAGCTCTGAATCCAAGAGGACCACGTAGCCTGCGCCAGCACAAATCACCCCAATTCACATAAAATGGAAGCACTAACTTTGAAAGTCAAATTGTGTAGATGTGCCTCTAAGGCCACTATTCCAATGTGTTTGTTAGGTTGCCGAGCGTGGTTCAAAGTTGATGTGAAGCTTGTGCGCCGGGACTGTGCTGAATATTAACGCTGCATCTCACTCGTATCTCACTCTACATACAATCAGCTATTCCAAAGTGGATTCAATAGGTGCTGTATTGTAGCGTCTTCATTATTTCCTCGGCCCAATTATTGAGCACTTTATATACACGAGGCCCCATTTTCTACAGATGAAGAGGCTCCCAATGGATCTTCTACTCCTCTACTTCCACGCTACAGTCTCGGACGGCTGCGAGCGTCGTTGCAGAACGGCTTCTTCGCGCTTTCCAAACTGCTCTTTCTCTCCTCCTCCCATTTCGGCGCGGCATCAACCTTTTGCAACTTCTCAATCCGCTCAGCAGTGGCAAAGAAGGGACTCGGCAAGGGAGGGAACGGTGCGACTATCGACGGAACGGTGTACTTGACACCCAAAGCATCGAGGATGAGAGGGGTGAGATGAGCGGTAGAGCCCAGGATTCTGGGCATGCCTTGACATTCGTTAGCTTTGATCGTGAAGCCTTTTGAGAAGAAGAGTACATACCGTGGCCTGAGAATCCCGCTGTGACGAAATGTCCGTCTTGTTTGGGGATGGCTCCGACGAAGGGGAACCCGTCAATGCTCGAGGAGTCAACTGTTAAAGATGTCAACGAGTCTGTCTTAGTAAAAATCATGAGGTCAACTTACCACCAGACCAGCAGCCGCCCTCATTGACAGGCTTAGCAAATTCTGCCTTTTCTCCGCCCTCCCAGCCAACAATATCGGATGATGGCCATGTCTCATAGAATTCGGGGGCACCCTCAAATTGCTGATCCTCTTCGTCGTTCAGGATGCACTTGTCCGGGTAATGGCAGAGAAGTTGCCTCGCGCCGCCGATAATGATGTTGTTGTACGGTGGCGGGAGTTGGAGATGGTAGTTCTGGCCAAGTTCATCAGATGCCTGTTCAGGGGTCTTGAGACAGGATGAATTGAAAACTCACGTTCACGTTGCTATCCCAGTGCTGAGCACCAGTATGCTTGATGAAGCCTTCTGGGGCCTTTAAAGACGCGATAGTGCATCTGTCTTCAAAGATGAGTTTACTGAAATTGGGCAGAAGGTGCGAAGCCCATCTGTTGGTGGCGTGCACCACAGCCTTTGTTTTCACATCGCCTCTGGGAGTCTTGACAGTCACCCAGCCGTCGGCATCCTTTTCAGAAACGCTATCGGCGGGTGTGTGTGCTTGGAGGTTCAGGTTGCCCGTCTCAAGGACTTTCCTAAGCAAGGCGTGGACGAATTTGTACGGCCATCTGAGAAAATTTGTCAGCTACCCCTGAAGTCTTGGCATTAATGAGGACACGATACTCACACTTGACCGGCAGGATGCACCACTGCGCCTACGCAAGACTTCATCTGTGTGAACTCCTCCGCGGCTTTCGGATCCTCAATCAGCCTGCAGACCTTGACCACATCATCATCTTCTCCATGGTCCTTCTTCATGGCCTCGTAGTTGCCCTTCAGACGCTCCCATGCCTCGTCCGTCATGGCCGCGTCAAATGTCTCGCCGAACTTTAGGCAGATCTCCTCAGCGATGCCCTCTGCAGCCGCGAGCTCTTTGAATGCGGGGAGATGCGCCATCTCGTGCTTGATGAGCTCCATTCCGACCCTGGGGCCAAAACGGGCGGACCACGGCTTGTAGCGGGAGTAGGCGTGAGGCCTCAGCTGTCCGCCGTTGCGGCCTGTTGATGAGCCGCAAATGTCGCGCGCCTCCAGCATGAGCATCTTGGGCTTTTGCGGCGCATTTTCCGTGAACTGGAAATCGTGGTCAGACAGCGGTTCAAACGCGTTGCGAAGGGGCTTTTCTGGGGATACCTTTTGAAGCCAGTATGCGGTCGTCGCACCGGCATAACCACTGCCAACAATTACCACATCGACTTCCTTGGGCAGCTCCTCGGTCGAACGAAAGTTGCGGAGGGGGGATTCAGCCCCCTCAATCCAGTAGGACTTTGTTGGGTTGCTAATCGGGAGAACCATCGTGATAGTGAAAGTGATAGTGATAGCGCGGAGTTTGAAGGAGTTCAGATCTGATAGCGGGGTACGAGATAAAAACAACGAAAATGACTCGTCGGGGACTGATTTCACTAACTGGCCGGTGCGGCGCTCCAAATCTCGGACAGGCGTCACTTTTTAAGCCAACACTCACGTAAACGCGTCTCGGCCGACTTGGTTAAAGTTCACCGAACATGAGGGTATCCTCGCCTGTTGGCTCATTATCTGTGGAGCCGCCAGTGTGCAGGGTGCGCCCGATGGGCCGATAGGAGTCGCGGCACCGTCCCATCGGTGCGCAAGATAAGATCGACATCACGAGCATCTCATCTTACAAACCACGCTTCTGAAGACACCGGCCCGGCTATCTAGCATAGCCCCTTGGATTAAACCGACCGACCGGAATGTCTTTTGGCTCATCCGGGTGCGCAGCGCAGCAAGGGGCCCAGTGCCCGGAAAACGTTCCCTTCCGGTCCGGGGATGTCCAACCCCGAAACCGCTCGGGGGGTGTTCCAGAATGCGGGGAAAGATTGGAGATCACGGACGCGTGTTTGGCGATATGCATCGGCCGCCGGCCCTCGCCTGCGATAAGCATCGTGGCCTCTGTTATTTAACCTGCTTCGTGTCTGACGCCGTGTATGAAGATTACTCAGAATAAGCCACATCGTCAGATTCAGTTCTAACCAGGCAACTCAGCATTTCCATTACTTCATCAGGACCCGTGTCTTAATTAGGCTCTGAATCGTGTCTTGTTCACAACCCCGCAAAACCCCCTCACTCACCGGCCTCCACTTTTCGCACACACAACACAAACACAACACACACACAGATCACGATGGCCGCATCAAAGAACGTCGTGTTCGACGTCGTCGGCACCCTCGTCTCGTACGAGCACCTGTTTGAGGCCATCGACGAGCGCCTGGGCGAGCGCCTCAAGGCCCGGGGCATCCAGCCGAAGCTCCTCGGCTGCTGCTGGCTCGAGGTCGCCGAGCGCGAGTACACCTACCTTTCCATGTCCGGCCGCTACGTCGTCTTCTTCAAGGTCTTCCAGTCGCTCTTCTACCGCTGTCTGCACTACGCCGGCATCGAGAAGCCGCGCGAATTCTGCACCGACGACGACGTCAACTACCTGATTGACGAGTGGAAGAAGCTGCGCCTGCGCGAGGGCGCCGCCGAGTGCGTCCAGAAGCTGCGCGACGCCGGCTTCACTGTCTGGTGCTTCACGGCGGGCGACATTGCGCGTGTGGGCGGCTACTTCTCGAGGGGAGGCGTGGACATGCCGGTGGAGAATCTGCTGTCGTGCGACTCGTCGGGGCTGGCGAAGCCTACGCCCGAGGCGTATGCGCCGATTCTGAAGAAGCTGTCTGAGAACGGCAAGCCTTGGTTTGCGGCTGCGCATCTTTGGGATGCGTCAACAGCGAAGACTGTTGGGTAAGTACTACGTCTCCACGCTGAATGTTTCAACATATTCTAACTTGTTACCCAGTTTCAACGCTGCCTACTGTGAGGCTTTGGAGGGAGAGGAGCTGCCTGATATTTTCGGAAAGATGGACGTCGTTGCCAAGACGCTGCCTGAGATGGCGGACAAGATCATTGCTACCTTCAACTAAGATACCTGCTCGTTAATACAAGAGAATCGTTAAATCAAGCTTTCTATGATTCAGCCAACGGCGCGTGTGCTGGGACGCCACCCGAGCGCCACCCTGCGGGACCTCCGGAAGCATACCGATCGGACCGGCAGAGAACGGCTCGGCCCATGATATGCCCAAAAGTGTGGCCCTCGTTGCATCATAGTAGACACTCTTATCTCTGGGCATTATGGGACGTGGCTACAGCGGCCCATTGGGCTCTGGCTGGGCTTCCCATATAAGTACTAGGCACCTCAGTGCGTGTAAGTGAACAGGCGTACTGCATGGTTCTTTGAGTGTCTAAATTAGTGGTTCTATTAATGAGGACAAGCTCGCCCAGCGATACCCCCATCCCGCTCTATGTTCTAATGTCTATTACGATGACTGCTCTCTTCTATTTCTTTGATACAATCGCAAACCCCTTGGCCGGATTGAAGATACACGTCACCAAGGCCGAGACCTGTACGAGACGGACTATCGGCGCAAGCAACACCGTCTGGATGGCATGTTGCACCGTCTGAAGCCACGTCACGCCCTCCGGTGCCGTGAGATCTGACATGAATGATGCGACCAGTAGACTGTGGGTGTCGACGGTGAAATGCCAGAGGCCCCAGATAAAAAGCCACTTGGGAATGATAAAAGACCCGCCGAGCTGTGTGTAGATGGGTCTGTGGTGACCAACGTTAGTAATGCACTTGATGTAACATTGCACTGCAAGGGAAGGAGCTAAACATACCCAATCCAGTAGACCAATTCACCGATGACGCTGACAACCAGCGAAAATTGAACAATGATGCTGGGAATGGAGAGGATGCCTGTGTACCATCTCCTGCGCTGCTTCCAAAAGTCTTGGAACGTCTCATTGGGCTGTTCGTGGACGGGGTCCCAAATCCATCCGAACTTGTATCCCTTTGCGGAAGACTTTAATAGAGCTCAAGTTAGTCTTCCTCGTCTCGCATCCTCCTTGAGGGTAGGGGAGATAAACATACGTTGTAGGCAAACCAGAAGTCTTCAGCTTGACAGTCGGTGTCCCAAGTCGTGGCGTTCTCGACAGCGCCGTTGATCAGGATCCAAGAGCCGTGCATCCACCCAAGCATGGGCTTGTTGCGCATCCTAACCGAGAAGGAGAACTTTCCAAAGTCCTCTTGCGAGCGGAGCGTCTCGGCTGTTGACAGGAAGCCGTTCTTCCAGTGGTTGACGTCGTTGTAGTGCAGCGTTCCCTGTTCAACGCGTTCGTCAACAACCTTTTCCACCGAGATCTACAACTCAGGATTGCACGTACCATGAACATGTCAATGTCGCTCTTCGTGATGGAGTTGATGCACGCCTCCATCACTGCCTCGTCAATCATGGACTCTTCGTCGAGATGCAGGACCCAGTCGCCGCTTCCGAGCTGCTGGTTTCTGCGGTAGTACTCCAGCGCGCGAGCCTTGTACTTGGCCTTGCTTGGGGTGAAGGCTGACGGTACCACGACAATCTGGACGAAGGAGGGAAGTGCTTGGCGGAACTCTACTTCCTTCGTCTCGTCGTCCAGCAGAACGTGGAAACGCACGCCCGGAATGTTCTGCATCGGTGCCCAGGCCCTGGTGGCTCTGATGACGGTCTTCGACCAGTTAGAGTGATTCATGAAATGACGGTGAGGTATTGAGATGTGCACTTACATCAAAGTTTGTGCCTTTCGTCACAAGGCACACTCTCAAGCTCCTGAAGTCACGCTTCGCCGGCCCTTGGGCGTGCGAGCCTGGTCGCATGGGCATGCACAGGCTCCATACGGACACGTACGGTGGCATTTGGGCCAGAAGACCGAAGAACAGCAGTGATGTCTGGAGGATGGTCGCCCAGTTCCATTGATTGTCGACGGCGACGGCATTTTGGTAACGATTTGTTACGTAGGCAAGCTTCCAGAGGACTACATACCGGCGAGTCAGAACATCTTCCCTTTGAGTGATACGAATGATGAATCTGGAGTACTTACGGCAGAATGTGAGTCCCAGACTAATGGGAAAGACGCAGTAGTTGTACTTGATGATGGTGTGATACAACTCTTTCCTGGTCCGCGGCGTTACCAGTGGCCATACTGGTTTTGTCGTCTCTATCGGTGTGACTAATGTGCTCTCATTCTCAGAGCTGTACTCTGAGCCCTTCTCAGACATGGTGATGGTGGCTTAATAGAGTGTGGTGCGAAGGAGATGGGATGGACAGAGATCGGGCGAAAGTCAACGAAAGACGGGACGAACACAATCAAACTCTCACAGATTCCCAGAAGCTTGGGTTGACGTGCTGCTCTTAATACAATGCCAGCTTCTTTAACGTTCATCCAGAACTCGGAAGGAGTAACATGATGAGACGACGCGTTATGCAGGAACCGTTACGAGATCGTCGCATCGTGCGGTGAGACAAGTGGACTCTGCTTTTTTGGTGCTGTTCCCGCTGGATGGCCATCTTCCTCGGGCTGCATCTCCCCATCGCACTCGAAATCGCATATTGTCCCCAGGCCACCAGGAATGCCAATGCTCGAATGCTGGAGTGGAGTTTCCGGTGGGAGTAGTTACAGGAGTCAGTCATGTTCCTGTCACAGCTTGGCTGCGACGCCAGAATAAAGTTTACTGTTGTGACAAGACGTGTTGTGTTGCTGGACAGGGAGGCGAGTCAAGCTTGCTGCCCATTGTGAAACTCGCCGCCGACCGTGTCTTGCGCTGGTTGACGAAACGTCTTCGGCGAATTTACGCCCGTTTACGGTTGTTGAATGCCGATCTGATTTATATGGCTAAAGCCGACTTCGTTCGGCGGAGCATTTTGACGTGATCATCTCTCCGATCATCCAAGCACCAGGCGGTCCGGTTTCCGCATATTGCTCTCGTTTTGGGGGCCATGCCCTTTTGAACCCATTTTCATCCAACCTTTTTCTGCTAGTATCTCGATTTGACAGCATTGAACAAATACTCACATCACAAAACTAGACATCCTCTTCACACAATCCATCTACCAGCCATGGAGAGGATACGCTGGCTCGACGGCGTTCGCGCCATCGCCGCCGTCTCGGTCTCCTACAACCACTACATCATGGGCGAATTCACCGCGCCCTACAACTCCTTCTGGGCCTCACCCTCCTCCGAGAACCGCTGGCTCTTCCAGCTCCCGATCCTGCGCCTCCCGTTCGCGGTGCACTCCATGGTACCGCTCTTCTTCATCATCGGCGGCTACGCCATGGCGCACAGCGTGCTCGCGCGCAGCAGCGGCGGCGACGGCGCCTTCTCGCGGTACTTCCAGCTGACCCTCGTGCGGCGCTGGCTGCGGCTGTACCTGCCCATCATCCCCATCACCGTGCTGGCGAACGCGGCGTACTTTGTCGGCGTCACGACGCGGCCGTTTGCGGAGCATGTGACGCGCGGTCTGAAGCCGTGGACGGCGCCGATGCAGCATGCGAGGCTGCTGGTGGATTACTTGGTTGATATCGCGGAGCCGATGAATCTGGCGTGGCATGAGGGGTTCAACAATCAGCTGTGGACGATCCCGGTGACGTTTCGCGGGTCGTGTGTGTTGTACCTGACGCTGCTTGGGTGCTCGTTGTGGAAGACGCAGCATAAGCTTGTGGGTATGATTGGGCTTGCGGGGTATTTCATCTATCATGGGTACTGGGATCTGTTCTGCTTTCTTGGCGGCGCGTGGCTGGCGGAGATTGGTGCGCTCATACAGGCGAGGCATGAGTGGTCCGTCATTGGGTCGCCAGTCTTGTTCCCGCGAAGGGCTACGGCAAGCAGAGCCAGGCTTGTTGGCCTGGCGAAGACTATTCTTCTGCTTGGAGGTCTGTATCTCATGTGCTTCGAGGGCGACGAAGGGACCGGGGTGGCTCACGTCGGCTACCAGTGGCTGGCATCTATCCGATCGAGACGCTGGGCAGAGTCCGGTCGCAACACATTCTCTGTTGTCAGGTCCTGCTATCAGTCTTTGGGCGGCTTGATGGTCATCTCGGTCATCGCAACCTCCCCATCCGTGGCGAGGCGGCTCGAAGCCCCAGTGTTGCAGTATCTGGGCAAGATCTCGTTCTCGTGGTACCTCATGCATCAGTTGCCGCCCATTATCCTGAAGGGTCCCCTGAGGGACTTCTTTTGGAGACTGCTGAGGCCGCAGGATCCTGTCCATCTGATAATACCTGAAGCTTTACAGTACCCTTGGACACTTCTCTTCTCATGGACGGCGACGGCGAGCATCATATTCACCTTGACCTGGGTATGCGCTGATTTGTACTTCCGTCATGTGGAGGAGAAGAGCGGTGCGGTGTCAAAGCGGGTTGAGAGCTGGGTGAACGCGCCCGAGGACAGGGATACGGAAGCCAATACTGCTGTTCCGATCATCAAGAGGCCATAGATATAGCTTCTGAGAGCGAAGAGATGGAGTAATCATAGACATGTAATGCTTTATAGAAAGGAACAAATGTACCACGTATCATTTTACAGAATGCTTGCGTTGTCTCGCCTGTCCCTTGACATTGCTAAACTATCTCAGTAGAGTCGATGCTCTTCTTTCTTGACTAGATGCTACCTAGAATACAGCAAGGGCGCCCAATGCGAGCATACCAAAAGCGCCCATTGAGCCAACACCAGCAGCTGCACCAGCCTGAGTGGTGCTTGATGCAGCAGCGCCACTACCAGTAGCAGTTGCACCAGATGTAGGGGTACTGGTGCCGGTGACTCCAGCCGTAGCGTTGGAAGCCGCACTGGTTGCGGAGGCGATCGCTGAAGAGACGGCGGAGGATACGGCGGCGGACGCGGAGGATACGGGTGGCGCGGAAGCTCCGCCGGTGACTTCGCGGCAGAACTCGGCGGCTGCGGGGAGGAGTTCACCTGTTGTGTGTGAGTGTAAGTTAGTTTCCACACCAGCATGTTATCGCAGATGTAGGCTTCATAGAGTATTCCAGGAAGCGGGCCAAGGGACGAACGTACCGGTTGCGACGTCACCGCCGCAGGCAGCAAGCACACAGGAGACGCCGACGGTGTAGATGTTGCGGTAGTTGGTGGCCTCGCAGATGCACTGGGAGTCGTCGATGCTGCTGCACTTGGTTCCGTCCTTGACGGCCTGGGTGAGGCACTTGACAGAGCACTCTGGGATCACGTCGGTGAACTTTTGCTGGGCGGCGGCGAGGCCGAGGGTGCCGAGGAGGACGTAAGAAGACTTCATGGTGGAGGGTGTGGTTGAGGAGGAGTTGAGGTGAACGCTGACAAGTTTACACGATGTTGACAAACCGTATCTGAAGTAACGAAAGCGGGAGAAGGAGCCGGAGCAGAAAGGGACTCACTGCAGCTGCTCGCGGATACCGTTGTCTATTATGTACATGCACTCCATATGCGCTCTTTACGATCCGACGTGCCCGAGAAACGTCAGGCTTTACTAGTTGGCGGGTGGCCTGGGAGACTGAACAGAGTCAAGCACCTGCATTGTGGCGCTCTTGTTCACAGAAGCGAAGCAGACCAGTCCTTTCTTGGCAGCTGTCCAAGGCCATCACCAACGGCTGGAGTGAAGCAAAAGGGCAATAAGCTGGTGTAGGGTGGTCCGGCGGCGCACCAACAGGCCGTTCGGGCAGGGGTCGCAGCTGAGCGCCTTGCCGGATCTGGATGCTCGGTTAGAGATCTCTGGCTTCTGCTGCATGGCTCCAGGGTCTTTTTGAGCATGCTGTGGAGTGGCGTGAGGGGTATGATTGGTTGGGGAAAGGTGATTAGATTGATAATGGCCTGAGGGGGATGGTGAGGTTGGAGCAGGTTTATCTGATCCATCTGATAAGATTGGATGGCGTCCGGGCAAGGGGGGTTGATTGGTTCTTTGGCGGCAAATTTTCAGCTGCTAGGCCTTGAGATGGGTGGATGGGTCTGGGGATTCCTTGTTGCCATGTTCGGTAGGAGAACCGAGTGAGATTGAGCTTATTGGGATGCTGCGCTCACTCGTTCGGCCAATTGCAAAGCTTCCGAGGCTTGGTGGTATCTGTCGGGCGAAGCCACGTGAAGGTGGCCGTTGGTGCGCGTTAGATGCAAGTTGGCCCATTTGTGCATGCCTGTAGAAGGTCTAGATTGAGTTATTTAAAGTTGCCATGAGTCCCCCTGCTGGGAGAAAATTGTGCAAAGCAGCTGGGAGAAACAATTCCAAGGCCTCATAGGAGCAACATTTTCATCAACTGATAACACGGTTGTGAAAGAATGACGAAGAGTGAGGAAAAGTGAGAGAAACTGCGTTGTTCTCGGCCTGCTCGGCAGCGGACATGGATGATGGGTTCAGTTGGTGGATCTCCAACTCGGTGCTCGGCATCATGACGGGCAAACGAGTCTACAGGAACACAGGACCCAAAAGATTAACACAGTTAAGATCATCTTAGCATTCGAGGGGGGGAGAGTGTCGTTTTAGTACTGGGAATTGAGACATGGAATGGGCGCTCTGTGATGGAAGCAACCCAACACAGTCTGCCCTTGGTGTGACTGACAATGACAAGACACGGGTAGCAGAGAACGTTCCCAACGGATGACCTGATCGCGATAGTATTCGAAAAGCATGCGAGAGAGCCCCACATCCCTCTGTGCATTGAACCTAATGTTGAAGGGTCTAAGAGAGGGAGCTTTGCGTAGACACAGGCAAACAGGATGGCGGCCGTGGCTCAAGCTGTGGCTGTTGGTGATGTGGCTGTATGAAATGTGGCTCAGCAGAAGTGGCTCACTCAGCCATTGCACGTGACTGTATTCCGGTCCTGCCTGATTCATCCACTCCGGGCGGTTCCGTCCCGCGTGGTGGTCGGCTATCGGTACGTAATTACCGCGGTACGTACACTTTTCTTCCGATTGCGCAACGGCGGCGCGTTGAAGGATTCCATTGGAAAGAGTCACCCACACGGGTGTCGCTGCCAACTGGTGCAGGTGTACCTTGGGTTCACTAAGTGTGATGACTCTTAGTGGAGCGCAAAGTTGGAGCCCCGCCGGAGCAAAACCTGCCCCTCCATGGGAATTTTTTAACCCCGCGTCTTCTCCCTTCTGATTGTTTTTTTGGGATTATCGCAGACCGACGTTGCGATCGCAGCAACCCATACTTTGGCCAATCGACCGTATTTGTTGCTCGCTATACACATTGGATTCACTTCCAGTCTCTTCTCTACTACCCGACGCCATGGCTACGATTGACATCGTTCTCGGCGCCCAGTGGGGGTAAGCTGTCACACTCCGCCGCCCTTCCTCTTGTCCTGTCATGTCATCGTCACTGTCACCACAGACGCGCACATTTGCTTTACACACTCTCTCTGCCTTGCTCCACCATGCCAATGCTTTACCTCGCCATCAATGGCCCCAGCCAGCAGGGCGAGCGCGCCGAATACACCCTGGAATACGCGTACACGCACCGGCCCCATTGGTGTACGCGATGACCAGGAGACATCGCCGTTCATGATACCCTGCTGCGCCAATTGCTCTACATACTCTGGAACTAACACATCCTCTCACCCGCAGCGACGAGGGCAAGGGAAAGCTGGTTGATGTGTAAGCTGCGCCCTTGGTCCCTCCGTCACAACCTCGCCCTCTAACCCTCCACATAGCCTTGGACAGGACGCGCAGATTTGCGCCAGAGCTCAGGTTGGGACTGCGGTACTCTATGGATAATCAATGGCATGCTGATGGCCCTAGGGCGGACACAATGGTAGGAGTTACTCCAGCTCCTGATGCCATCAACCGAACACCATTCTAACAGCAGCCTCCCCCAGCCGGCCACACCGTCATCGCCAACGGTGTAAGCTACGACTTCCGTGAGTCTTTCGCCTGTGCCTCTGCGATGACATGCCTTGGCTGACATCTGGTCCCTTCAGATCTTCTTCCTTCCGGCCTCCTCCACCCCCAGGCCATTTGCCTCATCGGCTCCGGCGCCGTTGTCCATGTCCCCACCTTCTTCAAGGAGATGGCCGACCTCGAGGCCAAGGGCCTCAAGAACATCCGCGACCGCCTCCTCGTCTCCGACCGATGCCACATCATCACCGACTGCCACATCCAGGTCGACGGCCTCGAGGAGCAGGAGCTCGGCGGCAACAGCATTGGCACCACCAAGCGCGGTATTGGCCCAACCTACAGCACCATGGCCGCCCGCAACGGCATCACCATCAGCGAGATGTTCGACGAGGAGGTCTTTGAGCGCAAGTTGCGCCAGCTTGCCACCGGCTTCAAGAAGCGCTTCGGCGACCTCTTGGTCTACGACATCGAGGACGAGATCAAGCGCTTCAAGCAGTACAGAGAGGACCTGAGGGTATGGCGCATTTTCTTGCCCAGGATCAAACATGCGCTGACTAGGTTTAGACGTTTGTCGTTGACGCCGTCCCTATCATGGCCGACGCGCAGGCCAAGAACACCAAGATCCTCGTCGAGGGTGCCCAGGCTGTCATGCTTGACCTGAGTAGGTAGCATTCCAACAGCGATGGCTTTCACAACTAACCAGGTTAGACTTCGGAACCTACCCCTTCGTCACATCATCAAACACTGGCCTCGGCGGTGTCTTCACAGGTGTAAGTCAATCCATCACTACCCCCTTCTACACTGTTCTGACATAATCCACAGCTCGGCCTCAACCCCCGCAAGATCAACCACATCGTCGGTGTCGTCAAGGCCTACACCACCCGCGTCGGCGGCGGTGCCTTCCCCACAGAACAGCTCAACGAGGTCGGCGAGAAGCTCGGCAAGATCGGCCACGAGATCGGTGTCTCCACGGGCCGCTCCCGCCGTTGCGGCTGGCTCGACCTCGTCGTCGTCAAGTACTCGGCCAACCTCAACCACTACACCGCCCTCAACCTCACCAAGCTCGACATCCTCGACACCTTCCCCACCATCAAGGTCGCCGTCGCCTACAAGGACAAGGAGACGGGCGAGGAGCTGCCCTCCTTCCCCGCCGACCTCAAGACGCTCGAGAAGGCCGAGGTCGTCTACAAGGAGCTCGAGGGCTGGAACACGCCCACCACCGGCGCCAAGACGTACTTCGACCTGCCCAAGCAGGCGCGCGCGTACATTGAGTTCATCGAGGAGTTTGTTGGTGTCAAGTGTGTCTGGATTGGCACCGGTCCCAAGAGAGAGGACCTCATCTCCCGCGTTTAAGGGGTTGTCTTGTTTGCCCCTGATATGGACTTTGTCGAGATAGACGAGATGAAAATGTGATGGGAGCTTTGAGTGGCTTTGTCCATAGATAAACCGGAAAATAGACCGCGTACATTGTCAATCTTGTGTCCACATCATGTGCTTGCTTTCGCAGCCGTGTTTCTCTTCGTTAATCAAGGGAAGCAATAAGCACCAGACATAATCCAGTTGACTCATCCTTCAATACCAATGGATGCAATGATCCAAGCGACATGTCATCAGAACTCCGCCCATCTTCCATCACCATCAGTCACCTAAGCGGGGCCGTCTTCCTCCATACCTAGTCGACCCCAAACCCCGCCGACATCGGGAGGGGCTGCGGCATTTAGCCTTCGCGCCATGCCGGGGCACAAATTTTTTCATCCCAAATTCCCCGCCCCCACCAAGCTTGCAATTGGGTTTGCGCGATTGGCTAAACTGCGCAACTGACCGAGCGTTCATGCGCACAAAACTGCGGCATTGCGCTCCCGATGCCCGCGCAATATGAGCTGCCTCTGCGCAGCGTTTTCCCACAGACGGGCGCCTCAGGCGTTCTGAATTGTCTGGCCGGTTGGCCCAATGGCAAGGCGTCTGACTACGATACACCGTGGAATCAGGAGATTGTGGGTTCGACCCCCATGCTGGTCAAAATCTTTTTGTCTTTTCCTGACCCTACTGATCGGAACATGCACTTCGTCACTTGCCCCCTTTTCCTTTTTTTTCCCCTTCTGTTTGCCTTTCTTAATTTTCTTTCCTCATGTAAGTCTAAGTCTACGCAGATGGTCCTATGCTTCCTCACACCGAAGGACCAGAAGATATGAGGATGAAAGCAAATAATGAAAATGACTATGACGCCGAGATCGACAAGAATGAACGATATATACGATTCTAACTTCCGTAAGGCCAATCTGGGTCTTCGCAGTTGTTTGCTCGGTTATTACTTAGGATAGCATTTGAGCATTCAAGTAAGTGTATTGACAGATCTGGTAACTATATACAAGAAGTTACAGCCCAGTAGTTCCCATCAGGCCTTCATTCCTGCTGGGTCACACGGCTTTATTTAAGAAGTTGATGTAAGCGAGCGAATGAGTTCTCAACAACGACATCTCCTCTCCTATCTCGTCTCCCAAGCCTGAGCCATCTAGCAGGTGAAGAGCTGGGGTCCCGGGATGGTGTACGACGTAACGGCGGGGTAGTCTGCAAACAACAAAGTTAGCATCACAACCAACCTACAGATCCTCAACGCGGACAACTTACAGATGTTGATGGTCACACCGGGGTCGGTGCCCTTGTACGCGCCAGGGAAGCTGACCGTGTTGGCCGGCGTCTTGGCCCCCGTGCCGCCCACGACATTAATCTGCGCGCACTCCATGTAGAACTGGGCGCCGGGGTAGCTCCCCGCGCCGTGCAGCGCAATCATCTCCGCGCGGAGCAGGTACTGCCCGGGGGCGATGCACGCGGGGATCTTGATGGTGTGCTTGCCCTGGCCGTTGATGACCTTCTCGGTGCCCCAGACGCCGTTGCTGAAGCCGTCCTCCTGGATCTTGAACCAGCCGCCGCCGACGCCGGTGTCGGTAGTCGCGTCGGAGACCTTCTTGAGGTACGCGATGGTGGGGCCCTTGTGCGAGGAGTCCATGATGTCGGCGGGCGCGGAGCCGCCGCTGTTGAGCATGTAGCGCCAGACGGCGGTGACGGACTGGCCGGCGGTGACGGTGATGACCTTGGAGGTGGGCGTGGTTGGGTTGGGCGGGCCGTTGCAGGCCATGGAGGAGGAGGTGACGTCCTCGATGGGGCCGTTGTAGGAGGGGACTCGGACGCCGACGCCGACGCCGCTGTTGACGCCGCCGGCCTCGAGGGAGGAGAAGATTGTGTGGGCGAAGGCCGCAGTGGCGGAGAGGAGGGGGAGGAGGAACTTCATTGTGAGAGTGGATGAAGGAGCGTTTCGGAAAGAGAGTGTAGGATGGGGAGTTGGGGATGTGGGACGATCATCATGCTGGTTTGATGGAGTTGAGTTTATATAGATGAACAGATGTGAGGACTCCCATGGTCTTGGGATCTCTCGCTTGTTCGCCTCTGTACCGGAATCTGGAGCCGTCGATGGCGGCACGGGTTGGATGTCTGGACCAGATGACCAGACGGCCAAGACCGCCACGGCGGCAACAGGTCGACCGTGATCCTGCGGTCTGTTTTATGTTTGGCTAACTGATTTATGCTTGTTGGTTCGCTGCTACGTCTTGACAAATTAGATTGACCTAGATGGCGAAAAGGATCCTATGGTGGCCGTTCTGGGTGGATCGACGGAGGATGATGGTCCGGCTGATATTGCAATATCCGTCGGGGGCTTTACCGACGTTCCTGTCCAAGGTGACCCAAGGCTCTGGGCTTTCATTTAAAAACAAACTCTTACCTGACTCCTCTGTCATGTCCCTAAAATCTTGTCGAAGAGATGGTTATAGATCCGAGAAAGTTAGATTGCTTGACTAGCAGATGTCGGGAATCTGACAAGCGTGCTCAGAACCCTTCCACCCCCCCTGTTCGCTTAATCACCTGCAGATAGTAGAAACAACCATAGTAAATAGACTCAGCCAACCAAGTTTACCATGTGGTGGGACCACGGTACGTATTAAGGGGAGCTGTGGTCTCCAGTCTAGATCGTAGCACCACGTAGGAGCCTGTTAGGCAGAAAGTTTACAGTAAACTATTCATTCGAAATATCGATATAAAACTAACAAAAACAACTTTCTATGGAATCAAACAAGTCGTTGGAAATCGAGACCAGAGGACATTTGCTAACACACTAGAGCAATTTGAGGAGCTGGAAATCCACCCTAAATCTTAAACAACAGCGATATTCCTGTGACAGGCAGACTTGTTGACTCCAAAACAGTCGTCCACGACTTGTGGCCACCATGGAACCATCACATTTGCTTCCTCATGTAAAGGGTTTTTGAGAAACAACGCCAACTCGTTCTCTCCGTTTTGGCAATAAGGCACCAGGCTTCTAAACGCCATTGTACATGGATGCAGTTGCGCCCATGACATAAGCATTTTCAGGTCAAATGCTATCCGAATATCCGCGTTTTCATACTCAGACTGAAGCACCATGTTCCGGAGCCTCGAAATTGTATGCCTTCCATGCCCAGGCGTAATGTCTTTTCCCAAAAAGACTTCAGGCTCTCTTTTTGCCTTTGCTTTTTCGCACCAGGGCCGTGATACCGTGAGGCGTTGACGGCGTCGGTCAAGTCGGTCGTTTCTGTCGTCAATGTGTACTACTACAAACTTGGGAGCGACGACTTCATTGGCGCCAAGCACCTGCAGAGCGTAATGGTGGTCAACGACTCTGTCGTCAGTGATATCCCACAAGGTCTGGAAATGTGCGTCGTGACTACTTAGACGAGTTAGCATATTCTATAGCTAATGTATTCACCTAAGAATTACTTACTGAGATCCTCTCATCAGATTGACAACTTCTCGAACGATATGATGCTGGTCGGGCTTAAAGGACAATTCGACTAAAGTTTCAGAACCGACCGTGGCTCTTATCCCTTTATTGACCGACGATGGTAGACCTTCACACACTCGAGGCTTGAACTTCCCAACAAGATTGAAATATAATTCGAGGAATGACCTTGCAGCATCCTTCGCACCGCCCTTGACAAGAAATGCGGCATGTAGGACACGAAGATAATGTCTTGGATTCTGTATGCCCGGGAATGCCAAGCATATCCAGTTGGGAGGGTGGAGTCGGCCATCGAAATTCAGAAATCGTAGGCATTCCTGCGGGGAATCGCCTCTGAAAACCCATGATCTTCTGAATTGTCGTATAATAGAAGCAAGATTTCCGCACAGTTCTTGCACGGGTAGTATGCGATGACGACGGCGTTTTTCTGGTTCTCGATTCTAGTCGGACCAGTGACTCGCGCCGAGTATTTGGTTGACAGTCTCTCGCCGGATTATTGGGATTGCCGTACGTGACGCATTATCGTGGACAAGCCGCATGTATGGGGCGCTCATGTTCTTGATGTAGAGTTCGTCCCATGACGAGTGATCCGACGTGCCATCTGCGTTTGTTGGGAAGTTCTGAGTATGGAAGCACACATAAACATTCGCTGAAACCAACTGAAAGGCATCCTTCTCGACAACTGATCGTAAAATGCACAGCCTCGAGTTGAATGTACGGCTGGGTTGGACATCGCTGCTTGAACTGTCGCATAAAGCAAAAAGATGTGTTTCGGACGAATCAGCAGGTTGCTCGAAGCATGCATCCTTGGAATACACAAACATCAAACCTGTTTCGTTTCTGAAGACATAGGTGTAAATGCCTTCGTCATGGCACGTCTCAGCCAAAGATAACTCCGCCTGACCAAAACAAAGGACATGAAGAGCCGTCAGATTCAACAGTGCTCCTGTGCGTGAGTCAACCTTGATTTGAGAGTGCCAATGTCGCTTGAGACCACAAGAATTGATTTCTTTTGTGAACTCGAAGATATCGTTGTGCAGATCGGACGATGACAGTGCATTTCCGCCACGTGAAACTTTCCAGCAGGTTTGGCTGTGATCTTTTGCGTTCCATCGCTCGAATCCTTCATGGAGATAGACGTCATCTCCTAATCCGTCAAGACAATGATGTCTCCTGTAAACCGAAGCGAAATTGTCCAAGTCAAATAATGACTCTCTTTTATCAATGCCTAAGCAGCAAATAGCGGGTGCCTTGGTTCCATCCTTGTAGACGGGTGGAGCCCAAGACGGCATTCCTGCGGAAGCTCGAAGTCCTGTGGCATGAACAAGGACTCGAATGTCCTTCTGTACGATGAGAGAGTACGCATAGTACCCGATCGCAAGGTGCTGAAAAGAGATCGAATAAGAAGAAGTGAGCCGTTCCTCATGTTCCGCCATTCCCAACGCCCCGAAAAGCATGTCGCGAAGATCTGCAGATTTGGACTGTGACGCAAGGCTGACCGCTGCGACTAGAGGGGGCTTCTCGTCTGTGGGAATTCCTTGTGTGATATATTTGAACCACGGCACCCGGGTGCTGTGGAAAGAAGAGATGGGCCACGGCTCCGGACCGGGAGGATGTCCCACCCGGCGAGCGATGTTGAATTCCACATCGCCGATCCCGAATATGATGTCTCTCGAGAGAAGTAGTTCTTGGACAACCCAACGCCTCTGAAAATACTCTCGACTTAGCAATATGTCTAAGGTAACGTGTTCAAAGCTCTGTATATGCGACCGAGGCAGACGGGGCGGATCTGACATGGTTGTCAAATCTTGAAGGTAATGCCGCCGAGGAAATGGAGAAAGCCTGGACGTCGGCGCAACTATATCAGGCCCCAAATAAACAGAAGTTCGGGCAGCTCTTTCGTATATGAGCCCCATCTTTGTTACCTGGTTCTCTCTTTCGTAGAAATCATGCTGATTGATGCATATAGCATCCACCCAGACCGTTCGTATGTCTCTCCGTGGACGGAGGTATCGGAGCATCTCCCAGCAGTTCTGGGTTTGAACAAGAACGTCCCAGTGTCTACCAACATAAATCGGTCGACAAGGTGTGCTGTCGCCATTTTCTCCGCCCCAGGTGTAGGAGACCGTTTCGTATTCGGGATGTCTTTGGTCGTCGTGAATTTCTAAGTCGACATGAACAGGAGAGTCAACGTTTTCCACAGACGAGAGGCGTAGCAAGCGCAGTTGGTCAGGTTGTAGCTGCAAGGGATAGACAGAAGTACGAAAATCGTGCTGTGAGTCGTCTGCGCCGCCCAGCGAGTCATCCGCCGGCGCAGCAGAGATCAGCTCGGCCCCGTCATCTGCCGAAATGGTGGAGATCGACTCGTTACCATCATCTGCGAGCCCGAAAAAGAGTACCAGCATTTGGATTATCCGACAGGCTACACTGAAAAGAGTCGAAACGAACGAAGAAGAACACTTAGATTCAACCGGGACATACAGCGACCGCCAAATGTATGAATCGCTAGATGGGCCTTTGGGAAGGAGTGCTGAGGGAGAACGTGGTGTGTATGGGACACATGGCGGCCACCATAAGTTGAGCTGTCCAGGAGGTTCATCGGGAGGAATCGCCGAGGGGGAAATCCTCTCGGCGGCTTGGGCAGAAACGATTTCGTGCAAGTCTGGAGAAGCGTTGCATGACTTGCAGGTCGGTATCTGCTGTTCAACGACAATAACCGGGGCTGAGCAAGATGCTCGATGCCACCGGCTCATGCTGATCGAGTTAAACACCTGACTGGGCTGCGTTGTTGCCGGATGCCTGTCTGTCTACGGGTGAAGCTTGAATGATACTCTCCAAGAATGTAGATGTTGCAATAAACAAAAAGTAGGCTTGGACGGTGCAGAGAATTACGCACAATGACCTACTGTGGGGTAAGTCGCTGATGAATAGTCTGTTGTACAAGTGGATTTCAGGTATGCGAACGGAAGTGGAAATACGGGTGAGATTGAGGCCCAAACGAGCGGGCATGCAAGACTATGAGACGGCCAATCACACACAGACATAGAAGCAAAGGAGCCTTACCTTGGCTGTTCCATTTCATCTGCCTGCTTGTTGTTTTATTGGATGTTTATTGGCTAATGTCGCAACACTTGTCGTTCGTGGAAGCACGCTTAATTCTGCGGATGGAGTCTAAATATTCGCCAGTGTGCACTCCAAGACGAAGCCCAGTAGCGGAGATCTGCACCAACAACAGCCTTGCACGTCCAGCACTACATGAGCACTGTTGCTTAACATTTCAATCCAGCCTGAGAAGGTTTTCGCTGTCCTTAATTCATGACACTTTGTATCATGATTGAGCATTGATGCAAAGTATTTGGGATAGAAAACTGATACCGTCCTACAAGATCTTGACTATTTACAGCAGAATAACGAATAGTGTCTAGACATTTTCACCTAAACCCATGATACCTCAAGCCTTAGTGTTGTCCGGTAGGGTCACCTTCACAAACGGGCTTTCCCCTTCACCTTTGCTCGATGTCGAGCCGGCAGGGGTATCTGCACCACAGCATGAACCCTTCTGCCCCTCCTTCCCCGCATCTTCAAACAGCGTGCTCTTGTTGAAAGCCTGATTGGAAGGTGGCACATCGTTGGTGGGGTTGTAGTTGCAGAAGTTGTAAGGCTTGAGATGGAACTGCGCAATTTCGGCAGGCATGATGGGGAAGTCCTCAACACGGGGGTTGTGTGTGAAGCCGAAAGTGTGCCAGATAACAATGTCATCGTTGGGAATGTGATCTCTCGTCTTGGTCCACGACTTGATGCCAGTTCCACCGAGACCTTGGTTGGTGTAGTCGCCCGCCGGGAACAACTGGCGGTCCTTGTACTTGGTCACCCAGATCGGCGCCTCGCAGAACTCAGAGCGACGCCAGTGCCACGAGCCAGGTTGGGCAAGAAGCATTTGCGAACGGATGGGGACGAGCTTGTAGCCAACAGGAGTCAACGAGACGGGGTTCTGGATGTTCTCGTTGACAATCTTGAAGACCCGTCCGTCCTTCAGGCTATCCTCTACGGGTCCGGCACGGATGACGGGAGTCTCCTTGCTGACGTAGCCCGTGCCTAGTGGGTTGAGCTTCTCATCCCAAGGCATGGCTACCGAGTCGGTGTATGTGAAGGTGTTCTGGTGGCCGTCGACAGCGGGATCGATGCGGACGTTGAATAGATGCTGGTGGTATGGAGCCATGACACCGTCGGCAACACGGGTTCCCCAAGGAACCTTGGAGTCCTTGTCGATGGGCTGCGTGGACAGGATACCGGTAGCCCTGGTTTCGAAGGAGATCTCGCCTGATTGATCCAAGATCCAGGCAAAGATGTACTCATAGTTGGCAACGGTAATGATCTGCTGGAGAACGAGCTGTCTCTTGCGGACGACGGTGGCCTTGCCGGTTCGGTGGTTGGTGTGCTTCCATTGGATGCCGTTGTCGATTTCATGGATGCAAATGGCGTTGGGGCGGGGAGCTGGGCTTCCGTCGGCTGAAACGACACAGCCGCTGATGTACTTGATAGTACCGAGGCAGTCACATCCAACTACCAAGTGTTAGCAATCCGTATTGAGAGTTGACAGAAGAAGCTTACGCTGAAGATTGTTTGCAGTTACACCGGCACCAACGTTGCCAAGATCGAAGGCACCCTTGCGATAGATGGGGCTTCGAGGGTCTCCGTAGGGTACGAACATCTCGGAAAGGGAGAGACGGTAAAAAGTGCTACGGTCCATAAAGTGTAGATCGTGCAAGGTCAAGCCTGTGACTTGTCAGATCGAGAGCTTGATGAGGGTCATTGATGAACTAACCTTCGCGCCAGTTGAAGCCGACACGGAAACGCCACTTCTCCCATTCGATGAGGTGACCCTTCACGGCGAACGAGGCTCCCTCGGGCTGGACAACGTTGTATGGCTTCATAGATGTCCGAGGAGGGTTCTTCTGAAGACGATGGTCGTACTCGGGCTCGGCGGGGTCTGTCTCGCGATGTGTGATGTCGTCCATGCCTTCTGTTGTGCTCTCGTCCGAACCTAGTGGCAGCCGGATGATCTTCTTCACCTTCATGGTGCAAAGATCCACAATGACCATAAAGTCGAGAGGGAAGGAATAGTGTGAGGAGTCCACATCGTTGTTCTTCGGGTTTTTCATGTACATGAAAACCTGCAATGCGTTAGAGAATGTCCTACGTAGAGGCGGCGATCTATCATTACCTGTGTCATACGTTCTTGTGTGTCGATGCCATCAACACCATAGTCCCATGGGTCAAGAACAACGTTCGCTTTGTCAATCTTCAACCGTGCGAGTTCCTTGTGGACGTCGGCGTTGGCCATCACCACCTGAGCCGCCTCGTTGAGCTCGACACGGTCGACAGGTCCGTGAAAGTCTCGTGAAAGCTCTTCGTGCTGAATGACTCGCTTGTTGGTGACATCGATCACGCCCTCGAACAGCCGAGGAGATCGCTTGATGTACCAGATCGCAAAGATGCGACGAGGGATTTCTGGTAGAGGTTCTCCTGCATGCTCTGCCTTGAGGTATGCGACCATCTCCTGCTTGGGAGGCTCGTCGAGACCCGCAGCCTTGAAGTGAAGAGGGATGCCATAGAATAAGTTCTTGACTAGGTCTGTGGCAATTTGGATTTCCTCGGCCGTGGCCGGATCAAGGGGATGAAGATACTCTGAAGAAGACATGGTGTTGAGGTCTCGACTGAAGATAACAAATGACGAGGAAGAGAGAATGATGAAAGGGAAACCTGACTGACAACCCCATCACTTCGCCGGATATCTGCTTATATCCTGAGACGAACGCCGAAGCCGAGTCAACTAGGACTCGGTCGCCCGTCCGGATCGGCATGACACGGCCTCCCCCGGCCGGGTCAAGTGGTGCCGCTAGTGCCGTCCGGTCTCACCAATCATCATCAATCCCTGTCGGGACTGGGCCGAGTCATATCTCCACAAAGAATGCGGGGAAACCCCGAAAGAAACTGCGGGGTGGCCAGAGATAAGCTGCAAGGCGGGAAAAAAGGGGACTCTTGTCTCCGAAGATAGGGGCAGACACGGAGGCGAGACTGTTAGAGAACGCGTTGGCGAGTCTGGTAAATCAAGGGAGACTCAAAGCCGCCGATGTTGCCCCTGATCTCGTCGACCAAGGTCGGTCTATCACATATACTGACGATTCCCCCTTTCGCCCGTCCCCATGTCGCTTGAGGACTCTTCTCCGCGTTCCGAAGCTGCCAATGCCGCTACTCGGCCGCGGAGAATCTGGACACCGGCCGAGGACGCGATACTGAAAGCCCTTGTATCTCACTACGGTGACGCAAGGGGCCTGCAGAGCCGGTGGAAGGACATTGCCGCAGGCCTGCAAGACCGCACTGCCAAGGTGAGGACCTTTACCCCGGCAGGAACATGGCATCTGAGAGCAGACTTTAAAGACTGACTATTCATGAAGGACTGCCGGAAACGTTGGTTCCACTCGCTTGATCCATCATTAAGGAAGGGTAGATGGACAGCACAAGAGGACCAGGTCTTGTTGTCAGCATACGACCGTCTTGGACCCGCCTGGCATGACATCGGTAAGAGGCAGCCATCTGTTATTGATCATCATCTGGCTCCGTCTAATATCATCTTCTCTAGCTGTTCTAATACCTGGAAGGAAAGACGACCAATGCGCCAAACGATATAACGACATCCTCAACCCTCAGGCAAAAGACCGTCTGAGTCACTGGAGTCCCTTGGAAGACGATATCCTTAGGGAAGGCGTCCAGACACTGGGTCATCGGTGGTCCGCAATATCGGCCAAGCTACCCGGCCGCCCTCCCCTTACATGTCGCAACAGGTGGAGGGCGTTGTCCAGACACTCCAAAGGCTCGCCTTCAACTAGCACGCCGTCATCAACAGCTTGCCAAATGTCAGCAAGTGAAAATGGTATCTCGCCAGAGACCCAAGACTTGGCTACACCATCAGCTGGAATCGATGCAGAAATGCCTAATCAACTCGATCTCGGCAACCTCAGTACGGCCATGATGGACACTAATACAAGTTTGGCAGATGATGCCATGAACTTTGTCTCGGATCCCGGACACTTTCCAGAGATTTCCGCGCAGTCTCACATCACAGAGCACACTGATGCCAGTACCCTAGGCATCATTGAGGACACCGAAGCAAATCAACGCCAATCATATCAAGGCGTGTCGTCCGACAGCTCTGACTGCGCTTCGACACCACCGAGATCAGGATGGGATACTGCTCCAGAAATGCCGCTTGCTGGTCGACAAATCGGTTCTCAAGGGGCAACCACCAGATCAAGACCTGCGCGGCCACCACAGTCCTCAAACTCGAGTATGAACGCGATTGACTACAACACCGTGGCTACATCACACTCATCCCATAATCACTTGTCGATACCCTCACCAAATCAATATTTGGAGCTTTTCGCCGATGATTTCGGCCAAAGTCTCCCAGCAGACATATTCAGATACCCCGCTGCACCACAGCAAGTTGTGCATCATCACCACCACTACCACCACCATCACCATCATCACCACCACCACCATCATCAACAGGAGTCCAGTGCACTCAGACAGTTTGAACAACAAGCTGAAGCGCAGTCAATGAAAACACAGTCGAGACCAGCTGCGCGGGGAAGAGGTTCTTTTGCTTGACCAAGTTCAGATATACATGATACCTTCTTGTACATAGTCAATACAACCTGTTCGTTTTCGTGTCTGGACCATCATCACTCCTGATGCCTGAATGTTCCCTGCAATGATATCTCCTGAGAATTCCCTCATGCAATTGTATCATTCAGCATTAGAGGCATTGTCGCCAAACAGGTTGCTGCCGATCCATGAACGGGGTACTTGAGATGGGCTGGGCAATCGTTCTTCCCCGCCCAACAAAACAAGGACGAACGGAAATGGTCTTTTGTCATGATTCGGGTGCAAGTCTACCGTTACCATCGGAGCCGTTGTCCAGTCGCTCGGCAAAGTCCAATTGACTCAGCTCAGAGTAGCGGAGACGACACGGAATTGACGGTGATGGTGTCGGATTTGCAACAACAAGAGATAACAACTGGTCATATTATACAACTCGAATATCGCGTGTGATTAGTCAAGATCAACTTGCATATCAAAGACTTGTCGTGAACAACGTCAGCAGACACCCGCGGAATCAGGGATCTGCCGGCCTCAACCCATCCAACCCCGCGGTTCTGAGATATGACTCGGCCCAAATGGCTGGCGCTAGCCCATCCCCATCCGGTCCCTTATCCGCCCAAGTTCAGCCCCTAAAAGAGCACGGCTCACTGTTGACTCGGCCCAAAGTATCTTTTGTTAGCCACGACGGTCTTCCTCGACATTGTATATACACTGAAGAACTGACCCAGCCCCAAGATGCCTGCTATGGTTTTCCTAGGTCGGACGACTTTTTTATAATATCGAACGATTGAAAATGGCGGACTTGAAAGCTGAGTCAAAAGACGACAATGCGTTGAAGCAAACATCGACTGCCCACGATGGGGAGATAGCGCCTACTACGGGCGGCGGACCCGGCCTGCATAGAGGGCTATCAGGCCGTCACTTGGTACGTTGAATGACTGACGACACAGTGTTTTCCAGCGATTGTTGTGGGCTAACTCGGTTCTGTTGGTGCAGATGATGCTCGCTATTGGCGGTGTCATTGGGCCTGGGTACTTTGTGGGAATGGGCACGGGTTTGACGAGCGCCGGGCCGGCGGGTCTTCTTCTCTGCTTCACGGTTGTCGGCGTGCTGCTCTGGGCTGTTATGCAGTCTCTGGGCGAGCTTGGTGCTTTCATTCCACTGTCAGGTTTGTTCCCATGTTCGGATTCGAAGCAGATTGAGTTGCTAATAGCTTGTCGCGGTACCTAGGTTCTTTCACGCATTACACCTCCACCTTCGTTGACCCCGCCGTTGGTTTTGCGCTGGGCTGGAATTACTGGCTGCTTTGGGCTGGAATCATCATTGCGGAATACAGTACGAAGAGCATCAGTTGTCATGTCTGGTAAAGCTGATCTTTGATGCAGACAATCTGGGCCTCGTCTTAACATACTGGGAGACTGCTGTTCCGAGATGGGGGTGGATCTTGATCTTCTGGTAAAAGTCTCCCCTGTAAGCTGTCCGGTTCATCGCGCTGACAACTGCACCTTGCAGGTGGTTCTTCCTCGCCTTCACCCTCCTCGGCGTCAAATCCTTCGGCGAAGCAGAGTTTTGGCTGGCCCTCGTCAAAATCCTCGCCATCTTCGCCTTCTTCCTCTGCGCGATTCTCATAACATCCGGCGTCCTCGGCGGCGAGAAGATTGGGTTCAAGTTCTACCATGACCCCGGCGCGTTCGCCGACGGCGCTAAAGGCGTCTTCAAAGTCTTCGTATTTGCAGCGCTGCAGTACAGCGGCACCGAAATGATCGGACTCACTGCAGGAGAGTCGGCCAACCCAGCGCGCGACGTGCCCAAGGCCGTTAAATCCGTACTCTGGCGCATCTGCGGCATCTTCCTGCTGGGCATATTCTTTCTTACCATTACCGTGCCATACAACGATCCGAATCTGCTGTCTGCGACGAGCAAGACGGCCCGGTCGCCGTTCGTCATCGCCTTTACGAGAGTGGGCGCGAATGCTGGGGCGCATGTCGTCAACGCCATCATCCTCGTCACGATGTTCTCCGCTATCAATGCGGCGCTGTACGTCGGGTCACGCACGCTCTACGGCCTCGCCCAGGAAGGACAAGCCCCCAAGATCTTCGCATGGACGAACAAAAACGGTGTCCCGGTCGTGTCTCTGGTTGTCATGAATCTTATCGGCTTCTTATCTCTTCTCAACCTGTCGTCTGGAGCAGGGGTAGTCTACACCTGGATTATTTCCATCACTGGTGTCGCAACCTTCATCACATGTAAGCCACCTACGATTCCCATCATACGTTCATCGCTAATACTCGTGGACCAAAGGGGGTCTGATTTCTCTCAATCATATCCGTCTGAGGATGGCCCTCGCTGCGCAGAACATCAGCGCAGATGTCCTGCCCTTTCAAGCGCCCGCCTGGCGGTTCTGTGCCTACCTGGGACTTGCTGGCAATGTCTTCTTCATCTTCTTCCAGGGTTGGACATCTTTCGCTCCATGGGATGTCGAGGCATTCTTCCAGAACTACGTCGTCGTTTTGCTATTCATCATTTTGGCTGTGGGCTGGAAGTTTGCAAAGAAGACGAAATTTGTCAACCTCAAAGAGATTGACTTGGGCAGCGCGAGGATGGTTATCCAAGGTCAAATGACAGGACAGCCTCAATGACAGTAAATCACCTTCCCACAAGGGGTGTCTTCTTATAGTCATTTCAATCTTCACAAAGCCTGCAAAGCATAACTTCAGGAACTATTGCCTATGCAGTATTGAAGTTCTTTAAACTAAAAGCATCCCTCACTGGATCTTGAACCATTGACCAAAGACTCCTGAGGGGTCGTACTTCGTCTTGAGAGTCTTCAGTCTGTCCAAGCTGGATCCGTAAATCGCCTCCAATTCCTCGTCACCGTGAGCAAAGTTGATGTACCTACGCAATCTTTCGTCAGCAAAAAGTCAGAGTCTCACATACAGCATTTCAACTTACGTAGGGTTCACAACAGCACTAGACGAGAAGCTCCAGATGTCCCTGACCTTTGAGCCAAAGGTCTCCGCCACAGAGTCCAGAGTGACATCCTCATACCATGGGATCACAATGGCCTGCGCGAATGCCTCCTGGCGAAGCTCGTCTTGCATCGCTGCGGAGCCCGCAGGCTTTGACTTGGCAGTAGTCAGGTTGTAGCGCTCGATCAGAACAGCAGAGTTCTGAGCGGTCGACTGGTTTTGGAAGCCGGTGTAAAGGGACCAGATCGCGGGCCATGTCTCCGCCTTCATGTTGTTGATCGTCGTGCTGAATGCCGGCTTGCGGCCCCCGCGGGCACAGAAGTTGTCGTTTGCAGCGTTCCAGCTGGTGTAGGGCGTCACTGCGCTGGAGTTGGTCAAGGGGCCAAGGCTGTACAGAGGCGCAAAGGCCTTGAGGCCTTGCTCTTCGGTGCCCTCGCGGAGAAATCCGGTAACGAGAACCATGGGAGAGTTGGAAGCGTCACCGGAGTTCGTGAGGACCAAGTAGACGACCTGCTGCGGCAGGAGGGGAAGGTCCTGGATTGTTTGCGCAACGTCGGCGATCTTGGCAGGGTCGAAGGTAAGTGACATGATCCACGAAGTGCGATTCGTCGTCGGGAACGCGTTTACGGTTGCAGAAGTGACAATGCCGAAGTTTGGTGCAGCTCCTCGGAGAGCCCAGTAAAGGTCAGGGTTAGATGTGCTCGAGGCAGTCAGAGCTTCTCCGCTGGCGGTAATTACCCTCATGGACAGAACGTTGTCGACGGCGAAGCCATGTTCTCCCATAATGTTTCCATAGCCACCACCAAGAGCGGCTCCCAGAGCTCCGACACAGTTGCAGTTACCCGTCTGAACGAGAACTCCAGCGGCATCTGCAGCAGTGATCACATCACCGATGAGTGCACCACCTCCGATCGTGGCTGTCTTCTTATCAGAGCTGATGTTGACCTGGTTCAGACCGGCGAGGTTGATGAGGACCCCGGTGCTGCCCAAGTTGAACTGGCCAGTCGCCCAGCCATTGCCGCCGTTTTGAGGGAGGAAGGGGATGTTGTTTTCGGCGCAGTATTTGACCTGTCAGAGGAAGATCCATGAGCATGGCTACTAGTCTAAGATGATAGTCAGGGGCAGGTGACATACCACAGCGCTCAGATCCTTCTCAGAGGTGGCATTGACAATCACAGATGGCGTGGGCAGATCAAAATCACTCCATCTCGCCCTCACCTGGACGCCAACAGATGAGGTCGAGACAAGACTGAGCAAATCATCGGCCACGGATCGAGCACTGACATCGACGGCAGCAGATGCTACCATGGTCAGGAACTGCACACCGACGAGTAGAAGCCGCATGGTGAACGAGAAAACAGAGTGTGACCGGGGTTACAACGGCGAGTGATCGTCAACGAGAAACAGTGACAGCCAAGGAGCTCGTGCATTTGAAAGGACAGGTTTGGGATCTTAAGGGTCTGTGAGCGGGCGTCGGCACGCGTCTGCGTGACATGCTGTGATCTTTCCAGAAGCCCCTTTGATGACCTATCTTGATTGAGCAACGCCGTTGAAGAACATGAATTGCCGAATGCGTTGGCCCTTCCGTGAGGAATACTGCATCGTACAGGTGCCTTGGCAAGGGCAGGGATAGGGGATCTTCTCCATCTTCAGTGGCACAGTAGCATCTCAGGGGATACGGACCTTAGCGGACGGGGCGTAGTCCGAATATTCCAATCGTACGACGAAGTCTTGCCAGCCTTCAAGACACCAACGCAGCCGTCCATTCCTACGTCCCCGAGATTGCAAACTCCACCAGAGCAAGGTCGTGTTGGACGCCCCCGCGCCACGTGTGGAGCTCTGAGCTGGGTTCGACCTGGCTGTGCGGGATTTCTGCTGTTCAACTCACGATTGCACATCGTGTTGCAGAATCGCCCGCTTCCCTGACTCAACAGGGCACTCTCCACTGCCCCTCCCCCAAACAGCGGATACTGAGGTTATTTTGACCGCTGAAGCAGATCATCAGCGGGTCGGTAGCACGACCACCGATCGAAGAACTGTAAGAAAACGAATATCTCGGCCAGCCTTCACCACTGGCAAAAAGAACAGGATACATTGACAGTCCATGCATGAACGGCGACGATTATAAACCCCACAATTGAAACTTCTGTTCACGGCGTTGCAACCCTGAACGGTCAAAAAAGTGACTCTTCCTCGATTAGGTTAGACGTGATGCCTACACCCTGCGCACACCGCGGGATCAAATGAAATCACTCGCGGCCTCCGACCCTTGAGGGATTCGTAATACTGCTTACTGCTGGGCGCAGCCCACTAGGAATAATCATAAATGGTACTCAAGTCGAAAACGGCCAAGATCTTGCAACCCAGCCCCGTCGATGGCGCTCAATTCGTGTTGGTAACTGTTTCCCGTGAAGTAAAGTTCCGGTTATCCGTCCGGCCCCCAAATCCATTAACGCCTCCGCCCATATCCCTTAGCATCCCCATTATAACCCAAGTCCATTTGTTCTCAAGTTGGCCGTGCTGGAATTGTCCGATTGCTCGATCGTCTGGTGTATGGTAGTCTCCCTCACGATGTCGTTTTCTCTGATTGATCCTGACCGGGTCAAGCCATCATGTCGAGTCAACTCAAGTTCGTCCAGCTCCTCGTAAGGCGGAGTTCTGAGACTGCTTTTTCGGGCTCCGTAACGTTTTGATGATCCATACTCGTACGAGTTGCTCCCTGTCGCCGCAGGTTTCGGGAAGAAGTGTAACCAGATTGGCCGAAGGGTTGGAAGACAGGCGCATACAATGGCTAAAGAAAGCTCAATGTTTGTCCAGAAGAATACTGGCGCGGTATAGTCTATACATGGAGTCAATAGGCATTCTATCAAATTGAGACTGCGACATAGCTTACAAATGACGTCGTTGGGATGCTTGATGTACTCTTCCGCAATAGCAAAGGTAGCGATCACTCTTGTAACGCTCACTGCGCAGACCCTGCATATACAGTTAGCTGTGTTGTTTTCTCACTGAGGTTATGCAAACTTACGCTGCGCCCAACCCGAGCATCCCGATCACAGCCAACTTCTTCTTTAGCGGCATTCTTACCCTTATGACCATCGGGATTGGAAGTATAAGGATCGCGAAGTCGGCCACCACGTCGGTGAACAGCAGCGCCAGGAACATTGGCACCGTCTGCACGCAGGAGTTGCCGTAGTAAGGTTCGATGAAGACGGTGATGGGGTAGCATGTGAACAAATGAGAGAAGAAGAAGCTGACGGTCCAGCCAATGACGAAAGCAAGCGCAGCATAAACGACATAGTGAAACCTGCGACTTGGGAAGAGGCTCCGGTACAGCACCAAGATGGACGACTTGACTAGGCCCAAGCCCAGAATGGATATCATGTTCAGTGCAAACTTGGTCTACGTCGACATAAAGCTTGTTAGCAGGAGCCAAGAACAAGACGAAAGTTTAAAGTTAGGCTCACCTCCTCGAAGAAGATCAACCCTGGATCGTCCATGATCGGTGACCCGTCAGGAAACGTAGGTTGGTGCTGGCCCAAGTGTCCATGGATCGCGGCTGTTCAGATGATTAGCCTCAGATGATCAATGTCAATGTGAAGGTAAAACCTACTAGCCAATTGTAAAGTACAGCAGGTGATAGAAACCAGCTGCAGGATCTGTCAGCGCCTCGACCGGCAGGCAGACGGAGGGCAAAACGAACCAGCGCAAACCCCGCGAGGTAGTCATCCCACGCAAATCGCTTGACAAGCAGCTTCGCCCATATTCGAAGCACATAAAATATGGTCGGAATGATCATGAATCCAACGGCCAGACCGATCATCTGGCCCTTGGTGTAGTCGTGGTTCATTGTCACCATGATGGGCAAATTTGCGCCCGTGGGTCAGTGACCAAAAGGCGGGTTTGCTGAGTTCGGTCGGCACTGAGAGAGTCGGGCTCGTCGTTGCTTAAAATGTGGACACGGTGCCCCAAACCGACCGTGGGGATCACGGTGAAATATGTGTCGAAAGGTGTCTCGAGGCAATTTTGGTTCTGATCATGGCGATAGCAAAGGAGTGTCGTGTCGCATACTGCTCGCAGCAGATTGTCACCGTCGGTTCATCCACGGAAGAGATCCTTCCCTCTCTATCTCATGCTGGCGTGGCATCTGGCACCTACTAAGTAGCAGTTGGGTTACTATGGCCGCCGTTATCACCATAAAACAGGATAGCATGCAAAAACGCCCGGGCACTGCCGCAGGGGAGAATCTTCCGTGACTGATATTCCTCCAGGTTGTCCCATGCACTGAGGGCTCCTCGGCGCAACAAGAACCGGTAATCACACGCAGGGTCTCGGAAGACATGACTCGGTGTCCTTGTCTGCCCATGTCCAACAACCCTTGTCGATAAACCGTTGGAGGTGCTTCGAATGACCGGACCCCACTCGTTCCCGGGGTTGGAGAGTGATGTTCGCCCTCACGGCACAGGGAGTTGCGATACCGTGAACCTTAAAATGCGTTCCTTTCGGTGCAGAGTTCCAATAACGGGTCAAGTGGCGAGCTGTGCATGTCTTGGTTCTTGTTGATGCGATAGACGAGATGGGTCAGGTCTCATCGATCGTGAGTGCTCAATGCTCAGTGGGACTGTCGAGGATCTTGAATGTCTATGAGCGAGAAAAGCATAGTCTTTGGAACACGACCTGAGCTTCAGATGGCATGCATGAAATTTCAAACGAATAAACAGGTGCAAATAAGACTGCGATAGTAAGGTCGGCTGAAGTACAAAAGAGTGCTTCGAGAACGTAATCGAAGATGGAAAGATACAGCCTCGAGCACGAGATACCCCTATTCAACCCTAGGCGCGACGCGCATGCCTCCGCGAATGAATACAGGGTGCGGCCCTCCAAACCCAGCAAAGGAGCCAAAGTGTCGGACAGAAAACATTCATGGGTATGGTAATACTCCGTAGGATCTCTGGCACCTCGTCGGTGCCGCGAGAAACGCAGGAATTGGTGTTGCACTTATCTCTTGGCTCACACAGAAGCCGGCACTAGTTGCGTAGTCACCGGGCGGGACATCAGATGCAATGCAGGGAGTTTTCCTGAGATACTGGCATGTTGAAGCAAACTGCCGCTACATGCTGCAGGTGGTAATGCAGGGCAGAATGGCGTTATGCGAAGCACTATTACGCGGGGTCGCATTCAAGCCTGTCAGGGAATGATTTTCTTCATTCCATTCATACCAGATTGATTGCAGTTGCTTCCCATGTCGTCATACCGAACATGAACAGATAGATCACAGTTTTGAATTCAGATCTTGCTATTGTGTCAATGATCGTCAAATAGCACACTCTGGCTCGGCAAACGATGAGCGTGTTGAAAGTGGATTGCGATCCATGCTGAGTACGACGTACGAGTCCGAGGGGGGTCTCTTGGCAGCAGAGGCCATAAAATCCTAGAAAAAGCAGCCTTGCCGAAGTTACAATGCAACCGCCGTGTCAAGGTACACTCGTGATCATGGGGACTGGATCTCGAAGACCCCGTTTGCTCGCTTGGCCCCCTATCGCACCAAACTCCATCGGCAACAGTCATCCGAAATGGAGCAACCAATCCATGGTTCAGAGCATCTTCGGGGAGCGGAGGTACTCCAACGACGAGACACATGTAGCACACATAATGAGGAATGGGCGCGGCGATGTACTATGGTATGATGGGTAAGTAAAACTGGTGGAGCAGGTATCGCGGGGACTTGTGGCCCACTCGAGGCTCTGGATTAACTGCTGAATGGCTGTGTGAGCGATGTACCGGCCCTGGTTTGCCTGGCCCGCAAAGACCTGACAGTGTGTTTTTATTTTGGCCTGGTACCGCAGTATTGCAGCCCATGCGGCATTCTCTTCAAAAAGGTGCTTGTCTATGGACTGAACCGGAGCCGACTGATAACCACCGATGCCCGTGCCTTATAGCCGATGAACCCCCACAAACCCCTGAGTGCGACCATTGAACTTTAATCTGAAAAAAGTTCACACTTCGTACTAAGTAGGTACGCGAACTTATGATTCGCCCAGTAATGGTGTCAAGGGGTGTCCGCAAAAAGTCGGGGCCGACGTAGAGAGTCCGCCTCTTACCACGTGACCAGGATCTGATTCCATGATACATGCATGCGCGCCAAGAGTGACGGAATTCAACTCTTCGAGTGGAAGAAAGGCGATCCAACAGGGGCCAGAAACGTTATTTCGCGGGGTTTGACGAAGAGGGGCTCTGTTGCTGCAAAATAATCCGTGTAGTAGTCCTTCTTCAATTGAATCTGTAGTTAAGTCCAGTTAGATGTCATTTCTGTGGAGGTTGTCATCATCAAAAGAGGTTTACGAACCTCAAAGAGCCATTCGCGAGATTCGGACCTGCGATTCTGATCAGGATTTGTTGCGTGGTACATGGAAACGGGATAAGCCAGAATAGATTGCCCAGGGCCAGAAAGTATATCGCAATGCACTCACCACTTCTCAAGCCACGAAATAGCTCCAGGGTCATCTGGAGATCTGTACAACTCGAAAAAAACCAATTGAGGCTCTGCTTTGATTTTCTCGAAGACCGGCTGGGCTATCTCAAACCATTTCCCCACATTCTCAGGGTCGAGGTGGATTGTGACGTAGAAGGTCGTTTCGGACTTTGACTCCGCCATGATTCTGGGACGATGATTGAGTTGACAACAGAAGAGAAGCTGTACTCAGAGGTCGGGTGAAATCGAGGCTTTTATCAGGTCAGAGCTGGCTCATGCATGTCAGATCAAAAAAAGCTAGAAAGGGAGAAGGATGCATGTCAAATATGTCAGATGTGTCCGATAGGGCATATCCGATGGGGCCGTAGCCGATGAGGGCATAGCCGATGGCGGCTGCAACACGTCTAGTATTAAAGGCCAAATGCGGTGTTATCTGACCGCCCGATCTGACACATTTTTGGTAGTTTGAATCGGCCGGCGTACCAAAACATCATCATTGTCAATAGTTGAAAATCGATGTCCTGTTGTTATGATAACTTGCTTTCACGCAAGAGGGACTGCGATGCCAATGTAAGTGCAGTGGACCCTGCAGTCCCTGGGGCCACGATGTACGGGGTACCATTCAAGCACGGGAAATGGACGAAAGTCTCTCGATGGAAGCACTTTGGAAAGCCTGATTGCCAAAGTCCCAATGGGTAGTTGGCAAAGCATGTAAGACGAACACCAACGCAGTAAGACTTTAGGCACATCTCCAAGGCTTATGTAACAAGTTGCTTGGGGTGATGTCATCAAAGGATTGGAGCCTACTAGGAGGTATTCACATTCTCGGCTATACTTGTATATTGGATGCTGATGCAGACTTGTAGAACTACGTCATGTCTTGTACTGATAGACGTGAGGGCAACGCGTCGACCTGCAGGGCTCGAACTGCTCGATATGTTTGTCGAAGCTATGGAATTATGTTCCCAGAAGAACCCCGGTTGCTTTTCCGCGACTGTCTACTTTTCCTGTCCTACAGCGACTACATTTCCTGCGGTTGTGTACCTTGCTCTGACTTACTGTCATCGGCATCGTTGTCGTCTCCAACGTCGTCACTGTTATTCGTATCTAATATAGGTAGGCAAATCTACAGGAAATATAGTCGCGCGGAGGCAAGGAAATGGAGCGATCTCAATTTATAACTGTACCGTTTCCGTCGCATCTCAAGATCAGATGGGAGCTCAACTTTGCCCTCGTCCTGTTGCGCATCGGAACCCTGCTTCATCGATCGGCTGAAGTTCCGACGGGTGGGGCCGAGCCGTCCGCCGGAAACGGCCATTTACTTCGGACGATCGGACTTAGTAACGTGGCTTCTGCGAGTCAACGGGGACACAAAGATTTCTGAGGCTATAGAAGAGTACCTTTTACTGCTAATGGTCTCTATACTCTGTTTTGATACCAGAGTGCAGTCGGACACACTATGAGGTGTTTAGACTGAATCTTGATCATCCATGGATGCATTAGGCGAATTAGGTGCTAGAGAAAAGAAGGTCAATCGTAATCTCAGAAGTTTGCACAGAGAGTGTTTGGATCGCTTCTCAATTATATATTCTGACGTGTTAGATTCCCTTCGGGTTGTCCGTTTAGAGGCTAATTCGATGCGAGTGATACTGCACCCTGACCGGACTACCTAGGTTGTTTCAACGAGAGGATATTAGTAAAATCCGCACGGAATGCTGTGTGAGATCTTTAGAGGTATGCAAATGAATTAAGATTGACAACACATCGTTTGCAGGAAAGCAACTTTGGAAGCCTTCATGCCCCAAGCCACGCCTCGTCAGACCGCAGGTCTAGACACCGGGCTTGAAGTTGCGCATAATATCAGAGTCTTTCCTTAGAATCCGCAGTTTGCACCGGAACAAAGACATTGGAACGAGTCAATTAGAATTGTGAAAGGTTCAAAACTCTAGCACCTCGTTACCTATGGAGAAGGGCTTAGCTCAACTTTCCCGCCGCGGACCCCTTCGACCGCGCGGTCGACTTGGCGCGCGGGATGCAACTCAACTTTCATAACGCAGCTCCGCGTGATCCATAGAGCCTATGCTCATTGGATCGCTTCATCTTATTACGTCAATTGGAGTGGGATTCACGAAGATGCTGCCGTTGTTGTCACTAGCATCCAAGATTGACCATGGTTGATGATCAGCTATCTCATCTAATCAGATCTGCTCAACCAGTTAACATAGGACAAGGGGCATGATCTTGTACGGCAAACGATATTAAATTGATGCAGTCTGGTAATACGTATCCACCATTGCAAGCAATTGCCGAGGTCAAGCTTTCTGGCCGATAGCCAAGATAGCCAAAATTGCAGATAGAGATCAGAGTTGGAGGGGTTCAAAAGACTATAAGAGCAGTCTGGTTCCTGACTCCTTACTTGCTTACTTTCTGACCTTTCACTATCACTCCCAACGACTGCAAAACACTCTCAAGCAACTTGAACTCCTTATCCTCGGCAAAATGAAGTACATCTCTGTTTTGGCTCTTTTCGGTACGTTTCCATGATTCTAGGGCCATGCCATGTTATAAGTTGAGCTAATCGGACTAACCGTCAAAGCTACCCTGGCTCTTGCAGCCCCTTCCAGCCAGCAGGCCGAGCCTGAGCTGGAGGCTCGCCAGGGCTGCGTCCCCGACTGGTCCAAGGGCCCGTTCGGAGGCTGCCCTTAGGCAACAAAACGCGCATCAAGGCTTCTGCGACATAGCCTATCAGAAGTTTCCAACACTTTAGGCGCCTGCGATCATTACGCCAACAATGTGAGAATTTGGGTACTAGGCACCCATTTAAACCTCAAACGTCGGAGAGATAGGACGCTCTTTATCAACAATCAGATCTTTACCCGACAGACCATTTGCCCTTACCTGTGATTGCAAGATGATTGACACATTCGCAACCATGATCAATATGAATGGATGAGACTCCTCATTATGTGCATGCGCCGGAATGTCCTTTGGCAGCTGATGTTCATAGCAAGTTTGTCAGTGCTTTGAGTCTCATGCCGTGCTGTTGTTAAACTAATTGAAGGGGTTTTCATTGTGAATAATGGGGCTCTGAGAAACCATATTGAAATGAAGTGTTGATACAGCACCTAAACGTGATACATGTAGATGGCACGATGTTTTGTACCACTCTGGAATGCGCCATTCTAGCGTTCGTTCGAGCTTGCGTGCCATCCAACTAGGCTGCCAGAAAACTAGACTCTACGTCCAATCTGTGTTGATCCACGTCCCTCAACCAAATCGCCGTACTCTGAATCAGGAAAACAAAACATTGGACTTAGTGAGCAACTGCTCGTCCCTACAACTATGGCTCAGAAAGATGCACTGCATTTCGGCGCCAGGAGTTTCGAGAGCGAGTATAGGCTCAGCCAGCACGACTGGGAGGTAATCAACTATGACTCTTGAACGAAGCAGCGTGGTCGGAAAGATTAGACCGTAGAGTAAGAAGGCTTGTTGCTGTGATTTAGGTATAAGGATTAGTTGAAGAAGATAGATTTATTCTATTTAGTTGCGAAGGTCCTTTTGACTCAGTTCCCTTCATTTGGATGGTTGATGATGTCTGGCAGGGTGTCCTCGCGTAAATTCGGTGACTGCCCTCCCGAAGTAATACTACACGAGGCAAGATGTGCAACAACTGTTCGTGGGCGGTCGAGGTGCTCAGCGGGATTATCACGTTCTGCTCTAAGTCCACACCAATAATCGCTTGTTACGCTCAACGCAGCATCCACCCAACATCCCGCCCGGACGCAGGCAAGCTTCAACTTTGCGACTGGATAGACACATGGCATGCGACACGTTGTAGCAGAACAGCCGGTTGGGCGTAGTTTCCTTCCCGAGCCCTGACAAGCAACAACTCCTCGATCACGGCCTAGTCACGTTGGCGCATTGGGTTGATTCTGGCGGACTAGCTCCTCGTATCCCACCGGCTGCCGCATGACACAGGTAACCCCTTGTGCGACCTCCAATCAATGCATACAAAGAAGCATAAGATCTTCACTTGACTACTTAGAGAATTCAATTTACTTCGTAGTTGGAGTAAAAATTGGGCCGCACTGTAGACGCTTTTTTCGGCGTCATCCTGCACCCGGTGGGATACGTTTCGCAATCAAATCTAGATGCCGATCAAGCCGAAGAGTGATTACATCCGATCACATCTTTCTATCAAAAAGGATAACATGATGAATTGCAATTTGTCTTCAGCCTGGTCGGGATCTGCGATTGAAAGAGGGTGCGTGAGTTGCCAGATCACTGCAATGTATCTCCTAGAATGTGTACTTCCGAACCACCCAACTTAACGACTAATTACCATAAAGGGGAATTTGCGGTCTTCTTTCTTCCTTTCTAGATTAAATACGTGCTTTTTTTGAGGCATGAGTAAATGGCAAAACACTTAATCTTGCTTCCAAGAGTGCCTGGTATGTAACATGCCCTTATTGGAAAGTCTGTATCAAGGAGGCGAACTGTGTGTTTTGCGTGTCTTAACATAAGTTCATCCTGAGTCAGTACTGTTGGGTTTCCCCATAAATGTCTCAGGGGATTGAGATAAAAATCATCAGGGACTGCAGGTAGACTTATTATTAGGGGTTAAGGGGAAAAAGGCTTGACTACACCTCCTTACTTCGGGGAACACCCCCTTCAGGAGGTTGGATTATTCCATACCCCTTGTCTTATAACACAGGAAGCTTTAGGAGGAGAAGATCATTTATCAATACACCGGCAGACTGACTCAAATCTTCAGACGGTTCTTGATATTTAAGACGGAAAAGGTTCCCCTGGCGGTTGTCCCTTTCTATTCCTATCCCCCAAAAAAGCATTTGTCACCAGACTGCTTCAACATTTCCGATTTCTCATAGCGTGTCGTATCGAGCTCAGCGGACCAGCATTCAGTGAGTACTTCTTTTTGTATCTATCCTTCCAGGTTTTTTTTGATTTCGACGCAACTAACAGTAACTACCTATCTTTGCAGTCATGGCTCGATACACACTTTTTTTCGCCGTCCTCTACGCTGCCCTCATATATACCGCCACGGCCCAAGCTGCGTGCATCACTCAATTTTCGAGTACCGGAGGTGGAGGTGGTGGTGGTTGCGAGCCATCAGGTGGGCCGAAGGGTATTTCATTGCCGAACGGACCTTACATCGAATACTCTCTTAGCAGCTCGTGCGAGCTCACCATTTTGAACGGACCGTTCGAGGGAGTCACAGCCTCAGCGTCTGAGGTCGCGTCTTGCAGCTAAAGTTTGGAGCTATGCACGAATATCTCAAATAGTTGCCAAGAAGGGTGATAAATTGCTCGCGGCTATATTCCAATACAGCCATGATTTTCACTGAGATTCTATCGCTTAGTCGTCCTATTGAAGAACCTACAAAGCAAATTGGGACATCTTCATCTATTCAAAAGTTGCCGCTACGTCGCAGTGAGCATTGCCTCTGCCGCTAGTGACGACGCATGTGGGAAAGTTTGGATTGACAAACTTCCGGGTAAAAATAGTTGATATGTTCAGAGATTTTAGAAAAGAATGTAAACCAAAATCATTGCTTGAAAAGTAGGCAAATGGCTTTCAAATATTTTTTATCTCCTGTCCCGCCCAACTTTGGAGCTGACGTGCATCTATCAAATCGCCATACATTTCCTAAACCTTTCAGAAGATACTGCGTGTTTTCGCCTCAACTGCAGCCCAACCTCCCCTCATACCTTTTGACGCGTTAGGCTGGTTGTGGCTGGAATTTGAGTTCTTGCCTAGTTTGGGTGCCCATTCACTTGACGAGGTCTTTGGGTACCTGAGTAGTTGATGACCATTGGGGGCAGTCGCACTTTCTCCGATTCACTGAGACAACTCAAAAGATGGCTGTTCGTTGTCCTTGGCCTGTGATGTCTATAAACAACAAACCAAAACTACAACCTTACGCTACCAGCAACCTGCCCCTTATCACCAAAACATAACAATCCCGATATCTTACGCGACGATGCAGTGTACCAAAAATCGGATTGACTTCTCCGCCGTTGAAGGCGACGGTGAAACTGGCAAGCCAACAAATTTCAACACATACTTCCACTCCGAAGATGAGGCCCCCGATAAGGAAAAAACTTCGAACGAACCATACTCCTACGAAAGGTGATTGCCACTCATTCTTGCTTCACGAAGCCTAAGCTCCGACGTCGTCCAGAAAGTCAGCTTCACTAAATCACAAGCGCGCCTACTTTACGAAGCTTGCAGCGCCTCCATCCCAGTCAAGCGAGTCAATCTTACGATGGCCGAAGATCTCCACGACGAGATCGCGCTAGCACTATCAACGAGATCATCCTCAGACTCGTCACCTCCGGACGATGTCGCGCTGCGCTAGAAGACTGTCTTGACAGCATGAAAACAGTCGAACTTTTCTTTTTACCCTTTAACCCGCGTATGGCTTCGGAACGGGAGTACAGAGTCTTCTGTCGAACTGGCGATTGCAGGGTCACTGGCATCAGTCAGTACCGTTGGCACAAGCCGTGGCGCTTTGCGACTAGTCCGGAAGGCGCGCAAAACGCCATCATTCGCAGAATCTGTCAGCAGGCGGAACACATCAGACAGCAAATCTTGGCGGACTTGAAGAGCGAAGATGAGAACGACAGGATCATGATGGCACAGGGATGTCCTTTGACCTCCTCTACGATGAAGATACCCGGACAGTTGAGCTTGTAGAGTTGAATCCCTTTGGGGTCAGAAGCCCCTGCGGATCTTGCTTGTTCCAGTGGATCAGAGACCGCGAGGTCCTCTACGATGAAAACGAGAAAGAGACAGTCGAGTTTCGGGTCAGCTACTAATGTGGCATGAAAATTAGAGAGATAATGCAAGGCTTGTTTCAATAAAGTACATCATATTCAGGCAGCGCTAGCTGGCCTTGTTGAAAGACGCAGCGCAGGGCTACTAAAACACGAGCATACAATCCAATGGAACCCATTCATCTTCCACAAAGAAGGCCGCCTGCCGTCCAAAGACATTCTTTCGTGTTACGTTATGAAAGACATTTGCATCGCCTAGTTTTTCAATCATGTTGCCAATGTGGCTATGATTGGTCCCATCAGTTGTGCTGCATCTTCCAGAATACAGCCGAGCGTCCGGAAAACGGGCAGCCAGATTGTGTGCACTGGTTCTCACATCCCATGTCGCCGGCACAATTGACGACGCCGTTGCTCTGCCAATTGCATCAGTCAAAGATTTCGAATAGCATTGCTGCAGATCATAGGGGAACGTACAGAGTGGCCGTTGATGGCATCCCGGACGAGGTCACCAATATCGGATGATCCAATGTAAGTGTCATAAGTATTTCTGGTGCCAGCTCCAAAGACGCAAGTGCCGTACACCACGACACCGTGGTAGTCTGGGGTGTTTGTCCAGATAGACCAGTACTGGTTGAGTGTGTAGGCCCCTACACATCATGGTCAGTCATTTTCAAGGTCTGAAAGTAACAAACATCTGCGTATGAGCACCTATGTTCAGAGAGATGAACTAGGTACTATGCCGTTGACTTACAATCCCGAATGACCGCACAGTCGCCAACGTTGGGGTACGGGGCTCCAGTGCCGACAAAGCTGCTACCACCGCAGCAGTCGTTCGTGATGACCTTAACGGAAACTTCACCAGGCGATTTGGTAATATTGAGAGCAGCAGGGTTGACTTTGAGTGTCTTGCCCTCGAACTCGAAGGGAACCCAGTCGCTGGTGTCGATTTGGCGGGCCGAAATCATACCGGCGTCGCTGGATGTCGGCACAGCCAAGGAGACGGTGCTGAAAAAGGCAAGCAGGGCAACTGAAGTGGTCTTGAGGCCGAACATTGTGAAACTTGACTCTGAGGAGGATGGAGATGAAGATGAAGTTGAGATTGGCAGTGCTGTGGATGAGTCAATCATTAATCAACTTCCACGGGGAATGTTGGACGCTTTTATAGATAAACCAGGCACTAAAACTTCTGTGAGACTCACTCTGACTGAATGTTGGATGCTATCGTTGGCTCCAAAGTTCTTCCGATCCCACTCCAAAGGTCCTAGACTACAGCATCTCGAAGGCGCAGCATGGACATCGCAAGGTGTTGCAGCAAGAAACAGTAGGCTGTGATTAGCTTGAGCACAACGTCCCATAGCCTGGCTGACCGATGGTGGTGCTGATGATCAATAAAGTAAGCATCGCATGGGCACGGAAGCACCGGTCAACGCTTGATTAGGTTGCAGATGGCATCGATAGTCAGTTGCTTGATAGGATTAAGTATTTGTTGCAACCCTGAAATGCTGTCATCGGGCACAGTCATTGATGTTCTGGGACTAAACTCCCTACGAGACCGTGATCCACCCATGCATTTGCACTACCTGCTGAACAACCAATTATTTCAGTTTCACGTCTTAACTTTTTATGCTGTCATCATGCACAGCCGTCTCTCGAGAGGAAATTTTCCCTTTGAAAAGATTGTGCAACTGGTGAACGCATCTATTTAAGAGCAGAATCAGACATGCACAACAGTATTTACCGGGACAATTCTTGATGAACTGTTGATTACCTGGTAGTGATTCTAGTTGAAGCTAGGTGGCTCTCCATACACAGAAGGTGAGTGTCAATTTGGTTCCAATCCGGTTTGTAAGCACCCATTCTCGATTTACATACATCCCGAAAACAAGTCATTCCTTGAGGCAATCGTCGTACGTCCGCTCCCTCGGTCGATCGCTGCTTTGTCAGTACGTTGCCGCTAAGTATGTGTATAGGTTGGATGGTTGCATCGAGCCTCCTGTTAGCCGTATTGGTCGTGGTGCCAAGACGCCAGTCAGCTGAGGGGTTTTGATTTAGGATCCAGTTGACGGCTGCCTTGTGGGGACGGCTGAATATTGGAAGTTACCTTCCGTTCTCGGAATCGCAGGGTATGCTCAGAAAGGAACTTTGGTACAGTAATGTAGGCTCTGCCTCGGATGTACAGCTGCGGCGTATGCCATCGCAGACGATGTCAGAATGAATAGGAACTTGGTCGGAGATAGTGGTCCGCGAGGCCAGTCCTCGGTCGTTGTAATTACAGTGGTGCATGAACTGAAATCCCGGTGAATGTACAGTTCTATGAAAGAGATGGTCATCTCCAGTGCCGACTACATTGCGACCATGTGAAGAAGAGTCTGAAAATATAACACAGGAAAGAACGGTAGTTGTAAAAGTTCCAACGGGGAGTTACACAAGGATCCTTTTCTCACTTTGACTCAGGCGCTATCTGAAGAGCCGGAAGAAAAGGCCACCAATCGGCTCGAAGCAGCAAACTGCAAGCATGATGAGTTCGGGATGTCCCGCAGGGGAGAGTCCCCATTTGTGCGACAGACATTGGATGTAATTTGTCGTAAGTCTGCATCTGGCAAGGGCGGGTTGCCACAACAGGGACCGCCGGTGTCAGATTGTTACTTCACTCTCATGTCATCCTTCTGCCTAAGGCTTCACATGAGGCGCGGCTAATCTGACTCTGGAGGCACTTGCAAGATTGAATCCAACTTAGCGAGGGTTGTGATTCGAATCTGTCCCAGTGATCGCTTGTGAAAGTCTGAAATTGATTGATAACTGGCCAGCCACAGGCATGTATGATTTAAGAGTGCGTTCACCAGAAGGAAGCCAGACCTGAACTTGATGATTGCGGCGCTTCCCGGGTATAATGCCATAAAGGCCACTGGATGACGTAGAATCAGCCGCTTTCATTTGCATGAGATTCCCAGTAAGTTTATAAGTAGAGTGGATGAAGAAAATGTACTTACAGACCACCCACTTCTCTCCGTCTATGTACCTACCTACATTTCGAATATTTTCAACTACTTATACGGCGGATTATAATGATAGAAAACAAATAGTCCGGCTAATCACACTCACAATGAAATTAATAAAAAGGCAAAGATAATAATAATACTAACGATCCATAATAAAGACGACGAGGGCAACATGACTTAAAGCTGTAGAGCGTCATCATGACGGAAGGCACGGGTGGACGTTTCTGCACAAACGAGAGGTCCCTTTATAAGCGGAGATCCCGTCATTGCCATGAAATAGAAGTCGTGGCATAATATTGCTGTAAATACTCCCAAAATCATTACTATCCATGGATCACTGCGACTTCAAGAATATGAAACACCCGATATCAGATGTGTTCTCATAAGCTCGCATTTACATCTACCAAAACCTTGACTTGGTTATCTTTGTCTGTAATGAGGGCCTTGATCCCCTTATCAATCAAGTCGTCGAGAGGGATCTTGCGAGTAATCATCGATGCTGGCTTCAGAGCCCCTTGATTCGTTTTGTAAGCTGGTGATTTCCCAGAAAGTTGTGCTTTTTACTTACCAGTTCTCAGGTTGTCGATGACAGCCTGGTAGTCTGCCTTTTGATATCCCAAGACTGACTTGTACGAGCTTTCTCGCCACGTGATCCAGTTGGGGTTGAAGGGTATTTCCTTCTCCCAAATAGCTACGTTGACTATTGTTCCTCGGGTCTTCACTGCGAGACATGCAGCCTGAACACTAGCGAGGCGTTAGTTGATATTCCCTGAACGTGACCATGAGCTGCAACTTACCTAGCGGGTACCCCAGCACAGTCAAAAACAACATCTGCACCAATACCATTTGTTATCGCAAACGTTTCCTTAACAACATCCTGCTCCTTCGGGTTGATAATGTCCGTGGCGCCGAACTCCCTCGCAAAGTTCTGGCGAGCAGTCGCAATCTCCGAGACGATGATCTTCTTCACTCCCTTCGCAATCAAGCACAGAACCGCAGCAAGCCCGATCGGTCCGCCGCCCATGATCAACACCGTCGAATCAGGCGTGACGTTCCCGGCTGACACGGCATGCCAAGAGACTGAAAGCGGCTCCACCAGCGCGCCCAGCTCGAGTGGCACGCCGTCGGGTAAAGGGAACACTTGGTCAGCAGGCACGGAAACCGCCTCACTCAGCCCGCCGCCCCCGCCGCTGAGCCCGATGAAGCCGCCGGTGTGGCACGCATTCTCCGCTCCACTCGTGCAGGCGGCGCACTTTCCGCAATAGACCGTCGGCTGCACCGCGCATGGCTGGCCGACTTTGATGTTTCCCTCGGCCTTCACATCAGAACCGATCTCCTTGATGATGCCTGAGAACTCGTGGCCGAGGGTGACGGGGATGGTATCGCCTGTGACGGGGTGTCTGGATGCGGGGCAGAAGTTAGGGCCGCCGAGGTATTCGTGGAGATCGGTTCCGCAGATTCCGACGAATGCCGGGGCGATCTGGGGTAAGAAAGATGGTAAGTTCAGGGTTCAACTCCAGAAAAAATGTCACTGTGTTGCAATGCGCTTTCCCCGCGCGGGGTGCTGAAGGTTGCTGGAGACTGGATGACAGTGCGGAGGGAGCTGGAGTTTCGTCTTACCTTGATCTGGTTGGGTCCACAGGGAGGTTCCGGGATCTGTTCGATGCGGATATCTTCTTTACCGTAGTATCTTGCCGCTCTCATGTTGTTAAACGTTCGATTTGAGGTGGGTGAAAAATGTAATTGGGACGATGTGAGTTGAGGGAAGGGTGAGTTCTCGTCTTAATGCTGGACGAACGGAAGCACGGTGATGGACTACTTATGGCCCCCTCCTTGTGGCGTTACTTCCGCCGTGCCAAAGTTGCGAGATCCGGAACTCTCCCCGGCATCATGGCGGAAATAGTTATCAGGTGTGCCATCGTACGATCAGCAACACCAACAAGCCCGTTTCATTGCCCCGCACCGTCAGGCCACGTGCTTGGCGAGTGTTTTCAAGGATGTCGTCCTTGTTGGAACGACACAACGCGAGTGATGAGGATCCTGCGCATACCGGCAGGCTGGTTCTACATTGAACGATGACGCGTTTTGCCTGTGGTGTTGAACGTCGGTCCATTTTAGAGGTGGCTTCAGAGCTTGGTCCCTGCAAGCACTATCTCTATTGCTATCAGCATACTACCGACAGCCCAGCAGCAATGCTTCAATACTGTGCGGCGGCGACTAGAAAAACAGATAAAAGGGTATCTAGAACACCTCTCAGAACATCATCCATGGCATAGCATGGCTTAAACTGTCCATGTGCGCCTTTTTAAACTTCGATCCAGTTGCGCGATCAGAATATCTTTCCCGGGTTGAGATCCCAAACGCTGAAGCGATTTCCCTTGGTTCCAAATGCGTTCTTCGACATCGTCTTGACTACATATCCGTTGTCAGCAGAACGATCGGGTTATTTGAGCCGGAAGTACTCACAGTCTTGCCAATTCATTGGTTCCTTCAACTCACTGGCTGACTGACGCCACACGCGCGCCACCCATGAGGTAACCAAAAGATCCATCTCCTTGTCATCCATGGCCATCTTAATCTCAAGTTGAGGAAAGCAGCTCAATTTCTTTTCCGCGTCGCGTTTTGCCACAGTCTCAACGGCGATGACTTCGCCCTTCGTGTTCTTCCATTGGATCTCATCGGCGTGCTTCAGCTTATGCATGACGCTCTCCCCAGCTTTGAAGTGGTCTTTGACCTTCCACGAAGAGACTCCGGGCACGAGATGAATCTCCTTGTGTGTTCTCTTGGAGTTCATCTTTCCCTCGATTACGACCGCATCGGCGAGCTTTGAAGATTCGAGCCCTGCAAGGGGGTCGAGCGAGAAATCGTAAATGTGGTCCAGCCGAGTCCTGACCTTGTCTCCGCCAGCTGCTTGTGTGACCCTGTACGCCACTTTCTGAACCCCATACACCACCGACTTGGCCTCACATACGTCGTTGCTCAGCTCAAAAAGCGCACGTGGTGGGTCCGTGTTGGCGAAGATGGTCGTGCGGTCCAGATAGAAGGTCGGAGTCTCGCCGCAGCTTAGCTGTGCTCTCGACTCGTTGACTGTGTCATCGTAGGCAGGGGGTTGAACATCGCCGACATCGAGCATGGAAGACATGATAGGCGATACTGGGCTCAGTGGAGTTATGTGTAGTAGAATCTGTTGTTTCAGCGGGGTTCGGCAGGGTGAATTGAAGGCGTGCAGAACGTGTTCATGATGCCCCAGGTGAGGAATTGGAGGAGAATAAGTATTTCTCCTGAACCATTCTTCTTGGGATGAGCGCGCGACTGCTTGCAGAAGGCGGCCGCTTCTCACGGGAACGACGTGTGGCTGTGATGTGAGTTGCAATCTTCATGCCTTTTTCAGGGTGACAGCACAGTCGCCAAGCAAAATAGTGTGCCCTGTAAGGCATTCAAAGACGCTGTGAGACGGGGCAAAACTGGCTAAAAGACTGCCGTCATTGGCAAACATGAGCGCTAAGGATCTATCCCTTGCTACTAAACGGAGCTTGGGTTACTAAGGGACAGCGACACCGCCACAGTCAGGGCGATTTGATCAGCGTGGGCAGGGAGCTACAAGATGATTGCCTAGGCGGTAGAGTCGGAAAATTACTCAGTGGGTAGGGCCTTGCTGATCAATGGGGTCCATCATCACCAAAGTCCCTCGCTATTGCGCTGCCTGCAGCTCGAATCTCGAATTGACTCAACTGAGCCAACAGGTAAATACTCAGTCATTCAGGCCCAGGTCGCAGTCTGGCTGAAAAAGAGAAAGTTCATGGATTGGGGGGTAGCTGGGATTTCGGTCGATGAAGACGCACATCTGCGGTGCTGAGTTCTTGTCGTAAAAGGAGTTTGGGCTTGCTCTACACCGAAGGTCTGGTATGTGGTCACGATGTTCGGGCAACCCAAGATGGCTGCCATCGCCAGTTAAAGGCACAGACCACCTGGGAAACATTAATTGTGGAATGATGATATCACCACAAGATGAACAAATTCATCGCCGAACTTAAACCCTACCTTCTACAGCACCATCAGACAACTTGGACAAGACCCCGAAAAGTCATCTACTACACAAGATTATCATCAACATGAGTGCAATGATGCGAAAAGCGTCGCCTGGTTGTCTCCTTGTCGCGGCAAGACGCTGCTCGGTCGCGTCAGCCCACTTGTCCACCGCCGCGACAACTCACCAAACCCAAAACACCCCGCCATCTGAAGTATCTCAGCGACCGCGAGAAGCGCGAGAATCGACGGCCAAGGGAAAGAAGACAATGGCAGAGTTGGATGAAGAGCTGCGACTGAAACTTGAGGGTATGTCCGGTGAAGGCGGCGCTGCTGGAGTCGAGTATGAAAATGGAAAGGCGGAGGGATTGAAGAGGGGAGTCAAGTCGAATATGTTCAGGGTCATTTGATTACGTCAGTAGGCTGCTTGAATGCTATTCTCTCATATCAACAATCGCATCATCATTCAGCTGCTTCCTGGACCCCGACGATGCCTCCGTTTCCATCGGCTGATCGGCTCTCATATCCACGGGGCGGCCGCCTCGGCGCTTCGATCGGGTTTTGATGGAGCATGGCTTAGCTGGCCGATGATTGATCAGAAAAAGAAAGGTGATTTCAGTGGGCCGCCAGCAATTCAACACGAGAAGGATTGCATGCTGCCCCCACAGGACAAACGGCAGCCTAGACGCCCTGGCATCCAGCTGCTCGTATTTGGCCAAGCCGGTTCTAGAGCTCTTGGAAAAGCAGGGTAAATTGCCGCCCTGTGCCACATCTGGATAGCGTAAACTGCCGTTACGAAGCTTGTGTAGCGCAACGGTCTGCTCTGCCAACAAACAATGGACGGAAGAATCGAATCGGCACGCAACGTTGACATTTATCGACTGTGACAAGCCTCTCGGGTATTAGCGAAATAGCCCATTGGAACTTTCGCAAGCTAGCGAGCATGTAAATCCAACACCAGCCTATCCGAGTCGGTCAGTGATAGGGTTCTAGCCGGTACCTACCCCTGTTTAGCCCATCAACAACTGCACGGAAAGGAGGCGGAAAGGAACAACCACCATGCACCGCTAACACCACGCTAAAAACGGCTCTTAAGGCGAACAGCTGCAAAGCCGACGTCAGGTCAGATCTAAAAACTTCTAAGTATTTAAACAACCAAGTGCCAGCTGAACAGCGATCATTGACTTCCGTTTTCAACCATTCAAGACTCTCCCATTGACGCCGGTCGATATCTCACCAAAACCCATCAAGATGCAACTCAACACCCTCGTCGGCGCCTCTTTCGTGGCCCTCGCCTCGGCCCTGGATACCTCCTACCCTCCCATCAACCTGGGCTACTTCTCCTACCCTCACGGAAACCTGTTCATCGCCTGGTCTCCTTTCACTCCCACCAAGACATCCGACGTCCAGGAGGTTTGCGACACCTCTGGCGCCATCCAGGGCACTGCCACCTGGACCTCCATCCGTGCCTACAACACCTACGTCTTCGACCCTATCTGCCGCAACCCCTTCAACGTCACCGACGACGCGACAAACACTACGTACTACAACCTCGAGTTGGCTTGCGAGGACGACAACATCCCTCTCTACGCCGAGCCCGAGGTCACCGCTGTCGTCGACGTGGCTACGAACAGGACCATCCAGACCTGCGTGCCTGCGGTGGTTGATGGCGAGAACTACGCGAGCTGCTCGAAGGCACCTTACCAAGGCGTTCGCTTCAGCTTTGCTTGCTCCTCCTAAGACGCGGAAATTCACCAAAAGTTCTCGGGTTGAAGATGAAACGCTACGATACGAAGTTTTCGTCTCATGTGACGTATATGGAAAAAGTCGCTCTATTGCGCTAAGATATAGACACGATAATTATAATGAAATTAGAAATCAATGATACTTCAAGTCCCGATATGCCTCATTTCCCAACAGGGAAGAAGCATCTCACCCTGGGCACATAGAACCTTTCTTGTGTCTCTGCCTTTGGACAGTCGATATGTCCATCCTCTTGAGGATCCGTGATGCACTCGAACTCGGGAATGTCATCACACTTGAATTTTCCGGCAGATTTTGTTTCATACCCACTAATGTACTTGCATCCCTTCTTTCCGTAAATGTCCTGGCTGGCCTGAAAACTCGGGGGCAGTCCTGGGGAATCAGGAGACGTTCTCGTGCCAGCGCCCATGCTTCCGACAGCCTCATCTTTGCAAATGTTGTGAATTGTCTTGTCGTCGGGGCTTGTGAGACGGGGGAGCATGACAAAGTTTCCGCCGGATGTGGTGGTCGTGATGACAGACGAGATGGCCTAGTCGAAGAATATGTACACCGCTTCGGACGGCTAAGCTGGGCGCGGCAGCTGTGTAGTTGATGTCGGCTTGATGATATTTGACTTGGAGCCGGACTTTGTATGTTCATTGTGAGACCTCGTCGATGTGACGAGTGATGATGGAGTTGGGTCGAAGGTGACGATGACCGTGTTGTACACCGTCTTGATTCCGCCATTTGGCTGTACTGCAGACGAAATGCTTGTTGACTTCGGGCTTTGTGCATTAGCAGTAAATGTGCTTGCATTGGTACAGGTATTCGCTCGAGAGGAAATAGCCGAAACTTTGGAAGACACGAGAGTCACAGTAGTACCATTCACACAAGTTTCATGCATAGGACACAGATGACCCCATGGACGTGGCAGTTTTCGGAGTCGGATTGGCTGATAACTGTACGCAAGCATTCGTGGTGTCGGGACTACGTCATGGTGGAAATTTGTCGTTGTCGATCTAATGGTTGTTTCTACTTGGAAGTTGCTCGTAGACGCCCTGAGGACACTAGAGGGTCGACTGACCTAGGTGATGTCAGCCAATACGTGAGATGAGAAAACTTGAAAAGTCTAAAATCACTCACTGCGGGATTCCTGACCGTTGGTGAAGCTGGGAATATGATACACGCACTAGAAGAATCTTGGCAGCCACGGATTCGTCGGAATTGACTGCTTGCCTGCACCGATGGCATAAACAGGATATCAAGAATAATCAGCCAAAGAGCCCATGGCCTACCTGATCCAGCACGGAAACGCATGATGGTGGATGGCAGTCAAAGGCTCTGGAAGTAGTGGAGGATTAATGAAATGTATTGACGGGGACTTCAAATAATAATGGATGAGATCATGACTTCAGAGCTGGCCATTGAAGCTATTCGAAAGGGATGGTGAAATATTCTGGTCAATCTAAATAGTTTCTGCCGTTTTCAGTGATGTATCCTGGCCGAACACAAGGGCTTCAATTGAAATTCTATGAGGAGGATACACAAACTTTCAGTGACATTGAATGTTCGTCAACATCGACGTGACACCACTTAGCTTCTTGTGCAACACCGCTGACATTCACGATATTAAAAAACGTCTAGGTGCAAAAGGTTCTCCTTGCATGCTTGCTATTGACACATATCCTCACTTGAATCCCTGTGTGATGGATGTATTTGGGGATCCCCCTTTTTCACCTTTTGTTTTGCCTTCAGGAGTACTTATTCGTTCCTGAAAAATACGTAAAGTATGGACTGACCAACGGATTGTTGACATCTTACTTCTTACTTCATTTGGGGAAGTTCGTTCCGAGACAAACGTCAACATTTCGACGTTTGCATCCGCGCAAACGAATCGAGAATGTGATTTGGATTGCTAGTTATTCAATTATCACCAGAAAAACCAATGTCCAAGTCTGCAGAACTTTCGGCATCGAATTAGCCTTCCATGTTCATCTCCATGTGATTTCGGCTCCTCCATTTAGTTCAGCTACTGAATCCTGATGCTCCTCAGTCACCAGAAATACCACGTACACAATGCCTCTGGACGCTTTGAGAGGTTCATGAATACGTTTTTAAGTCACGCGATCGGATCTCCTCAAACGCGTATGTACTCAAATTTTCCTAGGCCGAACATGAACTTTCACAAGCTATTCTGTGATTTGATCAGTGCCAAAGTGACAAACTGGAATGATAAAATGCTCATGAAATGCCGAGCCGTGTGTCAACGCTACATTCAGGTCTCCTAGAAACCTCGTTCTTCCCCTTAATGCCCCGGGAAGAATGTGATGGCCCCATTATGACGGGTTTCCGCTCCTGTGTGTGGGCAAACGGCAGCCATGTGTCAGATCAACTTTGAACTCGTAGTAGGGCGGAACGGGCTGCGGCCCGACCCCGCAGAGGCGTCGGCCCTCAAGAAACGGAAGCGTTTCCTAGCCTCAGGTCTAGATCAACGTGTGCAGGGGGCGATAGAGGGGTATTGAGACATAAGCTGAGCTTCAGCCAGCCACAGACTCTTCTTCCAAATGTTTTCCGATGTTCTTTCGGTGCCGACTAATTGCTCATATGCTGGCTCTTGCCACAGAAGTCGACATGGGGATACATCTCCGCCATGTCTGATGTGCCGACGAGAGTTCAGCTGCGTGTCTACGTACTGCTGGCCGGAGGAAGCTAGATTGTAGTCGTCCTCAAATTCTGACGTTGGAACACACTCGCTCAGCCAGCCTCGGCAGATATCACATTTACTTGCATTCCTTCAGCTGAAGAAGCGTAGAGCACCTGAAGCCCTTATCATCGCTTGCAGTCAATCATCAACCACATCCGTATTTCAGCTCGCCACGCTTGACCCGATACGCAATAGCAAGAACGCTGCAGTCCACCATCAAGCGGTGTCTGACCTGAGCTGAACTCCCTGCGATTAGTGCGCTAGCCGCTTCGAAAGAGATGCAATTGACGAATGCTTTTCCAAGTCAAGGACATAAAGCATTCATTGCACCGTACTCGGTGTACTTAAAAGGTCAATTGCTGCTGAAGCTCAAAGTTTTGTCTTCAATCATAAACCACATTGTTACCCGCCACACTAGAATCGCTCAATACTTCCGTTCAATCATCCATTCGCCCGTTCAGACTTCATTATGAGTCCCGAGGAGTCCCACCAGCCAGTCGAAGAAACGACATTCGACCTGCCTAAGAAGGACGCCTTCAAGTACCAGTGGTCTCGATACATATCTCGTGAGCTCTACTATGAAGGCGTTCAAAGAGTAGAAAGAAAGTGTTTTGGTGAGGATGCTCCTAAACATGCGACGCTCCAGAAAAGGATCGCAGTTATCTCTGGAGCAGTCAAGGAAAAGCGGGATATTGGGCTCACTCCACCGCGACATGGCCATTTCAAAGTCGGCATAGTTGGTGCAGGAGCCGCTGGTCTCTTCACTGCTCTTGCCCTTGATTGGATCAACGACACAATTGAACGATACAAAGGCGCTGGAAAGCTCAAGATTGAGTATGAGATCTTGGAGGCAGCCAGCAAAGATCGATTTGGCGGCCGCCTGTTTACGCACCACTTCAGCAAAGACGGCACCCATGACTACTACGACGTTGGAGCCATGCGATTTCCAGACAACGAAGTGATGAGCAGGTACGCCAGGCAAATCAAAATATATTATTTTTAACATAATCAGCTAACATAAAACAGATCTTTTCGTCTCTTTGACTATCTCGACATTAAAAAAGGCGCCCTGGGTGAGCGCACGAGTGTGAAGGACTGGCCAGTCTTGATTCCTTACTACCTGAGTGACGAGGACAAAGTGTGCCCTTCATACTTCAACAACATCCAGAAGACTGGTATCCCATGGGATAACGAACTTGATGTTGATCCGTTTGAGTTGAATGAAGGTGTTCCCGTGGACAAGAGAATCCCAGCCGAGTAAGTTTGAGGTGATGCTGCAGGAGACACATGCAACAGCTAATCTCATACTAATTGGTCGATGCCAGGTTGACCAACAAGAACCCGAGCGACCTGTATGATGCAGCGCTCAAGCCCTTTGTGGATCTCGTTAAAAAGTATTTTGACGAGAAGACCACGCCCTGTGGCAAAAAGAAGCTCTGGGCTCTGCTTAAGAAGGGCGACCAGATGAGTGTGCGGCAGTATCTGCTCTCGTAAGCTCCAACGCTCAGCTCTCATACCACTTGGTCTGATGCTAATGTGTGGAACAGAAAGACGACTGCGTGTCAGTGTACGAACTGTGAATGCAAGTGCTGTGAAGTCAATGAATATTGTGCGTGCGAGAGGTGCAAGTGCAAATGCTGCGCAGCCCGCAGAGAAGACCCCTTGATTCCTGGCCGAAGCTACAGCTACAGCACAGTTGAATGGCTTGAGACAGCTACATAGTAAGCAAAAGGCGGACTTGACTTTCCAACATTGTACTTCTTGCTGACTGGCTAACACAGCGGCACCGGATGGTACGACCAGGGTCTGACGGAGGCCGCCTTGGAGATCTTGGACTTCGAGGTTCCTGAAACGAAGCCAGGTCTAAGACCTCAAAACCACTATTGGTGGTGTGTTGACGGAGGCGCGCAGACGATCGCCGAGACAATGCGCAAGACGATGAAAGATCCGTCAGTCATCAAATACAACACCCAGGTCGTTGGAATGGATGCCAACATCCAACTGGAAAAGCGAATCAAGAAGAACATGCACCTGAATCTCAAGGACACTGTCACTGGGGAGACCTTGGAGTCAAAGAGCTATTTCGCGGTGTTCAATTCAGCAACGTTGGGTGCCACCAATCGGATGGACCTCTCAAACGCTGGTTTGCTATGGGACACAAAGCAGGCGATTCGGTGTCTGAACTACGGCGCCTCCTGCAAAGTTGGCATCAAGTTTAGAACGCCGTGGTGGCGCAAAGAGCCTTTCAATATCACCAGAGGCGGGCTAGGTCGCACCGATCTACCCCTGCAGGTTTGCGTATACCCGTCATACAATATTGACAATGACCTGGATCCGCTCGACAAGCCAGCTGTTTTGCTAGTCTCCTACACATGGGGCCAGACAGCACAGCGTCTTGCCACTCTTATCGCCTCGAAATCTCGAACCAAAAGCAACGAGCAGATTCTTGAAGAGGAAGTTGAACTCAAGAACTTGCTTCTTCGAGATCTTGCGTACTTGCATACGAAAGCGCCAGACGACCCGAGAGAAGAGAGAAAGAAGTTCAAGAAGACCCTGGATCTCATAAGTGGCGAGTATCTTGAGCACCATGCCTATGACTGGTATCACGATCCACACATGGCCGGCGCATTTGCTTACTTCGGCCCATGCCAATTCAGTGAGCTTTATCCAGCCATCACGAGACCGAATGCCTTAGGACAGCTTTACTTCGTCGGAGAAGCAGCCTCCGCACACCATGCCTGGGTTGTGGGTGCTCTGGAAAGCGTCGTCCGGGCACTCTGGTCTATGTTCAATATCCTTCACCAGTCCAGTCAAGACGCCGGGAAAGCCTACCAGCCTTATAGCTGGGCTATGCAGCTTCTTGAACGTGGCTGTTTTGAAGACAATGAAGATCCGGGCTACAACGCGAATGACTACAAGACGAAGACCTTCTATCCCTCAGCTAAGCCTGAGCCTTCGCCTTTCTTTCCTTTGCCAGTCGAAATACCTCTCCGCGTGGATGAAGAGACCCATGGGCAAAATGCGCGCTGTCCAGATGGCAAGGAATTGTTGGATCATATCGACGCTGAGAAACCTCCCATGTTTGGTGCGGCTTGTGCCAACCTGGCCCTGCTGGAATATGCCTTGGACAATTGGGCCGGCCCAGGCAAATTGAGAAAGCCGGCCAAGTTAAACCCAGGAAATCTGGTCGATTGGACACCAGAAGATGTCAATAAATAAGTTGGGGGTGTTTTGTAGTATCGATGTCGTGTGAATCGTTCTTCTCTTCTAACTTTTCTTCCGCAATTTGCCGCCTGGAGGCGCACCTTGATGTCGTATGAAACTTCGTTCTTTCCAAGCAACTTAGTTTTGTTTGGGCATGAAGCCTGTGAGACGATTTCTGTGGTACTGCCCCGGGCGACACGGAGGCCTTCCACGTGATGGCTCCAGTCGTGAGGATTTCCTCGGCTCAGGAAGTAACTCGATGATGCAGTCGCATATGTTTCCATCCGCAACGGGGTCATGAACATGACAACTTGAGCATCGCATCAGCTTGTCCAAGTAAGTTAGCCGCGTATCATTTCGTCAAAGATGCAATGAGATTGAATCATCGGAGGTTTTCTCACTTGCCGAATTACCGGTCGCGTTGCAGAAGCTTGTTCCGCCCACCGTAAATCCGCTGCGCGACCGTTTTCCAATCATCTGTTGATCTTCGGACCACACGTGAACCTCGGCCAATCGCGCATCCGACGTAGGTCATGCCATTGACCACCTCCGCACGTTCGAACACTCGGCATTCTCAAGCACCCATAAAACTCAAGCTCTCTCATATCTATCCCGTTTCTGAAGCTTATTGTACGGCAAAATATCACGTATTTATAATTGATCATTTAACCATGGACTCTGGGCAACTACGCCAACGAACAGCATCGCGCTTGTCAGCGATATCGGGTCACATATCAGCACCATCATCACCAACGGACGCTCAGACAGGGAACATCATGCAAAACCCAGACGTCAACGGATACCCTGAAAAGGTGCCAATCACATACTATCCTCTCAACACTCAGAAGGCCTACCGCCATAATGAGAACAGGATGAAGGATAAGCTCTACGCCAAATACTGCCACCGGGAGCTCTACCTCTACGCCGACATTCCGCAGTACATCCGCGAGCAGATGCCCGCTGAAGGCGTTCTTCCCATTGGCGACTCTCCTCGTCTCTTGGAGCCCGGCTACCACAAACACGAGAACGGCTGGCGAATGCTCCCAGACGGCACCGCGTACGTCACGTCACGCACCCGCTTCCCAGGATCGACAGGAGACATGGTTCGCTGGTGGTTCTGGTGGCACAGCGTCGAGCCCGAGCGTTATGCCCTCTGGTTCCCCTACGACCACCTGAGCGCTCGCTCGACTTACGCGGACCGCCTGCACCGCACTGACCTATCCCACACGCAAAAGTGGCTCGGGTCCACGCACCGTGTAACGGAGTTCATCGGGTCTCAGAAGATGACCGTCCACATCCACTTCGTGGACCCGGCGCAGTACGGCCTGCCGTGGGATAAGCTCAAGGCCGCGGGCTATGAGGCAGCGGTGTGTGCGGAGCTGCGGGATGGGTTGCTGCCGAACCTAAAGATTGGTGACTTCTTGCACCTCTGGCGTAAGACGGAGGATGGGCTTGAGTTGCGGAGCCGGTACTGGCTTGGTGGGGGCATTCACTACAAGGTTATGGGGATGAAGGTCGGCATTGACTATTTGGCGGGAGCTCTCGGCTTCAAGAAGCGCATGGCTGGAGAGAACATTGCCTATGAGCATTTCATTCACGACCAGACCGAGTTTACAAACTTGGCCTCATTTTTGCCAGATTTGTATGGGGACTACATGGCAGGGAGATTGGGTAAATAGCCAAGGTCTTAATCTTGCTCAATATCCAGCCTGGGTCGTTGCCAATTAATGGGTCACGTCGCTTTCAGATGGAGAACGGCTGGGGCTGGGTTGAATGGGTCTTTCATTACAACATAAATCTAAATACTCTCTCGTCAAATTAATCGACCGAGTAAACGAGTCACCCTACTATTGTATACTTGAAATTTCCTATGAACTTTATCTACTGCTACTGGCCAACTAGGTGCAATTCATTTCTCATTACACTTGTCATTGCATCGTAATCACTTTCCCATGAGGTCTCCACTCCATAGAGGTTACCCGAGCTGGTAGACTGGCTAGTAACGACACCCTTAACGCCTTTGCGATAAGATGCGAGAGAACATGGCCAAAGCGAAGAGTGTAGGTATGCGCGAGAAAAAAAAATCCACAGCAAGAGAAGTTACTAGCTGTGATGTCTCATCCTGGCCTCTTTTCTCGACCACCCTCGCAAGTCGCCATGTCCATATTGTTATGGTTGTGATGAGGTTGGCCCATAGCCAGGGGCCACCCTACTCCGTACGTCAGCGACCTCTTCATTGAGGATGTTGCAAATGCTTTGATGACTTACCACGACATAATATGGCGCTAATACCAGAAACCCGACGAGAAAGAGGAGGATCTTCAACAAGTCCAGTGTGACAGCATCCTGGGCTGCCTCAAAGCTCTGGAGTTGTTCCCACCATGGGAGACCAGAAGCACCGTATTGTTTGACGATTAAAACAGAAATTTGTATGGAAGTCAACCCAAAAGCCATTATCCAGCCGAAAAAATTGCAAATTCGTGGGAGGATGTACCACATGCCATGTCCCTCGACTCGTTGACCGGGCTTACCCCAAAAAAGCACATCGAACTCGGAGAGAATGAAGACGATTCCAATTTGAGTAAGGCAGAGAAAGAACCCATCAACAGCCGTAAGCGCTGTGTAAGCGTGTTCACTCCATTTCAACGTCACATCCGCGCGACAGCTCATCCACAGGACAAACGATGCTCTGGTAATGGATGCCAGAACGTCACTGCCTTTCGGTCAGAAACACTTCGAACTTAAGGGTCTTTTTTACTGAAAACATGGTCACTCCCTGAGTGGACCACTTCGAAATCTTTCCTGAACTCACATTACATAGAGCCTTTCAAGAACCCAGAGCCATGACTTGGACCTCGCCGCATCTGTCTTGCGCAACCCTCCCGCCTGGGCTCTCCAGTTGCGTTTCCGCGATGTGCCGAATAAGTTTACACCACAGGCTGTCAGGATCATGACACTCAAAGCAATGGTCGTGCCCTGAAGCCTGCGATGCTGTGGCCAAAGCGGCGGATGCTGGACGACGAACTCTGATGTCCCGTGGGGAAGGGCAGGGGTGTTGATTACCCCATGTTCATGAGGTATCCACAGTGGCGAAAGAATCTTCTCCATCTCAACGAAGAATGACAACTTCTATAGTAAGGGTATCAAGACGACAAAATGGATGCATTCAGGAAGAAGAGAGATGCGCTTGTAGGTATGTTCCTCGCAGTTCAGTGACAATTCTTTCGCTCCATTCTTTCTTGGCAGCAAGCAGCTAAGTTGACGTCACGATACAGCAATAGTAAACGTCTTCATTGGGGAGAGGAAATGTCAGACCTAGTGATGCAGCATACCAATAAGCGAAGATGCCTGCATTTGCTAGCTCCCTAGAACTCCCTGTATTCTCGCGACCCCGGCTGTCATATAGGTAGCGCCAAGAGCGACTGGGACGGGCGCGCTGGTCTAGGCATCATCGCTCGGCAGCGAATGACGACTTGAAAGATACCCAATGACAGAGGGTGAGGTGAGTACGTCATGTGTAAAATGAGCGCAAAACCTCTCGCGGTGCCGTGATAACCGTATCTGGTCGTGCTAATGTAGTCCCAACATCGTTGGAATAGAGGGAGCAAACACTTCATCGAAAGCGAGTTGATACCCATCGCTTGATATGGAAGCGATCAGCACGAGGCTCCCAGCTTTACCAAAAGCAATGGGACAATGCTCGCCTGAAACAAGGGACTGAGCCAAGAACCATCGTGACTGGACTTCGTCTGGAGTTTACCTCAGTGAAATAGAGACGTCGTCAGCATCCAGCCTCCAAGTAAACCCCATTAGCTTTTCAACAATCGCGATTCAGGCCAAAGGCGTCGTACTCAACGTGACATCCTCACGAGCTCGGACACACCAGGCGTTCATCGTATGTTTCCCCCTTCGCAAAGGCCCGTTCCAAAATAACCGTCGATCCATCGCTCCCGTCTCAACTATTATGGGCTCGGGGGATATATAAAGTCCACTGGGGTTACATCGTGACCGTCAAAGTGTTTAATTCTAATTGCATCCACGGCGTCTCGGCACCAGATGCCATCCAAAGACGAGCACGCCAGTCATCCCATGGTGGAGAAGCGATTGCGTCTGCCCCTGGCGACCCCCACATGCCGGCAGCCCAGCACCACTCTTCCGCGATGTTTCGATAATCCCTTCCCGGGGTAAACCCCCATCAAATCGAGATGAAACAATGCTTCACAGCGGAAAGTTTACCCCTAGAACCCTGACGATCGTCAGAAACTCCCCCACTGTCAACGACAGCAACGCGTACGCCAAGAAACAAGTCTAGGCGAGATGAAATTTTGGGAGACTTCGCAATCCAAAAATTGCATCAACAGTGTTCTACGCATGCTTCGAGAAGAATAAATAAGGTAGACGTCAAGCTCAAACTATCTATTTAGCTTCCGTAGTCTCAGCCGCCAGCGGTCCACCTTGTTCTTTTCACTACCACTTTTGACATTCTCAATTCTCTTCTCCATCCCTCATGGTTTCTCAATCACTTGCGCTGCTGTTGTCCGGCTTCGCGCCATGCATCTCGGCACTCAGCCATCAGCTTCTAGTTGGAACGTTCGGAACACCATACATCTACACTCTTACCTTCGAAGATGCCGCCAAGACACTGGTTCTGAGCGCGAACACCTCAGTGAATACCAGCAGCTCATGGATTGCCTTGAGTGTAAGTGACCGTCCTTTGGACACAGCATACCTTCCCCGAAGAGACTCACTAACATTATGCAGTACGACAAGCAAAACCTGTATGGCAACTCTTTTGAAGACAGCGGCAACAGCCAATACGTCAGCTATGCAATTGAAGACGATCTCTCCATTGGCGCTGGAACGATCATCACGGCCGGCGGAGACTGCACCGAGCGCTCCATCTTCGTGACTCCTTCGACCGTATCTCCGTATGCTGTTTACGGAACACCGTTCGGCGCGTGCGGAACAGTCATGTCAGTGACAGATGGAGTTCTCACGGAGTCAATCCAAGAATACAACTACTCGACGTCTTCCGGTGTTCACGGCCTTGCGTTCAACCCCGCCGGAACCATGATATACTCATTCGACGACACCGGCAACGCCATCTGGGTCCACTCCATTGACAACTCCACTGGAGAGCTTACGTACGTTGCGGATGTGGCTGCTCCCGTAGAAGGAGCCGATCCAAGGCACGGTGCTGTTCATCCGGCGGGCGGCTACCTTTATGCTGTGCATGAGGGAACCAACGAAGTCGGCGTTTACTCCATCGATCAGGCAACTGGTATTCCCAGCTATGCCAATGCTTCATTTTCTCTCATCCCAGAAGGTAAGACTTTCATGCCCATATCACCAGATCTCAAATCACTGACAGCGTGTAGGTGCCAACAGCTCTGACTACTGGTCAGATGAGGTCGCGATTGCCTACGGATCCAAGTTCCTGTGGGCGACATCGCGAGCCCGCGACGCCAACAACACTGGCTATATCTCAATCATGTCGTTGAATGACGACGGCTCTGTGGAGAAGCAGAACTTCCTGTCGCCCACAACCACGAGTGGAGGGTCAGCGAACGCCATCACCGCGAACAGCTTCAGCGACATGTATGTTGCGCTAACTGATAGCTCTACGGGATTTGTTGAGATTTGGGAGATGGGCGACGGTGGCGCATCTGCAAGTGCGGTTGCTCACCTTGATTTGAATGATGGAGGGTGCTGCGGAAATGCAGTCTGGTTGAATTAGATGAGCCAGCGAGATACCATGGTTGTAAGATTTTACGTTGAAATTGATCTTATTCTTGTTTTCCAGTTCACTTGAGCGTGCCTGATGTTTGGGCTGGCACTGAGGCAGTGATATGCACATCAGCACCCAATGAGATATCTAATATCTCAGAGGCTGCAGTGTATGCCGATGGAGGCCTTCATGTCGTCTTAATTCCAGATGTAGTCTATGTCCTTGACCTCGAAGACACCACTCCCTCTATCTTCACTGAATGAAGGGTCTTGGAGTTAGCGACAAAGGGGCTTGGGACCTGCCCTAAACCTGCCGTTATATTCTACGGCAATGTCGTCTACCAACACTGCACCTATAGCCATCATAAGCTATAAAAACACCTGCCTTGTCTCAGACACGAATACGAGCCGTTCGTCTCCGCACCGGCATTCCGACCTGCTGGCATATTGCCTCGCATCGGCCCAAGTTGATATTTCATTCGCGGAACGATACTCGATATAACGAACTAGTTGTGCTGGTGTGACTCGTGATCCTTAGTGGCACTGTCACTTCATTGGTGGGGCTTGTCATTGAAGTGTAGGATTATGGGCAACTATGATTCTTGATGGACGGGATATTTATACCGGCTGGGCGATTGGGAACAATACCCCTCCGTAGACAAATTCAGAAAGCTTTTCGGGTTTTGCCAAGACTTTGCCTGGAGAATTCCACGACTAGGACAGGAAGAGGCAATAGGGATTGGGTTGCACCAATTGGCGTTGCAACATTAGCTTACAGCCAAGCCTTGGCTTCTGGGGTAATATGCGTGCCAATGGGGATTGTCGAGAATCGTCTCGTTTTCGACTCGAATATGTCGTCCAGGAAGTAAGATACTGGTTATAGTAGCTCACTATCCGACTATATAATCTCAGCAATCGAGATAGATATGAATTCCCACTAGCATCAAAAGCTAGATTAACTCGTGACTCGTCAAGTCTCATCAATCCAATAGCAATGTTCGGTAACCGCATCCTCGCAGTCGTAGCTGGTCTTGCAGCGCTCCCCACGGCCCTCGGCTGCTTGGGCTACGAGGGAGGCCTTCCAACTCCTACCTCAACGAAGAAGATTTCTGCTCCGATTTATGTTCGATCTGGTCAAGTCTTTGATGGAGGCTGGGCCAAGTACGACAGAAGCCCCACGTCTTGCAATGGGCAGCAAGAGGGAGGTAAGCTGAAGCTAGCTTTCACACCGATTCAACACCCTCGATACTGACGAGCAAATCCTTCGCAGGCGAGAAAGACACTGCATTCGTTCTCGAGAAGGGTGCCACACTCCGAAACGTAATCATCGGCAAGACCGCCGGCGAAGGCGTATACTGCCTCGGAGGTGGTTGCAACATCGAGTTCGTGTGGTTCGAGGATGTTTGTGAGGATGCTATCTCGATCGTAAGCGACTCATGATAAATCAACGATGGGCTTGGGCTGACTGCATATTAGAAAGAAGACAAGGCCGGCGACGTGACATGGATCGTCGGTGGAGGTGCTTACCACGCTTCCGACAAGATCATCCAGCACAACGGCTGCGGAAAGGTCAATGTGAGTATATTCTCCCACAACGCATATCGTCATTGTTGACACTTGGACTAGATCATCAACTTCTATGCTGAAGACTATGGAAAGGTCTACCGGTCTTGCGGAACTGTGAGTATCTATGCCATCTGAATCATCTGTAGAGTCATCTTCTGGTATTATGCTGCTGTGAGAGCTTTGCTAATAGTCTTTAGTGCCAGAAGTGTGCGCGTGAAGTTTACGTCGAGGGAGTCACTGCCCGCAAGGGCGGTGAAGTTGTTGGAATCACCAAAGCCAACGGCGACAAGGCAACTCTCAAGAACGTCTGCACTGACGCGAAGACGCCCTGCCAGAACTACAGCGGTCCCGGTGTCAAGGACGGCGCCTGTTAAAATGCCTTGAAACATTGCACATCCACAACTACGCCATACGATGATATGAAGAGACGACACAACTGGGCACCTTTTAGCAGTGAATGATCTCTGATGTCGGAAAGCTCGCATTCACATGTACATACTTCGTCGCACATATATTTAGTCTTCTTCGATGCACAAATTGATCACCGGAGTTTTTCGCATGATATTAATTTTCTGCTTGCTCTCTCCAGGGCCCCGCCCCGTGACTATCTAGATGTAGTGACTCTATTTCGATGCGGTGAGAGTGCCGTTAGTGCAAGGAATGCCAAGGGTCTTGTCGTTCTCCAGCCCAACACATTCCATTTCGCCTGCACTGCCATCCTGCAGGGTTGTTAGTTTATGATGAAGACCGTGGGCTCCAGTTACTTACAGCAGCAACGAGGGTAATATCCGAGAAGTGGAAGTCCTGGCAATGGGCCGCATCCTTGCAGATGATGTACATCGACTTCTTGGTAGTTTCCTCTGTAGACGAGTCAGTGCTTAAAACTCGGGGAAGGCCGATGGAAACTGATGATGACTTACCAAGAGTCGAGCTCCAGCACGGGCTACCCACGCAGCTGCCGTCCTTCAGGGTGCTGCTGGTGTGGGCAGTGATGCTCTCCCAGCGAAAGTTCTTAGCGTACGCGGCGAGAGAAGCGTCCTTCCCAGCAGCGCCCTTCTCCTGGTCGACGTAGTCCTCGATGAAGTGAATGGGGTAGCTGGTGTTGATGATGGTCATGTTGCGCCAGGTGACGTCGGAGATGTTGCAGGTGGTGCCGACTGAGCCCTTGAAGCGGGCTCCGAGAAGCGAATCGTGGATTTCAGCGTTCTCGAAGAGGTACTGGCTCCCGCTTCCCGAAGCACAGGAAACGGAAATGCCGTGGGTTCCATAGGCCTTGATGTTGCGCATGGTGACGTTAACAGCCGGCGGGGAGACGTTGATGATGTCGTCGCCGTTCCAACTTGTCCATCCGTCAATGACAACGTCAGAAGCGCTAACATCGATACCATCGGTGTTGAACGGGAAGCCGATGGTGGATCGGGCGTCAAGCAAGGTGTCCGTCATGTAAACATCCTGTCCGCCCATGGAGAAAACCCAGGCGACGGGGTTGATGACCTTGATGCGGCGCAAACGAAGTCCAGTGACACCAAATGAGAAGAAGTGAGGGCGGCCATTGTCGCTGCTGTCATTCTTGTTGGACCACCACTTGTCACCATGGCCGTTGAAGTAGCCCCCGCCAGGGGCACCAGTGATGGTGACACCCTTGCTGTTGGCAATGGTGATCCAGTGACCGGGGTACGCTGTTCTGTTGCCAACAACCGCTGAAACCACAGCGGGGTCGTCTGAGAGTGTGAGGTTGCCCTCGACTGACAACTCAACGTTCGTCAGACCGGAGAACTTCAAAGGAGTAAGCAAAGTGTATTCGGTGCCGGCGCTGAATACCACGCGGGAGTTACTGCCACAAGACTTGACGGTCGAGGCAATGGTGGGAGAGGCGTCGCCTGTGGTCTTGGGCACAACACAGGTCTTGAATTGGTCCTTGCCCAAAGTTTCCGGCAGCCAGTAGCCAGAGGCCACAGAGGCAAGGAACGAGAGTTGCAACAAGGTATTTTGCATGGCGTTAGTGACTGTAAGAAACGGGAAACCCAATAATCTTGGCTGTTAAGACGAACGAGCTTTCTTGGCGTTCTTCTCCAAGCTTTTATGTTCCGACCGTTCGGGGAAAGCAAGGACGTCGCAAATCTTGGCCCAATAGGTTAAATTAGTCCTCCTGTATCTGAAGTCCATGGGACGAACTCTCGCCCCCATCTGCCCGCGCCATGAGTAGTCCATGTGCCAAATAAGATCAAAATGCAAGGATGACAGCAGAGTTTCCAGGCCCGAACGCATCGGCTGTTGCGCTGAGGGGCATCTGTGCCTGCCGTAAGCTATCCAGTTTGGGGGAACACTCGCCGGAGAAATGCGATCCCCGCGACCGACGGGAGCCAAGAAAGTGTCAAGATCCAAGCAGGCAATCTAAAAAGCTTGTCTCACCTTCTTTCAACATGGATGCACGATCTCGTCAAAACGAAGAAGATTGCTCGCACTCAAATGGCAATGGTCGTATGGCAATATGAATGTTTCATCTAGACTGAACCTTGACATGACTCTGCCTTCGGTTTCAACACCGACGTTGCCGCATTAATCTCCCATGACTCCGCCTCATCCGCGACCCTGCCGATATCCGAACTGTGGGCTGCATTGCATTTCCGTTCGCCATCTTCAACGGGGAATTTTGTGCCGAAGTACTTTGAAGTCAACGTCACGCTAAGAGATTCCTCACCAGGAACGAGATGCCACATTATCTCCTCGAACGACCATCGCATTTCGCTAGTACCAGTGACGGACGCCGCACACCAGCCCACATTGATACGCAAGGTAATCAACGATTGGTAAACAACGGTCTTGATTTCATGTACGATAAAGATATTTCTACTCGCCCTTTACCCAACCTTCCTTTTCGTTCTGCTCCTTACTGCGTTGGCTCCACGCCGGAGCAACGTCGATACCGTCCTCCTCTTCTCTGTCGCCCTGCTCCTTGGTCTCGTGGACTGTCGTCGGCTTATGTTCAGCTGGCGAGTAGACGGTGTACAAGATCAGTGGCGTGGGTCCCTTGTTCAAGAACTGGTGCTTCGTTCCGGCCGGGACAATAACCATATCGCCAGCCTTGACCTCCTGCTCTTTACCACCGACTTGAGCGAGGCCCTTGCCAGATGTGAAGGTGAGAATCTGGTCGACGGTGTGTACCTGATGATGATGTTAGGAGGATCTATAAAGAATGGATTCTCTCGTGGCCGATCTCACTTCTTCACCAATGTCTCCGTCTACCGGGATGGTCATAAGCACCAACTGCGAGTAGAGACCAGTCCAAAGCACGCGTCGAAATTCGCCCGACTCCGACGGCAGGGCCGTGGTCATGTCAGGGAAGTATTGCATCTCCTTCTTCGGGGGATCGCTGGAAGGAGTAGGAAATCGGGCCATGTTGCTGACGTGGAAGAGACGATTCTGGTCAATAGGGGTAACTGAAATTGATTTTCTCAGAGGAACTAGGGAAATCTTTGGGAGGTAACGGACAGCTCTGAACGAAAACATGAGTGCGAATTCAGATATCATACCGAGGTGTAATAATACTTAACTTTTCGAATGATATGTCGTCGTTTTTAAATACCCTGGTCAAACTACATCATGGTGTGGTGATGCTCTACGGGATGGATACGTCATCGATCGAGCAGACCCAGTCATCGTTCAAGTTCCGTCAGGGTTCTCACGCCCTTCATAAAGGTGCACATATCTACCAGAGCCAATTACTGTCGACGTATGACGACTTCCATTCGTCGTCGTTGAGGTCTAGAGCTACATTCGAACGTTGATCGGGCAAGCATCGAGAATGTAGAGGTGGACTCCGACCTCGCCGAAACGTGTGGGGCGAGTTCGGCGCGGGACCTGGAGGGTCGCCGGAGTCATCTCGGCATCGCACATCGCACGAGTGCATATTATGCAGTTGTTACAATATAGACACTGGCTTTTATGACGCAGATTGGTTTTCATTCAAAATTTCTACTGAATTCTGAGGGTTGAGCCTGAGATGGGACAGGGCATGTTGAATGCTGTACCTCCGGAAGTTACCGGAAGAACAACAGCGATAATGACAGCAAACGAGCGGCCAGCTGGGTCAGCAGTGAGCTTGAGCCAGCCAAAGAAAAACACACAAAAGCAGTACCAAGTAGAAAAACTCAGCAAGAAACGAATCTAGAGATATTGGAATCTCTCAGCACTAGCAACTTCATCGCAGGCGAACTCCTCACCGAGCTCGCCCGCTTTTCTTTCTCACTCACACACCCTTTCCAAGCAGAACCAAGTTGGCCACGTTCATGACCGCCATGACAAGCCAGGTCAAGATCGCAAAGGCCGCAGTGTACCACGAGTTCGCCATCTTAACCACATAGCCCCCGTCTCTGGTGTTGGAGTCTTCCTCATCGGAGCTAGTTCGGAATCGAGCACCGCCGGCGCGGATCGTCATGTACTTGTTGCAGCAGGTGAAGTAGATCAACGGTGCCGTGACAAACGGGAGCACAACACTGAGGACGACTTGCGAAGCATCCAGGGCCTGGCTGATTCCCTTGCGACCAACAGCTCCCGCGATGATGACGCTGGGAATGATGCTGATGCTGCGGGTCACGAGCCGGCGCAGCCAGGGCCGCATCTTCCAGTTGAGGGATCCCTCACTGACCATCTGGCCCGCGATCGTGCAGACTACTCCGGCAGAAATGCCGGAGAGAAGCAAGGCGAGGGCAAAGACGGTCGCTGCTGCGGGCGAGATGGAGTCCTTGAGGAGCTTGTGGATGCTGAAAATGTCGGCGTCGGGAGCGTCCGGGTTATTGTACAGCGAAACTCCGGCAACGATCAGGATAGCCGAGTTGACGAAGAGCGCAAAGGTGAATAACGAAATGCTCAACTCGGCGATAGAAACTTTGAGCGAATGCTTGATGGCTCTCGCGGAGGGCACGTAGTAGCCCTTGTCGGTGTTTCCGTCTGCGAAGTCTGTCTCGTCCACTCCAGGCGGCAGAAGGTTGTGCTTCGTGTCGTACTCTCGAAGACGGGGTTGAACGATACCTGAGCCGAGGTAAAGGCTGTGTGGCATGACCGTCGCGCCCAGAATACCGCAAGCTTGGTAGAGACTGGATAAAGGTTAGCGACTGGGTTTTGACCTTGGAAGAGTAGCATCATACCCCTTAGCCTCGACAATGGCATGGGAGGGCAGGTATCCTTCGAAGACATCTCCAACAGGCGTCTCTTGAATGAGAGACAGCTGGATGCAGAAGCAAACGACTACTGCCATGACCAAGCCTACGATGAAGTACTCGAACGTTCTCAGGGCTTTCATGGATCCATGCGGTCGGTAGAAGAACAAAATAACCATTACATCCAAGATCGAGATGGCACAGCCAGCTACCAGCGGGATGGCAGGAATCAGAAGGTTCAATCCTACTGCAAAGCCAATCACCTGAGGAGAATGTCAGTCCATAATTGCTCTCTTAGAGATACCAGGTTCACCAACTTCGGCAATGTCGGTTGCGATGATGGCAACCTCTGCAAAGATGTACAGGGCATAGTTCAACCAGCGAGGCAAGAAGGCCCGACAGGCTTCAGCCAGGTTGAGTCCAGTGACGGTGCCAAGCTTGATGCAAAGACTCTGAAGGAAGATGGCAAACAAGTTGGCCAAGAGGACAATGAAAAGCAGTCGGAAGCGATAGGTCGCGCCGGCGGCGACGTCCGTGGCATAGTTTCCAGGATCAACTATTCACATCCGATGGGTCAGTTCGCAATCTCAACATAACCGCAATGCAAGACATCAGGGCGGAGCGTTGGTGTCTTACTGTACGCGACGGCAATCATGAAGCCCGGCCCCACGAAGGAACCGAACTTCATGAGCGCCTTCTTCGCCCGAGCCACCAAATCCGAATGCTCCTTGTCATCGTGCACAGTGCTGCTAGGGGACGGAGGGATCTGTGAGTGAGCGTGAGGGAGAGGGGCCGCGTCGGCCCCATCTCCCGAGGGTCGACCAAGAATGATTGTCTTGGCCGAAAGGCCTCCCGGCGCCGGGCCCCCGTCTTTGTCCCGGCTCGGGTCAGCTCGGGCTATGTCGGCGTCATCGGCAGCAGATTTATCCTGGCTACTGCCCGCGTTCAACTGCCTGGCATTCACTGTGCCGTTGAGGTCCTCGTTCGTGGTCAAATCATTGGACAGCGGGTTCGGGCTCTGGTTGTAGCCCTCCCCTTCGTAGGGCTCATCGGTTCGCGATGGGCGGTTCATGATGATCTCCCTCCCGAAGTTTGCTTGTTGTTTCGACTGTGAAAGAGCGAAGTGCGGTGAGTCTCGGGAGAGATCGTAGAGGTGTTCTTATGGCGTCGGGGATGCCGTGTTACCCGGGCCCCAGCTAGTTTCACCACGCAATCCACTGATCGGATGGCCGAAGCCACCTGAGTCAGCTGCCTACCGGACATGATCGGATGACATTAGCTCACTGCGGGGGCTGGGAGCAAGATAAGCTTCAGATTCATCGCGACAGCAATACTATCTGAAGACGAGGTGAATGTCAAAATGAAGCACGGACTATGAGACCCTTAAGGCTCAATGAGAAGTCATTAGATCCGTATCACTGAATAACAAATCATGATCGAGAGAAGCCCTCCTTTGTGGTGCGCAGATCATCTTTCACAACATCATTGGTCAGTGATCCTGCGCCGCTGTCGCACATGTTCCCGCGCGGAGATGTCGATGAATTGGGAAGCTCGGTGACAGTCGCTGGTCATGCGGCAGCTTAGCGGCGCAGCCTGCCGTATCACAACGCCACCAAAGTTCTTTCGCGCCAAGTCATAAATCGACGGTTTGTCTTGGTGTTTGTTTCGCGCATCTCTTGGCTTTGTTGCGATACGCATACTGCCTGTTGATAACTCGAATCACGATTACCGCGCGGCCTGCAATGGCTGAGTCATTGGCAACTTTTCAGGGCAACTGCCACTGCGGGGCGAACCGCTTCGAAGTGCAACTCCCTGCTTTGCCCCAGCTAGTGATCTGCGACTGCTCGCTTTGCGCAAAGAAAGGCTATGTCTGGATCTACGACGCAGAGGACAAGCTGAGGATTACAAGGGGTTGCAACTCAGGTCTACTGACTTCGTACACTTCAAGCAGGGGAGAGGCACTTGAACATGAGGTGAGGGCGGCTAGTCATGATGACCATAGTGCTGTCCGACGCTGATCACAGTGCACCCGACAGTTCTGCTCGAACTGCGGTACAGGCCTGTTCGGAACTCACACATCTGGTGTCCAAGCCGGCAAGAGAGGGATCAACTTGCGTCCCCTTGTTTCTGGCATTCCAGGAATATTTCTCAAGGGCAAAGATGTTGTGACTTTGGATTCTTCTGGCGAGCCTGCTGTGTATCCTGGGAGTCTGAGGTTTGTTATCAGAGCCTTGACCCAAAACATGCCTCCCCCGTCGTTATGCTCACATTGTTTCAGCGTCGTCGAGACTCTTTCTGAGTCGGCATCGTCGCCACCTAAAATCAACGCAGCACCACCAGAAGCCACAGAAGAACATCCAAAGCTCTACACTGGATCCTGCGAGTGCAGAGCTGTGCAACTGGCACTGAGAAGTAAGCCTCTGGCGGAAGTGGAGGTCAAGGAGGATAACTGCAGCATCTGCATCAGAGTTCGTGACCTTCCGCAGCCCCATTTCCATTCGGAGGCGCTAACATATTGTTTCAACAGAATGGTGCCATTGGCGTTTACCCCCATCAATCTCAGGTGACGATTGTTGGCAAAGACATGACCCAAGAATACCAATATGGCCGCAAGTTCAACGGTGCCCCTTTCTGCAAGACTTGCGGGGTTCATTGCTTCGGAAACCTCTATGGTCCTCCGCAGTCATTTGTCGACAGGCTGCCAGAAGCCAAGAAGGAGTTTGTGAGGAAACAACTTGAGATTCAACCGTTGAACGTCAGGGTACTGAACGAAGTTGATTGGGAGGAGCTGGACATCAAGTGGACCAACGAAGGCACTGAAGGATATGCTCTTTCGGACTAAATGAGGCCACTGTGGTGTAATAAGCCATTTGCACAAGGCTGTGTGACTTTATTTACTGCTGCGTTACATTAAGTTGAAATGTTGCCCATCGAATTCGATATCGGTATATCTGATCTTGATACGCGGAGTTCTCATTACTCAACGCATGCAATTGGATATTACCAATCACAACAGGCGATGTGCTTACACGGCGGCAGAGGTGCCCCTTTTCATGACGAATGAGCGCCGCAACCTGCCTTCACTCACCTTTTGCCACGTCAGCAATTTCTAACTCAATTCGGATACATAAGCTGACTCCCTTTTCCGACCAGGCTCTGCGAAGCAGTGCATGAGATAGTGCGCTCTACCTGATAGCCTCGTGTTCAACCATGTTCTAAGTACATCATCTTATCCATTTAATCGCCTCTTAACTTCCAAGGTCCTTTCTTCATGTCCAGATGGCACGAGCCCACATGTATTCAACCAAACGTCGCCGTCGTGGGAGGTCTCCCGTGCTGCAGTTGGTGTTATGCCGTTGCCAGCATTGACGACTTCATGTCCGCACCTCCTCTTGTCCCATCAAACCAACCCCACTTTGATGACAACAATAACAACTATCAGCTGCAATGGCCGAGATGCGTGGAATACAAGGACGAAGACGAGTCTGCTAGCGGACAATCGTCATTTATGCCTTGTTCATCAATAACCGAGCGATATCAAGACCATGGACATGCGAATGCACGTCGAGGAGATCCATCGTCATTTAATTCTGCTGGGAATAAGGCTAAAGACCTTGCAGAAGTTCACAGAACTCGGACGGATCCAAAGAATGATCCATATCAACCCTCAAGATGCTACCCGGTGCTTTGGGCCGACGACGAGATCAGGCTTCTGCAGCTGGATTCTGCCAGTGGTGGCAGCCTCCTACATGGGGCATTTGCTAGAGTACGTGTTGGCTCTGAGCAAGCTCAATATGAAGCTGTCTCCTACACGTGGGCAGATGAGTATGGGGATTCAGCCCGGTGCAGGCCAATGTTCATCGGCCCATTCTGGGACATCATACCTATTACTCGCAATTGTGAAAATGCGCTCCGAAGTGTGCGTATTTCGGGCGGCCCTCCGCGCAACATCTGGATCGACTCGCTGTGTATCAATCAGGACGACGAAAAAGAACGATCTGCCCAAGTGGCTCTCATGCCACGCATATATGCAGGCGCAGCTGGTGTATTAGTCTATCTTGGCCATGCAACATCGGACAGTGACCTAGCTATGGATGCTATCACCCGTTCGGAAGACAGCTATCGGTGCGTTCATCTTGGCACTCGCAGCGGCGTATGCGAAGGGTGCTTCAAGGCCGTAGGAAGCCTATTTCAACGGCAATTCTTCAGGAGACTTTGGGTGGTCCAGGAGGTAACACTCGCTCGGTCATTGACCATATTCTGCGGATCAAGATCAATATATTGGCCACCCCATCATGTTACGGATCGCCTACCTATCTCTCACTGGACAAAGTCTCACAAGCAAAGGGAAGGTGAGCCAGGGTTCGAATTACTTGGACTCATGGCCGACACTAGCAGTTGCGTCTGCAGCGGCAGCAGGGACCGCGTCTTCGCCCTCCTGGGTATGCTTCATGGGTTAGAGGCAGGATCAATCGCTGCAGACTACAGCCTCTCGCCCCATAAAATCAGCATCGGCATCGCTTCGTTTCTGCTTCAGAAATGTGGGAGAGGAAGGGAAGTGTTTTTGTACGCTAGTATCAATCGGGCCAAACGGAGACGGCTGCCCTCTTGGGTGCCCGATTTCGTTGAGCCTCTCAAACTAGACTGGAAGGTAAGAGGTCTTCTCGATAGGTCACTTGCAATTTCTGGGGATTTCAATGCCGCATCAACGTCAGCTGAGCGCCTAAGGGCACTTGAGATACAAGATGGAGTTCGAAGGCATCGGCTTTCTCTTCCTCCTCTTTACCCGGCGAGAATCCAGGTACACGCTCGAACGGCATCCTTGTGTGTTCCTGCCGTCAAGCTCTGCAACCTTCAGATTTCCTTTAAGCCACGTGGTTCAGGCCGCGATTTCAAGCCTTTTGTCCGACACGGGTCTACACAGAGAGCAGTCGTACAGGTTCCGAGAGCCCCCAGTGGTTTCAAGGACCTATCAAGTTAGTTAAGCATCATCTCGAGAGAGGACGGTCTGTACTGGCTTCACGGCATCGAAGGGTTTGCCATTCTACGGCCAAACACCGATCACGTGAGTCATAGCCTGATCTGTGGCTGTGATGTATATTTCGAGTCGGACAAGTCCTGGGATGGGAATCAGCCAGTTGCACGGCAACCACTGGGTCGGCACTGGAGCACGTTGCTCCAGCCATTCTCCCACTTAGATGATAAGATATGCTCAGAACACCTGGAGAGACTCCTCCGCAGGGCTTCAATTGCATTCGGAGATGCTGGATTTCTCGCCAAGCAGAGGCCGGAGTCAAAGCCAGCAGATCTACTCCTCGACATTGCCTTCTTGGTTGGGCACTCTCCACGAAAAGCGGCAATCGCAATGTGGAAAGGTTGGCAAGGCTTTGAAAAAAGGATTTTGCCATTATTTCAGTGCGATGAAGGTCTTCAACTGATTCGAAGCATTTTCGACAGCGTTGACATTTTACGCTGTGGAACTGAAGACGATGGCAGACCGAAGGAAGTTTATGCTTTCCAGGAGTGCTATCTACAGTCATTTGACGCCATTACATCTCTCTTATGGTCACTCATTCCTTCTGCAATTGGACGACACTGGGACCAGATTGAAGTAGGATTACTGGAAATCTCCAGTGTCCAAATCCTCAAAGACCTGAAGGATTGGGCAGATCTCACGAAGAATCTCTTCGCACCAGACGGCCCATTAAGTGTTCCAAGAACGTCTCGAATTCTGCCCTCTCTCTTTTTGGATGTTCAGACTCAATGGGATAACACATTATCCACCTCTCAGGATACATTGCAAGGTGTTGAACCACTCATTGCCGCTCAACATATGTTGTTTTTATTTTGGGAGCCGGAACTTGTAGAAATCAGGAATGTTAATGAACCACTATTGTCCCTGGTCACTAGGGCTTACACCAAGGCACATCGAAAACGATTACTTTGGGATTGGAGACTTTTTCAGTTGGACATGGAGAGGCGGGAAATATTCTGGAAAGCGATGGAGGAGGATGCATGGCTGACATCGTGGTGTCAACATGATGAGCAAGAAAGTCTTGAGAAAGAGGAGCTCGAAATGCAACAGGCGGGGATATCACGGATGTGGAACCCAGTTTCTAGCGGGCCTGAGTTTCAGAGGTATCACAGCCTAGAACGACAGCTGGCGCTTCGTCTTTTGCTCAGGGAATTTGACTTCAATGTAGAATCATACGTGAACGTTGAGATCAGATGATCTGTAATAATATGATTTTTTAGCTCCATAGCTGGTAACTCACAGAGCTCATCGTTCCATCTCGTTCTCATTCCGTGTTCCAGCCGCACGCAAGCTGCATAATATTGAATATTTGCCTGCGTGTGATTCACTAGCTCAATTTACCCATGCTCTGGTTTTCAGCTCGTCCACATTCGGTCTTCAGCTCTGTCCAAGAACGGCAATAATAAGCCGACTATGCATGAAGGATATTGACTCCAGGCAGCCTTTGCTTGCCCCTCTTAACCAGCGCATGGGGCATTTAAAGCTTGACGTGTCCCAATATACCTCCTTTTCGCCCCCAATCCATTCTCTGCGCATAAGGTTCTCTGCGATTGAACATTGCAATAGCAGAACTACAAGAAATAATGCCTGGAACGTACGATGTGCCCCTTGATGGGGCAAAAGAGCAAATACGTCTGCTCGAGCTTCAGCCAGCAACAAGTCAGGATGCGCCGATAAACTGCATTCCAAGAGTCGTGTCGCTCTCGGATAAGCCAATCTACATCGCCTTGTCGTACACCTGGGGAGATCCCGCCGACAAGTGCGACATCAAATTCGACGATGACGTCGACTTCCGCATTCCGAAGAATCTCGATGGGTTCCTTCGCCAGATCCGATCCAGCGACTCGGTCAAAGTTATCTGGGCAGACGCTATCTCTATCAACCAAGCCACCAAGGCAGTAGAAAAGAACAACCAGGTTGCACTGATGGACAAAATCTATTCGCAAGCCACGCAGACTCTCATATGGCTCGGAGGAGCAGCAGATGACAGCGACCTGGCAATGGACGCCATCCACAGGCTACATATCGATGACGTCTGGAACATCACTGCCGACACATTCAGCGAACAGGAGCTGGTTGCCATCGTCGCATTGCAAGCTCGCGGGTGGTGGTCTCGCACTTGGGTCATCCAAGAGATCTTGCTCTCGCCGAATCCGATCATTCTCTGTGGTTCGAAGACAGTATCAGTGGAAGCCTTCGTTCACCTTGACGATGTGAGGCGCGGATACCATCGCCCAAGCCGCAAGTACATCGATAATTCAGAACAGCCTTCTCGGTTTGAACTTACTCTAAACAAATTTTCGGTGATCTTGACGGACTATCCAGAGGACAAGGAACTCATTAAAGCGGGCCGAGCAACCTTGAGTACATGGACCCAAGTGACTGACAGCTTCTACGCTACGGACCCCCGCGATAAGATCTATGGGCTTCTTGGTATTGGGAAACAACAAGAGAGGTCAGACCTGTTGCCAATACTGCCAGACTACAGCGAGAGCGTAACTGTAGCAGACGTATATGCTCGTGCAACGGCTCGCTTCATTTTGGAATGGCAGTATCTGCTGCCACTTCAATTCAATGTTGATGACGTTGACCCGGACCTTCATCTTCCCTCTTGGTGTCGAGACTACTCCAACCGCCCGGACAGGGAGAAGGCAGGGTATAGAGGGTTTTGGCTTGGGCCAACTACCCCAGGAGGATTCTTCGCCAGCGGGCCCGATGTGAAAATTTCCGATGGTGTGGAAAAGCTGTTTCCACAGTCGACATCATCAGACAGACATAGGAAGGTAATCCATCTCACTGGATGGATAATTGATACCGTGGTGTTCGCAAGCGAGAACCCGTATCTACCGCCATACTCAGGCAGTAATGGGGTGGAAAGGGCACAGAACGTCAGGCAAAGAGCAGAACAGACGCAGGCCAATGTTCTGAAATGGGAAGAGGAGGCAAGGCGGCGGTTGTCGGCTCAAAGCCCGTATCAGCCAAAGAGTGTGGACGATGTGTTTTGGCGCACCCTCATGGCTGACCGAGATTTCAGATGGGATCTGGTTCCAGACTCTTACAAGCAATACTTCGATATCTGGCTTGGGCGTAGCCCTCTACCGCCACTTCTGCCGAGCCCTAAAGACCCGGAAACCGAGGACGAACTGGAAGAAAGGAGAAGGATCCATGTCAAACCTTTCACCGACTCAGCCATCACACGCACTCATGCCAGGTCCTTCATAATCACGGCCAGTGGATACATGGGCCTTGCATCTAAGAAGACTCGTGTGGGGGATACCGTGGTGGTGTGTAAAGGTAGTTGTGTGCCGTTTGTGCTGCGGGCTCACAAGGATGTGGAGGAGTGGACCTTCTTGGGCGAGAGCTTCATCATGGGCATTATGGAAGGTCAAAGTGTTGCAAATCATCAGCACACATCGTTTGTGATTGTGTGATGGGAATTGGTTGCGGATGATTGAGCTGTTGAGATTTCTTGGTCAAGCCATACCACAAGATTTTGCCATGTAGGTTTTCACCGGAGATGAATTTGTTAATATGATTGTTTTCTACCTGAATATTTCGGACTCCTTGCTCGTCAATAAAATCAATCAAATTGTTGCAATGTGGACTATTCAAAATGTCCTAACTTTCCCTGCAAGAAACCAGTATATTTCAAGCAAACGCATCATATCTTTCTTCAACGTCTAATTACCTAGGTCAGGAGGGTCTCGATGTGGGTTTGCATTTCCTCCACGACCCCGGGCGGTGTGTCACATCCCTCGGCAACTACTCGTCGAATATTTCAGACTTGTGAGACTTTATCCACTGAGAAAATGTAGTTGGCTCTCTTCCTGTGTACTTCTTCATGTTTGCGGATGCTTCCTTGTAACGGTCTGCTGGATATCTCGCCAACGCCTCCTCTCCTTCCAGCCAGTAGTCGGCGAGGTTGCGGGCCAATGGGGGAGGGACTTGCTGCCGCGCAAGGAATTCTTCCTCTCCGATCTCCTTGATCTTGATCTCCCGGCCAAGCTCTTTTGACACGATCTCCCATGCATCTCTCTGTGACAGAAGATCGGGACCACAGAGCGGAATGATCTCGGACTCGGTGGTTGGCTGTGCTAGCTTCGCACCAGCAACAGACCCGATATCTTCAGGGGCCAAGTAGTCGCTGATTGCCCCAGGCCTTAGCAAGTAGACCTCGCCATTCTTGACGTCTTCGGCCTCCGAGCTAATGTTACTGCTGAAGTACATCGGTCGAAGAATAGTACTCGGCAAACCGGTTTTCACCAAAGAGACCTCGGCTCGCGCATGAAGCCCTGCGATGGCATGGTTTCCTTTGACGGCAGCCTCCCTGTCGGGATAAACGGTGTATGATGAGAGGAAGACGATATGTTTTATGCCCGCTTCTCTCATCGCCCCAAAAGCCGACTTCATGGCATCTTGGGCCTGAGGAACGACGTAGGTGAACGCAACTGTTGCCCCCGACTTGCTGATAGCATTGCGGATAGAATCCGGTTTTAGAAGATCTGCTTCAATGCGTGTGAAGTTGCTCTTCTCCTCCAACTCTCCGGAGAGGCCCGCGATCGGTTTTTGGGTGTTGCGCATAGCAAGGAAGATGCGAGCGCCGCGCGAATGGGCCTCAATGGCTGCGGCTCTTCCAACGGCACCGGCTGCGCCGAATATGATGACAGTTGGTGTTGATGATGCCATGATGGTTAAAAGAGTTGTATGAAAGGGCTTTAAGTAGTGGGCAATCCGTGCTAAATGTTGAGGTTGTTTGAGCTGTGAGTATCGTGACTTCTTCTTAAATATCCAATGAACAAGACGACAGCGTGGTTATTTATACTTGATATCGACATGCAAATGTCGTTGATTCATCCATGTCGGCCGCCGGTGCTTGACAATCCCGACAAGTCTATTCCATCGGCTTTATTTCAAAGACAAGCCAGAAAGCCGTTAAATCCGCCATGGCGTTGAATCCGAGCGGGCCAATGGTGGGGCAGGAATGCATGCCACTTAATGACGCCACCAAAGTCAAAGGTCGGAACTCGGCAACTCAGCTACCGTCTTCTTGCTGCCAGCTCCTGCTCGGTCCTATACATAATAATGCTGCATCAGGAAAGGATTGACATAGACATAGCTTTTCGGCGGCTTCATGTCATAACTGCACGGTCAAAAAGCTTCAGTGGGATTAACACACGCTAATTCCTCCACGAGGCAGCCAGCCGACTTAGCCACTCAGCCATCATCTCCACCAACGCGTCTGTTCCATCAATATTGTCTCCCGCACCCGTGTCCGTATCCGTAGGAATCGTATGGATTCTCCGAACAAGACATAAAGATTCCGACGGGTCCTGCGGACATTAATTTCCTTCCAAACACATGACGCATGCGCCCCGATCGATTCCCGCTGACTGGCAGTTCTTCAATTGATGTCAACACAGAAGGAGCCGCCCTGCAGATTCTAGCAAAGGTCCATCGTGACCCTTTTAGTTTAGTGAAGAAAAGCTCCTTACAGTAAGTAGTTCTACCCGTCAATACCAGCACAACCCATACAGCGGCGTTCCCGTGAATCCAGTCCGCGCGAACTCTTGCATTTAATATGATTTGTGTCATACAAATGCGCGTGCTTTGGCGTCCAAAGAGCAACTCTGCTGTTACAATTTTCTTTTTGTCTTGATAGAAGACCAGGTCTCCAGCTACCAGCGTCTCGCCTTATTCTATTGCGAAATTTTGCTCTGCGCAAATCAAGGGCAGTCTTTTCTGACTCATTGTGACGATTAAGAATTTGCATAATTATACTGTTCTAGGAGTGACTTCCATTGAGATGCCTGCTGTTCTAATGTCTTACTGCAAAGCAAGTACCCTTGTTCAACAGATGATGGACCGTGGGTAGCTGAGCCGATTTATAAAAGTGAGCCATCATCCCGACAACCGGTCGGGACCTGACTACCGGTCGTTTATAAGCCGGTTGACTGATTTTACTTTTCAGAGTTCCTAATCTTTTAGTTATGACTACTAGGTAGTTAAGTTGTCTTTTCAAGTGATAATCTGAAATTACTCCCAGAGCTTTACCTATTACTAATAAAGAGTTTGTGGACCTAATTGGTAGTGGTTGAGACAATGCGATGTGTTGAGGGGATCGTGTGTCTGTGTGGGGAGACAGTATGCTTCGGGAAGGGTGAACCTACACAAATTGGATGTGGCTGGGCTAGAAAGGTAGTGGAAGAGGATTGCTTACCCCCTTTCAAGTTCCACCAACCCCATCTCAATTGATCCTTCTTTCCCATTCCCTTCTCAGTCGTATCGATGAGACGTGATAATGGACAGCCTATCTTCAGCAACAGACCTGACGCGCTGGCGCCTCTCCAGCCAGCAGGGAGTTCATCGTTGGAGATACTTTCCGGAGAGTGAAGGCAATGAGCCCGCACAGAGCCACGCAGAAAAGTATCTGCTCGGAACTCTGAATCCAGACAAGAAACAGCAAGCCATTTCTAAGGCTCGCTCATTTGACGACACGGCCCGTGACGGCTTCAACTTCTTCACGCGTTTGCAGTTTCCCGAAGGTCATTGGGCATGCAACTACAGCGGTCCTAGTTTCCTGATCCCTGGTCTTGTGTTCGCCATCTACATTACTGGATCTGAGCTTCCTAAGGAATGGAAGGTGGAAATGGTCTGCTATCTCCGACACCACGCCAACGAGGATGGGGGCTGGGGTTTGCATCTGGAGGGCAAATCGACAGTCTTTGCGACTGGCCTGTACTATGTCATGCTTCGACTCCTCGGTATGGACCGACATGACCCTCTGACAAGCAAGGCCAGGCAATGCTTGTTGTCGCTGGGCGGGGTCGCAGGAATGCCCCAATGGGGCAAGATATGGCTCGCCTGTCTAAACCTGTACGACTGGGATGGTGTCAACTGCATTCCTGTTGACCTCTGGCTTCTCCCGTCATGGGTACCCTTCCATCCTTCTCGTTGGTGGGTGCAATGCCGGGCTGTCTACCTCCCGACCTCCTACCTCTGGTCTAACCGCTGTACCATACCACTGACGCCTCTTCTCACCGAAATTCGACAAGAAATACACACCGAGCGATTCAGCAAGATCGACTTTGTCAAGTATCGCAACACTCTTGCACCATCAGACGCCGTGCGCTCTGTTTCGCCTCTACTTCTGTTCTTCTTTTCCATCATAACCATATTTTACGACTACCTGCTGCCGCAATGGTTGCTTGATCTGGCGAGCCGCAGAGCGTCTGAAATGATGCTCAGAGAGGAGCGCAATACAAACTGGGAGTGTTTGGCGCCGGTGACTAAGGCCTTTCACATGGTACAGTCATGGTTCGAGGAAGGGCCCGATTCGGAAAGACTACGACTTCATCGCGAAAAGATCGATGTATACCTCTGGATGGGCACAGACGGCATGACATGCAACGGCACCAATGGGGTCCAAGTCTGGGATACTGCTTTCGCCGTCCAGGCTGCCGTCGAAGCAGGACTCGCGGATGACCCGACATTCAGCGATACGTTGCACAAAGCTCATGACTTTCTGGAAAAGTCCCAGCTGAGAACCAACCTGGACGACCCCTTCCGTCAGCCTCGAAAGGGGGGCTGGCCTTTCAGCACCAAAAGCAATGGATACATCGTCTCCGACTGCGCGGCGGAGAGCCTCAAGGCGGTGCTCATGCTGCAAAAAGAACAGGACTACCCACAATTGATTGACGACTACAGACGCAAGGACTGTGTCGACACTTTGCTCCTCATGCAGAACGCAGATGGGGGTTTCGCGAGCTACGAGAAGGTTCGGGGTAGCGAGTGGCTCGAGCTACTCAACCCCGCCGAGGTTTTTGATTGCATCATGGTGGAACACTCATACCCGGAGTGCACCACCGCAGTTTTAACCAGCTTGTTCCTGTTTAAGCGCTATTTCCCTGATTATCGCACGCGGGACATTGACGAGACTATTCGAAAGGCGGTTGGCTTTGTTGGTAACAGCCAGCGGGAGGATGGCAGCTGGTACGGGGCATGGGCCATCTGCTTCACTTATGCTACCTTTTTTGCCCTGCAGAGCTTAGAGGCGGTCGGCGAGCAGTATCACAACAGCGAGCGTGTGCGCAGGGCTTGTGAGTTTCTGCTGAGCAAGCAGATGGACGATGGGGGGTGGGGTGAGCATCATTCATCGTGCGACGAGAGGAGGTGGATCCAGCATGAGAAGAGCCAGGTCGTCAACACTTGTTGGGCTGTGCTGGCGCTGATGCACGCTGGATACCCCGATCCAAAGCCTATTCGGAGAGGACTTGAGGTATGTGTGTGATTTTCTGTCTGTCTGGCAAAACGGCCCGCACATGCAATTTCATAATGAGCTGACCTCTCTACAGTTGATCCAGAGCCGGCAGCAGGGAAATGGCGAGTGGTTGCACGAGGGCGTTGAAGGAGTGTTCAATCGGACATGGTGAGTTGACAACTGGATATTTGTTTGCTTGTCTATTCCGAGTGAGAGTTGAGCTGGCTTTTGGGGGGAAAGTATGATCGGATACCCCAACTACAAGTTCTACTTTCCCGTCATGGCATTGGGTGCATTCAAGCGGATGTATTTGCCCAAGATCAAGGTGTAACATGACTGGACGCTCAGTATCAATCGCAGGAGGATTATCGTCTGCCTGCAAGGGACATTGCAAGTGAGACATTGCAAGTGACAACATCATAGGTAATTTGCGATGGAAGAAGACGCAGCGTATGATGTGATTGGTGTTTTGAGAGAGTGCAAAGAACATCGTGTGTTTGTGTGGCGAAAAGTTCAAGTGTTTCGAGAAGCTTAGCCTGTATAGAAAGCCAGTTGCAAGAGGGAATCGGCATCCAACGCTTAATATATATAAGACCGCCTATTCTTCCTGTGCTATACCGACTACTTTTCTACACTCTACCTTACCGTTATTACTTGTATTATCGTTACTTCTATCGTCTTTGTTGTTTGTATCGTCGTCGTTGTTCACATTATCGTCGTCGTCTTTTCGTCGCCGTAGTTTGTAACATTGTCGTCGTTTCTATCGTTATCGTCGTCTCTATGAACGTGGTCGTCGTCGTCCCTATCATCGTCTCTAATAGGAATAGTTAAGTACATAGAAAATATAGCCGCGCGCACACAGGAAAAATAGGCAGTCTCACAAATATTCGCAGTATCTGAATGGGGCTTGGTATCTAGTTTGACCACTCACGGCGCATGTATTTAAATCCAGTGTGGTCATCTTCTGAAAGTAGCAACTCGGGTGCTGCGCCGCTTTACTGCATCCAATATTGACAGTCACACATCCTGCGGCCCGCGGGTGCTGCGGGAGATAACCCAAGACCCCAGCCAATCATTCCCAGTAGTGTAGTCAGTATCGAACTAACTCGATATGGCCCAGCATGTCCGTTTCCCTTACTTTACTAGTCCTCGTCCCTCTTTAATGCGTTGTGAACGTCGCTCATTTCGCTTGTGTGTTCGGCGTCGACTACCTTGTCACGTACATCACGACAATGACTACCTCCAAAGCAGAAATTGGAGAGATCCAATCAGAAGGCCCCCAGCTATCATCTACCAAAACAACCGACAAATTCACAAGACTCTCTGATCAAGTATACCTCCTCTCAGTGCCACAACATGGTCTTGATAAAGACATCGCCGATGAACATGGGCCAGACCTGATACTTCTTTTCGGCTGGGGCGATGCCAGCCTCAAACATGTCGCCAAATTCGCCGATGGCTTCCGCATCCTATTTTCCAGGGCCAAAATCATACTTGTTCTCGCACCAATCTTCAAGGGATTGTTTTCGAGTCAAGACGAACGGATGAGCTGCGTTCAGCCACTCATCCAGGAAGCATTTGGCACTGAGTCTGCCTCCCACACACCTGGGAAGGATTGGTCCATGTGTTGTCAAGCACAGGATGCCTGTACTTCACCGCCACCCTCGAAGCATATCGAAATGCCTTCGGGCAAGCGATGCCACACTTGTTGCTGGTCATGGACTCCACGCCCGGGTCCATTGATCACAGCCCGGGCAAAATTGGGAGAATGGCGGATGCGATGACGGTTGGTGTAAGGTCTAAGGTTCCTTGGCCACCACAAGTCACCAAGGTCATGTGCATTATGATTCTTTATATGATGCGTGCTGTAGAGCTGGTTCGTTCACGCGAGAATCTACTTGTTGTCGCTTTCAGGATGGCGAATGATGAGATGTTTGAGACGAAGTTAGCCAGGCGGCTGTACATATACTCCAAGGAGGATCGCACTACCACGTGGGAAGCCGTGGAGAAGCATGTCAATGAGGCGAGGCACCTGGGTTACAAGGTTGACAGCAACTTATGGGAGGGCAGTGGACACGTTGAGCACATGAGAAAGTCACCGGAGAAGTATTGCACCATCATCGGCAAGGCTTGGGAGGAAGCGACAGGCTCTTTGGTAGTAAAGTCTCGTCTATAATTGACATTTCTACATGCTAATATGAGGCTTTAAGGACAGCAAAGCCATAACTTAGACAAGGAATCATCTTAGACAAGTAAACCATCTGACATTATCATTCTTCGTTCTTCGACATAAAAAGGGTATCTGAAGATAATTCACGCATCCGGGCACATGTGCCCGACCTATTTGCAAGTTGGTACAGCCAGCACTGCTTGCTTAAACCTCGGCGGGCTTCTTTCCTCCGTCGCTGTCGACGTGCACGGGGGCTCCCTCAATGGGTCCTTCAACGGTCTTGGGCTTCTCGAAAGGCGCCATGCCCTTCTTGAGGGCAACATCCTCCTCGAACGTTCCGTAGATGTCGAAGTCGTCCTGGAAGCCGAGCCTCTTGGGTTTAAACGCGAACGTCAGGATGGCATACAGCGCGCCAGCATCCAGGAAGCCAAAGATGTAGTTGCCGAGGTAGTACTTGTACAGACCATCATTGATCTTGACGTTGGGGTTGACAGCAGCGATCATGCCGGGCATCGCCGGGACGAAACACACGACCCAGGCGACAAAGGCACGCCAGTTGAAGCCGCCGGTGTACCAGTAAGCGCCCTCCTTGGATCCGGTGTACAGCTGGCTGATCTCAATCTTTTGGCGGCGGATGATGAAGTAGTCCGTCATCATGATGCCGGTCAAGGGGCCCATGAAGACAGAGAAACTAGCCGCAACGGAAACGAAGACGCTCGCGGTGTTGTAGAACTCCCAGGGCTGGACAGCCCAGGACAGCACGGCGGCAATGAGGGCACCGCGCTTGATGGTGATCCAGGTGGGAAGAAGACCAGCCAAGTCCATGCCGGCAGCGTATCCATTGCCGAGAATGTTCTCGGCAATCTGGCCCAGAACAAAGCCCAGACTGCAGAAGAAGGCTCCAGCTCGGGACTTGGCGTTGTAGTCGTCCATCATCCACTGAGAGATGACAGTGAGAGGGTTCCACATGGGCTCCTCCAGGTCCCAGATAGCCATGGAGGCCGAGGCAGTTAGGATGGCGAAGATCGGGACAATCATGCCGGGGATGAAGAGGGAGAAGACGATTCCGGGAACTTGGTTGCCCTGGCGGCGGGCGAAACGGGTGAAGTCGCTCTGGTTGAGAACACCGGCGGAGATGTTTCCGACGGAAGCGATGATACCGTAGACCCAGGCCCATTCCTTGGTGAGAGTGGAGATTTGCTTCGCGCCGGACTCGAACAAGGGACCGGTTCCTCCGGTGGTACAGGCCCAGATGGTAATGCCCATCATGGTGATCAAGACGATGATGTTGGCGATGATGACCGGGACCTTGGCTCGCTCCACGCGGATAAGCTAAAAGAGTTAGTACTCATGCGATTTGGAAGTAGGGTCACGATGAAGTACTCACCAGGAACGGGACAGAGATAATGTGGAAGATGACGAAGCCGATGAGGTCACGGGTGACCATGTGAGCGCTCTCAGGGAGCGTGTTCTCCATGGTGAGGAACTTGTAGCTCCAGCTGCTCAACATGGCGGAAACACAGAGTCCTCCTAGCCACGCTTGAGAGCCGTACCACACGATGGAAAGCATGATTCGGATCAGCTGTCCAATGTAGGCTCCATTCATGCCGAGGATAATTCTGCAGACGTCGTCAGTTTCTGGGCGTATAGAGAGCCTCTTCCGTGGTTGTCTTACCTCTGAGAAACAGTGAAACCGATGTGCCATTCACCACCCATCCATCCATTGCCAATGACAAGCAAGCAGATGAGAACTCTGGCAAGAATCATCAGGCCGATCGTTTGAGGGATCGTGAGACCCAGCGACAACAAGGACGCTGCGCCAGTCCATGCTGAAATGCACAAGCTGCGGAGATGATGTCAGCTTCATGATGAGAGGTGCACGTCGAGTTTCAAAACTTACTTCGAGATGGATCCAAAACCGAGGAAGGCCCAAACACCCCAGGTTCTCCGGTTTGGTGGCAGAGGCGCGATGTCTGGGTTGATCCATTTCGTCGTCTCGTACCCGTGCTCGTCGTCGTCTCTCACCCTGATCCTCTCGAGGATAGCCTTGCCCATCGTGCCGTGATTGTACGACTCAGCGCCCAACAGAGGTGTGATTTCAAGGTCGTCGTCCGTTGAGGGGATCGTGAACTGCACTCGGTCTCCACTTGATGATGGTCCGTCAGGTCGGGTACTCATGCACTCGCAGGCCACAGAGCACCTAGAACTTGTTGAAGAGTCTAGATGCGCAGTTTGTGGGATGAACAGTGGGATGCCGCGAGGTCAAGCTGATCAAATGAATCAAAACAAACTTTTTCACAAGCAGGAGATGTGGTCCTTATGTCGGCAATAAAAAAAGACGCATTTCCCCCCACACACGGGATCGATTGTACCCTTGACGACCCTCTTCGGGAAGAAGCAGGTAGGATGAGAGAGCCAAGTAGCTTATCAGATTCAGTGGTTCGACGCGCATCTGTAGGCCTCGACCCTTATCAGATCCATGCATCCCTGCCGCGCCCAGGGATCAACGAATCGAACTCCCACCAAGGACATCACGCCGACAGCCCGCCGAGGTCACATCGGACCCCGCACTTGGTTCCCGCCAAACCAGCCCGTTTGTGGGATAATCAGTGGGAAAATCGCCTGACCAGGCTACAAGACCGACGGCGAGGGCAGAGCAAAATTCACAAAAAAAAATCACAGTGATTCCCGCCCCTTGCGCTATTAACACGTGCAGGACATTTTGCAATCTTGGAGGGTCAAAAACGCCCGCGTAGAGAGATATGCGGGAAAGCGAACATGGATGCGCCCACTTGTGAATATTCTGAGATCGTCGATTGGCCAACATCCATGGCGATGTTCTGCCATCCCCGGATCACTGATAGCTTCTGGTGATAGCATAGATAACAACGCCTGTCCGGCATTTCACCTAGTCCCACGCGGTCTCGATGAATCCGAGACAATGGGTACGGGAACGGATGAGCCGCGGGGCGTATCCATGACCAACGTGCGTCTCAAAAGAAGCCTATTTCAACGTCAAAGAGACCCGTGAATTAGTATAGATAGATAAGGGTTCGCCCGGAATGCAGACGACTCCTCCCACTTGCCGACTAGGCGAGCATTTCCCACGCCCAACACCATCCAGCCCCGAACGCCGCTACCATTGGATGACTCATATAGGGAGACATTCTCCCGGATAAAGCTGGGCTAGCACCATCCAGTTCCAGTCCCGGCCTGCATCTCTAGCTTTCCACACCCTCTCCTCGACGAACGTCCGCGTCCGCTCGACGGTGACCGTCTTTCGATGCGTGCCTATCGAGTCGAACACGTCCCGCACAGCAGTCCTATCCTCATCATCTAACATCTCGCAGGCCGCTAGGAAGACGGGCCACAGCAACATCTTGGTCTCCGCGGGCGGGCCGCTGGTGTAAAGCATCACGTCGTGAGCCTTGCTTAACGCCTCAGCGTCTGCTGTGGGGGATGAGTTGGGGAGGTTAAAGAGACGATGCAAGTACAGGAGGGCCCCCGCCCGGTAGCATGCAGCCTGTGCACGGAACTTGCGCGACGAGCGGAACGAGAGGCTGTCAGATATCATGGGGCGCCAGGCCTCCAGCCGCATGCGGAGAGAATCCGCTCGCAGAAGGGTATCGGAGCAACCCGCGTCCAGCCAGCTGTCGAGGCACAACGAAGGCGGCGAAGTGTCATCCGATGTGGGGATGGTCCCGGGTCCATCTAGGAGAGAGTTGGTAAAAGCAGGCTGAAGGACCTGATCTCGAACCTCCTCCGCCAGCGTGCAGAGTTCTTCGAGGAGAGGCATCATGGTCACGGTGTAGCCGAGCAGTCGGTCAGGCTTGGGCTCGTCTTCGAGCCAGACGTAAGTGGGCACTTTGGGCCGGCGCAGCTGGACGAGCGAGACCACGAGATCCTGTCTAGCCAATGCGCGAAGGTAATATCTCGCAATAGACGATACATTTCCTCCAGCAGAGACGTGGTGTGTGATGAGAGACGCCACGTTGGACAGGACAGTAGGGATGGTAGCCTGGTGTCCTGGTTGCGCCAGAGTAACGAGCTGGACCCTGTGAGCATACGATCCATGTTCACCACCCGAGATTCACAGTCGGGTGAGAACGTCCCACACGGAGCATAGAACTCACCTCCATTGCGCAGAGACCGAGAAGTAAGAAGAGGGCTTCCTCAAAGTAATAACTCGAAGGTTTCATGCTTCTTAGGTTTGCAAGTATTCTTGCCCTGCGATTTAGCACCGGCAGCAGTGTTTGTGAGGTGTTGTTCCCCATCCCCACAAGATATGAGTAGCCAACCGCCGACACGGCGTCTGCGACCGTCACTGGATCTTGCTGCAACATCATCAAGACGTTGGCGTTCATCTCGCACACAAACTCCTGGCCAATCAGCAGCTCAAAGGGGTGTCTGTTGAAGTAGACCTCAAAATGCGGCTGATCCCCGAGCGGCACCGTGCCAGGCGGGATGAGCGAGAAGATCCTCGGGCTTTCCACCACCAGCGTCGGCCGACACTCAGCCTCCGCCGGGGTGGTTGCCACGGCGATCGTCTCGGTCACCGAAGCCTCGCTCGCCGGAGTCTTTGGCGACGCCGCCGCTGCTCCCACTGCGCTCTTGCTACCGCTGCCACCAGAAGCGATGCCAGACGAGTCCGTAGACGGCGGCAGTGACGCGTTGAATGATCGCGAGTGGGTAGGGGCAGGCGTCTTGTACCCCTGACAGACGTGCCGACGCCGGGCGCAAGTACCGCATGACGGGCGGATCTCGTCACACTTGACCTTGGCCCGGCGGCAGTCGATGCAGCCGTTGCGCGACCGTCGCGTGGGCGGGATCGCGGGCGCCATTGCTGCTGCTGCTGTCGTATGGGCAGAACAAAGCTCGCGAGAGACTGATCCAGCAGAGAGGAGGGGTTCGGTTTGACGTGGCTCGGGGTAGGATCCGATTGAGTGGTGCTGTGAGATTGGATGGGATGGGATGGTGTTGATTGTTGGTGGCGTGCGGGAATCGTTATCGCTCGTTCCCCTCACTTTTCCCACAGAAGCAATAATTTTCTGCAGCAAACTGATTGTGCTTTAGGGCCCTAGTAGGCTCAAGACAAGGGTGTAATTGTATGGACGGCGGCAGGATGCCACGTTGGTGAGCGATACAGATACTTTATTATCTTATCAGATCATCTTGACCCAGCTAGGCCCCGCGACTGAGCAGGGGTCTGGCGGCCGATATTAATGAGGGGAATAAGGGCCACCTACGGCGGCACATCGGAGGTGACGAACCTGCTCGGCCGGGGCTAATTAATGTGGTGATGGCCAGTTGAGGCCCACAAAGGTATCCATTCCGGTAGTTGATCATAACGAAAATTTTCAGCACTGGATGAGGTCCTGGGCTGGTACCGTGAGTTCTGCAGCGGCATCGGGTTAGAGCCAAGTATTTCACGTTCCGGACCGAGGCTTTGGGAGGTTTTGTTTGGTGGCGTTTTTCAAAGGTTCGGGTGGCATCGGTAGACCCGTTGACGTGCTCGCGCCTTTCGTTGTGAGCGTTGAGTCGTCCCAGGTTGACATGTTGTCCCGCTGAAGAGACCAACTGAAGTCGCGAAAGTGTTCGGCCGATGTCCGTCAGGCTTTCAAGCTTAATGTTTTACCTACGCACTACGAGCGCAAATCCACCTCTATCCCGCTTAGTCAGTTGGAGTGCATTATTGAGATGACACTAGTCTTTGCTATATGTATCGTGGACACTAATATTAATCAAGACCACCAAACTTGAACCAAGGAATGAGAAACACATGAGTTGATTATGTGAAGGTAAAAATTGGAGGAGTCTGTGTATTTGTTGCGCAGCCGTATGATCGCACAGAGACAAGTTGCGACTGAATCGCCAAACTTGCCTTCGGTGAGCACAGCCTCATCTGTCGATCGACTAAGTGGGCACGATTTCCACATGTGTGGCACATGATGTGGCTGGGCTATCAACACAAGGGAGACTTGCCTTCTATCCTATCGGGCGAAATCATCGTCACCGATTATGCGCCCAAAGTCCCCAATTCACCGATTTTCAGGGTCCGGTCGGGCCAAGTGCGATGATGTGAATCGGAAGCAGCCAGCGAAGGCTTCACTCATCGCGTGTGGCCGAATGCAGCTTCGATCAGCATTCCTGAGCTCAAGCACTTCTCTCCGTTTTCCTGTTTTCTAGAAATTTCAACACGATTTGTCTCTAAAATTCTGGACGGCTTCTGGATTCGCCAACCGTCAATGTGGCTGCCTACCCCGCGTGCCACAGGCGGTTTATGGTAGACGCTAGCTAGGATGGCTGATCCCGCTTGGCAGTAAGACTGATGACATCAACGGTCGATCCCGCCTGTCTAATGCCTGCTGGGCAATTCATCCTGCTCAACAGCCGGCCAGACTAAACGGCTTGGGGGCCAGTCAGCCACTCGTATCCCCCGAAACGGACGAGTTCAATTGCTGCTGTGCCACGAACGATGTCATTCATCGCGCACTTGTCTGGTACTAATTGAGGCGGTGATGTTACCTGTGGGGGGGGGGGATCCGGCACACAGCTGGCCTGACGTGTTGACTATGACGTTCAGCAACGCTAGAAAGTGCCTTCCTAATTGAAAAGATAAAGCCCACGCCGTCCTGCCATGTGTTTGAGACGGAAGAAGTCCTGCACCAAGCAATACAAAACACCACTTACAAACTACTCATTGGTGTTGAAAACCGCGAGATTGAATATCCATTATCAAACCTTGGGAGACTCCAACTCACAACCACTCAACATGCCTTCTCTCCCAATCGAGGCTCGCGAAGTAGCTCTCAACCTCGTTACTCGAGTGACAAGCAGCAGAGTCAGCTCGTCCGGCAGCAGAGTCCGTACCGGCGCCCGTGTTATCGGCGGTGGCATCATTGCCGCCATCGTTATTGGAGTTGTTGTCGGTATCGCGTTAATAATCCTCGCCTTCTGCCTCTTCCGCCGCCACAAGAGGCAGCGCGCCAATCACAACAAGGAGATGCAAAAGTACTACGGGGACAACCGCTCCAGCATGGGCTCCAGCAACTACAACCCGAACAACACCAACCCGCAAGGTGGTTACAACTACGGGCAAGGTTACGGACAACAGCAAGGCTACGGGTATGCGCACACTGCTGCACCTGGCCAGTACGGATACGGCGCCCCGAATAACGGAGGCGTTTCGGGCATGCCACCGGCGCACACTGCAGACCACGTTACGACAAAGTAAGGGAATGACGTGGAATACGTGGAGGTGGGATGTACAAAATTGTAAAATAATTGTAACAACACTACGATGAACTTAATGAAATTAGATACCATTTCATTTGATGATCAATGTGATGCATGCTACTTGCGGTCTTCTATGGAGAGGACATTTATGGGCTGACCTCTTTGATACACATCATGTTATGCACTGGCCGCATCGGAGAGCCCTCGCATGAGGTCTGTTCGAGGTCTAATTCCATGGTTCTTCGTCTTTACGCCGTCTTCAGTCGATCTCCGTGACGTCCAATCTCACTAAACGTACAGTTCCACCTTCTCTCTCTGCGTACAGGCTCAGACACCTATCAACTAGCGCATTATGCGATTATGGTCAGGCTCATTGACTCGACTCGGCAGTCTTCTCTGACATAGAGCCTGGGGCAGTAGCATCTGAACGCAGTTCATAAGGAAAATTTTGAACATGAATGGCTTGAAAAATCCTATTATTGGTGCCCTAGTTGCCTGCAAAGATGTTTCCTAGCTTCACCAGCTCCTCCCATCTTCCGTCTGGCTGAACCTCAATCTTTCCCTCTGGAGTCATAACCTTCATCTGATCAACTGAGGTGGTGCCGAACTCATAGCTCTTGTCATCGTTGACGAAGGCAACCAATATGCCGATCCAATCCTCCATCAGCTGCCTTTCAGCAGGCGTTGGCCCGTGACAGATGGCAAAGCTGTTAGGTAGAGTCTAAGTCAGTTCGATTCTCTCACGGAACTCAGAGGTTCCTCCAGTTAGGGGCAGCTCTTACTTCCAAATCGGCCTGTCCATCGCATGTGCGACACCAAACGATGCTGGTGCCACCTTCTCATCGATGAAAGACAAACGATATGCGATGTGGTATCGCCAGACATCTTGTAGATTGACGCCGTTATCGACTAATGCTTTGGCCAGAGCTCGAGACGGAGCGCGCACTTGGCCATCAGACACAATATTTCCTGAAATCATTGATGTCAGCAAACGTTCTACAACTTCAAGTCTTGAGTGGCTTACCAAAAGTCCTTTGCCAATCTTCCAGCTTGTCCGACTCCGGTAACTTGTATTGCTGGATGGCTCGATCAGTAACATCAGGGGCATAGTAGTTCGATACCTGCAGCCTGAGGGCGTCTAACGTCGGCTCGGTCGGGGCGTTGTATGAAGAGTACAATGTTTCTTCGTTTCGCACTTCGCCAATCAAGATCTTGTATCCTCTGGCCTTGAACTCGTCGGCAAACTCCTTGCTTTGCAGGTATTCGATCATCCCCGAATGCACAAAAGTATCGTCCGTAACGGGCCGGAAGGTGTGGTTCTTCAAATGGGGGATTGCCTTGATAAGATCTTCCCAGCTGATGTCGCGCAAAGCTGAGAGCTTTTCAGATCCTGATAGGCTCTTTTCAATCTTGAAGTATTCGCAGAGCTCGTCGAACTGCCCTTGAACATCTGCCAAGGACTTGGGTTGCGCAGGGATCGCGTTGGAGTCCATAAAAATCTGGCGGTAAAGCGAGGACTTGTTCCCTGGCTTGCGGAAGTCATAAAGCATCTGCGCCTCGGCACTGTATGCACCAGCGCTGCGGCCGGCGAGGGTGATGTTGTCGGGGTCACCGCCAAAGTACGCGATATTGTCCCGCACCCACTCGGCCGCGACCCGCTGATCCCACAGGCCAAAGTTGCCGCCCGCCTCGCCGCCGCTTTCTCGGAGAAGATCCTCGCCAGCCAGGAAGCCGAAGACATTAAGTCGGTATCCAATGGCTACGACAATTGCGTTGAGCCCGCCCGTCGTGATGAGCTCGGTCGCATCCATGCCAGGCTCCTGGGACGCGTCTCCCATCTGAAACCAGCCGCCATGGATCCAAAGCTTCACCGGCCACTTCTTGTCCTCCTCCCCATCCTTGCGCACTGGAGTCCAGATGTTGACAAACAGGCAGTCTTCGCTGTGAGTAGCGCCTTGGCCGTCAGGTTTTACGACGTGGAAGGCCTTCTGAGGGCACACGGCCTTGAACTTCGTCGCATCGTATGCGCAGTCTCCGCCGTCGCTGTACGAATATGAAGTCGGCAGTGGTCGCGGTTTACGCCATCTGTGCTCGCCGGTCGGAGGAAGCGCATAAGGAACGCCCGTGAATCGGCGGGACTTATCGTCGAACTGAAGGCCGCGGATCTTGCCCTTGTCCCCTAAGCTCAGCTCAACCGGCGTTTGCTGGTACGAAATGTTGTTGCCCATCTTGGTCGGGAAATATTTTGCTTGGTTATCGGGGTTGTTCACAAAAAACGTCACCAGCGCCCGAAGTTTAGTTATCAAACGGAAGCTCGATCTGATGTCGTAATGATATCGCTTTGCTCGTCATCGGTCACAGATCTAGTCTCCGAGGGTCCGACATCCGTCCCGCTGCGGGGCCGATAGCGGCAGCAGGTGCGCTATCGCCCGCGGGGCCTGCTGATAAGCCATCTTCTTCGGTCGGATCTCCGGCCGAAGACTTCTCGCCTAGGCTTGTTGATGACAATGACTAGACAAATTGCAATGACCAGATGCCGCAGAAAGAAAATGAAATGGATAAGATAAGAGGCCATAGATCATGAATGCAGCGCCCGTTTACCTTAGCTGTATGGTTGACGCCGAATAACGAACATCTACAACCAAAGCCTTTGGCACCAAAGTCGACCACACACCTCTCTCTTACACGGGCAAGATGGGCAGCATCGATAGGATCCCTTCCAATGTGGACCTTTCCCACCACATCAATGCCAAGAGCAAAGCTCGGCATCCATCGCCATTGAAAGACATCATCAAGTTTATGGGCTATGATGGCATGATTAGTTTTGCTGGAGGTAATTCACATTCGCACTGAGGATATTGACACGATGATGCTCAAAAGCTGTGCAGGACTGCCACATCCATCTCTTTTCCCGCTTGAACAAGCCAAATTCAGTTGTTTGACTCCGGAGGCATCTCTTGCCGTGGACCGCAAGGTGGCGGCCGAGAACCCGGACATACTGAGTCTCACTCTTGGTCGGGGTGCATCACCTGGCGATCTAGAGTTGTCTCAATTTTTGCAATATGGTATGAAACCAAACCCGAGTTCCGATCAACAAAAGAGAACAGAAACCTGAGTTCATAATAGGTTCTGGAGCCGGCAACCGCCAGCTAGTTGAACTAGCCAAAGAGCTGACCGAGACGGTCCATGCGCCTCCATGCGATTACGAATGTCTGCTGCACCCGGGAAATACGAACGCTTGGGCAAAGATTGTCGGGCTTCTTTGTGAAGAAAACGACTTTGTTCTTGTCGAGGAGTTTACCTATCCTTCGGCTCAGGCTCTTTGGATCCCCTTTGGGATCAAGGCCGTGCCCATCCCAGCCGATGCACATGGCATCTTGTCACAAGACCTCCGATCAACTCTCCAGAACTGGGATGAGGAGAAGAGAGGACCTAGAGTGTACGTCAGTTTTCAGTAACAGCACCGAGGTTTCGGCTTTGGGATCTGACTAAAAGCAGACTTTACTTGGTTTCCGTGGGATCAAACCCCACCGGCATCACTATCTCAGCCCAACGGCGCAGGGAGATATACGACGTTTGTGTTGAGTTTGGTAGGGGCAGACCTCATTAGATGTTATTCGAGAACTCACAGTGCGCAGACATCATCATCGTCGAGGACGACCCGTACTATTTCTTGCAATTCCCCGGGTACCTTACCCCCAAGGAACCCGCATTTCAACCCAAGCCGACAAAGGAATTTCTCAAAAGCCTGGTTCCGACATTCCTGTCAATGGATGTCCAAGGCCGTGTCATACGCCTCGAATCTTTCTCAAAAACCCTTTTCCCAGGACTTCGCATGGGGTACTTCGTGGCTAACCCGGTCTTCACTGAACGTCTTCTCCGCGCGACAGAAGTTGAGACACAAGACCCCGCAGGTCTCAGCCAAGCTCTTGTCTTGGGCTTACTCCGACGCTGGGGCATTGACGGCTATCTTACCTGGCTTCAGAGTCTCCAATTTCAGTACCGTGAGAGGAGAGACTGGCTACTTGACGCGTTCCACGCACGCTTCGTTGTGCTCCCTGCCGCCAAGTCACCAGTACCCCAGGCGCAGGGGCTCGTCGCATGTGTAAGGTCTCAGCAAAGTGGAGAGTTGCGACCAGTCTTCAGCTTCGTGGACCCTGGTGCTGGCATGTTCGTCTGGTGCAAGTTCTACTTTGACGGTATCCCTGAGTTCATGGAGATGGAAAGGTCTGGCGCCAGCAAAGATCCTGAACAAGATTTTGCGGAAGAGTTGTGGAAGGCGTGGGCTACTGAGCTCGTACTTCTGACACCGGGATCTTATTATCATGCATGGCAAGGGCCGGACATGACGACAACAAAGGCACGAGGTGCCGACCCACGAACGGCGCACTTCCGCTTTTCGTTTGCGACACCGACGGTAAGTAAAGACACAGATAATTCAAAGTCATTCAGTAGTATTCTTGGTCCCACTTGCTAATGATAATACCCGCTGCGCAGAAGGATCAAATCGATACTGGCGTTGAACGGCTGTCGAAGGTTGTAGAAAGGTATTGGCGGTGAACCTGCCGCGAGGTGGAGAGTCTATTGGGCTTAGACATTATCTGAATTAATATTTTGCTATTAAGAAGTGTGCAATGAATAGTAAGAGCTCTCGCGTCCATTGCCAATGATAGATTTTCCAATGCGCCCTGCCTTATGTGAGAAATATGTGTCCAAAGAAGTGAAGCTTGCTCCATCCGAGCCATTTAGGACCAAGCATAGACTTGATTGTTGTCTGATCCATTTTACATGCGACTTCAGCACGCCTGATTTTTCTTAACAGTCTTCCCAACGAACTATTACATTCCAGTTGTCAGGGTGAAAGGCCTGCCCAGCAAACTTGGGCCGAGTCTGTTGGCACATCGTTTGGATGGCATAGATACCAGCCGTAATGGAGCTGAAACCACTGAGTTCTCTCGTTTGCGCTCCCTATCAGAAATCATTCGTCAGTTTCCTTCAGGTCCTATGGGGAATTGGGATTTCGTGCCCGAAGAAGGGGGAGAGACTTACATCATTGCACCACCAAACGGCGACCTGGTGATCATGATAGGTTAGCTAACAGCGACTTCAACGCAGAGGTTCTTGGCTCTCTTACCTTGTAACCGCAGCTAACCCTACCACAGTTTGCTGGACCACCGCCATTCTTGGGCCTCCCACCAATGTCGTTCAAATATCGGACGGCACTCATGACCTCAGCCGACTTGGCCGGCTCAAAATTGTCGCAGATGACCCTATCCAGGGGAAAAGTTGTCACAGCGCGGCTCTGCAATTCGTGTGCACTATTTATCCCTTCCTCCTCTTCTGGGAGATCATCAACGTTGAATGATCTCTTGAAGTCCGGGTTGATTTTTTCGATCTGCTGGATGACATCCTCCGCCGTTCCGTTGAGGCGAAGTGAGTCGCCACTGGGGTGAGCTCTCACTTCCCACTCAGGCACAAAGACATCGTAGCCTGCGATTGGAGCTTCGGTTGCTGCTGCCTAAGGTCTCGTTAGTGTGCATTCGAGATGCCCGTGGAATGGTAACAGACCAATATGGCCATCAAGGCCGGCATGAGCATGGAAAGGTATTTTGAATACATGTTGAACGAGCGTGGTGCGATAGACTCAAGGCCGGACCTGGGCTGAGCTGTTAAATTGTTGGCTGATGGCCAAGTGGGGTAGGAACTGATCTCAAGGCAGACAGTTTCTTTATTAAGTATCTGGAAGACAGTGTCTGTAATCCGCAGATACGCTACAGCACTGTTGTAATACAATGCAAAAGGACTTCAACTTTCTCCAAGACATGCCCAGAAAGCACCAAGCCCCGGCGAAGTCTTGTGGGCTCCCGCGAAGGGCAAGAAGATTGCAGTCTTCGCGTTTGACAAGGAGAAGCAATCTTTGAATACGGGTCTGCTTTGGGATGGAAATAATCCAAGCTTCGAAGAGCGAAGCGCGAGTTGCTAGGCAGGTAGTGGCGATGCCTCAAAACCCTAGTCAAAGACCTCTTTAAACCACATCAATCACCTTATGAACATAAGCATGCGCCTGAAAGAAATTGGCGGGATGTCCTGTGGGCTGTCGGAGAGGGAAGATCGACAGTGTTGCCCCTAGAATGCGCAAACAGCTAATCAAGTCGGCCGATCGGGTCCTTAGGAGGAGCAAGGGATGGCTTGGCTGTGTAAGTATTGGGAATGAGGTATGGATCTCTCAAAAGATTCGACATCAGCCAATCAGCCGTTTCTTCAATTCATCGAGATTTCCGAAACCGCATCTACTGCTCTCGAACCCTCCAGGTCTGTCGAACCACCGCTGAAAGAGGTTTCCCTTGCGTGTTTGGTCAACGAAAGGCGTTTTGTGTGCTCATCAGCGCGGAGCCACTGGAAAAGCACGTGTGTTTTTCAACAAACGTTTCCAAGAGGTACGTGCATTTTGCCTTGAGCAATATTCCATTGAGCATCAATTATTGTCTTGGACCAACAAACAGCCGACCGGGCCACATGCCCCAAGAAACATGGAGTTTTGGCCACCGGCTACCCCTTGCCGGATTGCCAAAGGTTTTATGGCAGAAAAGCTCAACGGCGGGCAATCCTCAAAGTCCGAGTGCTTGGCGTTGCCTATCCTGTCAAACTTCAGCACAAGCTGTTGGCAGAGACATAAGCTCCGACCGGTGCCGGGATCGGGTCCATCCGGAGTAGCCGGATATCCACACTTCGGGCCGATGTCGATTTGCGGCCGTAGGTTGATGTACGCGTCGAAAAGCGGGATAGAATTCTAGGCACACCGCAGCCTACTCAATTGTGTCTCATTAGAACGATAATCCAAGTTTCATTAATCAATATGACGGAGCTTCTCTCGTCAATCTGGTTTCTGTTCTATCCCTTTCCGGCTGTCTGCCTAGGTCTCTATTTCGTGTTCTCTGCAGGATCGGTAGCTTCGTATCTCACTGCTGTGACAACATCCAGTTGTATATACGGCCCCTCCACAATCACCGGCAATGAATATGGCGGCGACGGAACCTCATATGAGCGCACCGATCGCACAATGGGCATTTCGTGCGCATTGACATACGACTTTCCCCAAGGTCGCAAACCCCCGTGTCTCCACCACCACCACTCTTTCTTCCCGCCGCTGTTTGTAGGTTGCAGCTCCGAGATGGGAACCCTTCTGCTGATTGGTCCTCGAATGATGACTCGGTGCCCGTACTCGCGTATCGGCGTTCGCATGAAGGCGTACCTATCAAGCCCTGTGTCGTGCACATCTTGAGGTGCGCTGAAGATGATCGTTGTCGTCCATAAGATGCAGTTGAAGAGGCCGTTCGCGGCCAGGACGCAGCCAGCGAATGCGAAGTATGGTATACCAAGGTCGATCCCTAATAGAGACGTGATTCGGCCGACGACCAATGGAACGCTACAGCCGATGTAAACGAACGGGTACAGCAAGAAAGCCGGGTGGTAGCCGGAGAGTCGTCGCTGTCCCGTTTCTTGGTTGTTGCGCTTTTCTGGCAAGTGCCGGCAACTCCGCTTCTGGCGCCACAATGTGAAAAAAACAAAAGAATACAAGAATATCGTGAGAACGATCGATACGATGACCCAGAAGTAGTGAGCCCAAAGGCGCCAAGGGTCGTATGCCGTGGAGATCCAACACCTAGTCGCCGTGTGTTAGCTGACACGGAATCACATTAGCAGCTCAAAGCTGTGTCTTACCACACATTCGCTCTCATGAAGAAGGACTCTCCAGGCGGCGCAGTTTGTGCGGTGATTCCGACTCCGGCGCCATTGACTACAAAATCGAAAGTCCAGAGGACAGCGATCGCAGTGTAAACCGCCCATGGCGGCACCTTGTAACCCAGACCGACAGTCAAAAACGTATTGACCGAGATGAGAGAAAGAAACAAACTTGCGGCCAAATTACTCGTGGAACCCAACCAGCCTTGAGCCCAGCAAACCGATGATGGGGCAAATATCCCGTCGGCGTAAACCCAGTAGAAGCTTAACCCGTATGCCAACGCTTCCATCATGTCTGCGATTAGCAGATTGTAGACAAGGATAGGAAACGGGTTCCGGGCCTGCACCGCCTCCTCGATCCGTCTTCGTTCCGCCTCGGCATTTCGTTGTTCTTCTTCGGCGGCTAACCTGTCGAGTTCTTGAAGCCGAGCGAAGCCTTGCGCCCCGGATGCGGGCGCATCAAGCCCAAGAGTCAGATCCGGAACTCCGCCAATGACGACATTTGGCCGTGCGTCGTCGGGCTGCTTCTTTTGGGTCAGCCGCTCCTTCAAGAGCTTATACGAAATGAAGAGCCAAAGAATCAACGTTGATAGGAACGAAAGGAATGAAACTGCAGTCAAAATGATGAGTCCACTGCGATGGTTCTCCGGAAGGGGTGCCAGTGTCCCGCGCAATTGCGCCGCAGTGGACATGATTGAGCTGACATTGAAGCATGTGAAGAGAAGCGCGTAAGGACAGGACTGTCATGAAAGATATAATAACCTGCGGACTACACTCTGTACATATTCTGCCTTCAAAGACGTGAATGTCGTTCGGATTTGCCCTTCTTTAGGCATTCCACAAAGCTTACTCGATCCTTGGCCCATGCCTTTCGCAGAGCCGTTTAATGCCCGCGGGGTGAATTCTGCCAGCGAGATCGACAGAATTGATCCCTTTCGAGCCTACATAGGCGCATACAGAGGGGAAAACCAAAACTCTGTTGATCATGAACCAATGAGTAGAAGGTCGTGCCGGCAAAACTCTAACACCAGTTGCTTCGCGACTGAAGTCAAAGTCGCGTGGCTTTCCGCTTTCTAGTTCGTCACCTCGTATGCTTCGGGCGATCAAGGTTGCTAATGGCGAAATATGTCCTAGTTAAATGGCGGATCGCATGTGTTTCATACCATCTCACCTACAAGCATTGACCGCGTTGGCGGTTGCAGACGACATGGACACTCGTGGTTTAGATTGCTGAGAGAACCTCCGCGGAGCCCCCAGCTACCCGAGCGACTCGGATTCTACAGCTGCTTCTGCTGGCTTCAGCTCGTAGTATTAGACTTCAGTCTGACTAGCAAGCCAACACGCTCGTAGGGCGATCAATCGCTCAGGCCTTTCTGGCCCTGGCTTCGTCGCAGCTTTTCGTTATCGGGGAGATGCGGGGAACTGGCCCGTCCTCTGCTCTTGTCCAGGTTGACCTTCCATCCCGGCTCGAGGCCCGAATCAGCCCAGCGAATCATAGGACTTAGCGAAAACTAGGAGTCTCACAGTTCAACCTAGAGGCCCACGCTGATAGACTTGATGTTTTCAATTCAACGACGGAGCCGAAGGAATCCGACAGGCAGAGACAGGTGCGATACCTCCGAGCAAGTCATGTGCTGTTCATCCTGATAAACTGGCCTTTGAAAAGTCGCATTGCCAAGTTCCGGCACCAAGATCTCTTCCGTGCCACAGATGTTGCGAGATTCTCGGGTGCCACGGTCCCGGGCAGCCAGGAGCGCATTGGCAGCTGGCGCTCCCGGCTTACTAAAATGAACGAGAGGGGAAAGAAATTGAATGCGGTACCGAACTTCCTTAAAGGCATGACATCGTCTTGGTATGGGTTCCTTTCACTCGGCATCTTCCGACAAATAAGTAGCCTGCGCGGCGTTTATCAGACTGCCCGACTGCTTCAACGTCGCCGAGGAACGGCCGGGAGTGAAAAGCAGGGTCCCGGCGCCAATTTGGGCTAATTACTCTTTTAACCCAACTTGAAAATCACTGCAAGCCACGGTTCCAAGATACATTTAACCCGTGCCCGGTGGGTTGGGCAGATCAGAGAACAACGACATCGCACGGGACGAAGAGGGCAGAAATATCCTACTTTGTTGAGATGAAGAGGTTTGAAATTGATCAACTAGAACCTGACGCCCTATTGATTCCTCCCAAGTCTCACAAGGCTAGTGGATCTTGTTCACAGACCTGGCGTCGCAAGTTCTGACATGAGAAGCTTAATATGAGTGCTTGGAGGTGGATATCGTAACTCAGTGCGCAGACACTGGCTCCCCGCGATACTACAACGTGCAGATCTGAACCACGATATTCGACTCACATGCTCTCGATCTTCGGCGTTTTCAAAGAAAGCCGCTCGCATGCAACTCGCATGCACGATGAAACTCAAGTCAAGCTGGCAGATGAACCTCGGCACAGAATAGTCATGTTTCAAACCTCCCGGCCGATGTTGCCGCACGGCCCGTCGAAACACGAGTCGAACAGCCCAGATAGAGTAAGTCTGTCCCGAACAAACCTGCTATTTGAATGAACTTCAGTGTTGAGATACATCGCGAGAATGGATCCGATTACGATTCTCACTGCGGCAGCGTCACTGGCGGGCGCCGTCTTGACCGCGTCGCTGAAGATCAAAAACACCTTGGACCACTTGGATAATGCGCCACAGAATGTTTGCGATATCGCCGAGGAGATTTACGCGGTTCAGTACGCGCTCAGTCAAGTCGAGGATGTGGTCCGACGAGATCCCAACGTTATTGATCGACTCGCTTTGGAGGACGTGTTCGCCTTGGCTGTCAAGGGGTGTCATGCGACATTGTTACTCATCCACAAGGAGTATGAGCAGCTGTTCGCCAAGAGCGATTGGAAGACAAAGATCCTAGTATTGTGGAAAGATGGGGAGATGACCCGACTCCTCGGCCGACTCGACAGGAAAAAGGCTACGCTCACCTTGCTCACGCAAACGCTCAATTTGTGAGTCCTATATAGAGCGGCCCTTGTGGTGATCAGCTTCTAGTTTGGCTAACGGCTTCGCGCAGACGCTCTACTCAAGATATCAAAGACCTGCTCATCCAAAACCAATCGACGCTTATTGCAGCGAGACAAGACAGCTTCGAGACTGTCCCCGTTAAGACAGGCCCTGGAGCGAAAGCTGCCGACCCCGCTGAGGAGGACCAGCTTGATAGCATTTACGGTGATAATGAGTCGATACTGAGCACCACCGAGTTTGACTTCGATTATGACTTGATCAACACGAAGACCTACAGGCGGGCCCTTGCAAGAGCGCAAGCCGCCAGCAGGACACCCAAGTCCGCGCCAATGAATGTGGATAAGCCACTCCCGGAGCTCGTCGAGGAGGCATCGCCTGCATCTCTTGAACCTGTTGCGGAGGAAAAGTTGGATGACGTCACTGAATCAATCAACCTATCTGGAGAGACTCTGGCATCCCAGTACACACTGAGCAGGGCAACGACTCTGCTGCCGGAGTATGAGGCAGTCGAGAGCAGCACCCTTAGTCCAGTGTCCTCGACAACCTCGGTTGAAAAGCACGTTCAGTCTGAGACCAACTTGAGCAACTCGCAACCCCAGGTTCCAGCTCCACAATCTACGTCGGAAATTTCATTGGCGTCTGCACCATCGAAAGATGAGAAAGACCCTAAACGCTTAAGAGGGAGGATTCATAGACATGCTTCTAGGGGGCGACTGCATCAAGTTGACGGAGACGAGAAGCCTCACAGAAGGAGACCTCATGGAAGACCTCCTTTCCTGAAAGCTACCGAAGACTCGTCTCCGTCTGCTTCATCTCAATCACTCCCCTCCGAAGTTGCCACGAAGCAAGAAGATGCGGTTGAAAACGAACATGACGGCAAACGCGACAAAATCAGACAGCGGCACAAGTGCGGTCGTAGAGCTGAAATTCGGCAACGGCACCAAAAGGGGGTTGAGGAGGCCATCGGGAAGGTGGAAGACACGATGCGTCAGCTTAGCCTTGCTGATCCCCCGTCTCTAAGAAGAGAAAGAGGTCGTCGACGACAGGCTGCCTAATTCTGTGGACTGAGATGAAATGGGAGCAACAGGACCACCAAGACTGCAAACGCCACAATAGGATGCAATCAGTTACCATGTTTCAACCCGCAACATGTGTATTAATCATGTTGATCCAAAAGAGAGAACATGCGATCTTTTATTCATCATTCGACACCCATCCTGTCACGTTGTAGGTGGGCTGAGTAGAACAAAGATCATCAGTCCCCTTGATAAGCTCCTAAGCTGGTCGCTGAATATGGTTTCTGGAATGACGATGAAAAGGAAAGAATTAAGGTGAAAGTAATAGCAAGATCGCTGGGATTTGATAATATGAACACAATGATGACAAATAGCTCACCGTTTAGAGCCCATAACTTCATGTTTACTTGCCTTTTGAAGTCGCAGCATCGTTCCCACACGTCCGGCCCCGGCGTTCCCATGGGAATCGACTGCCGCTTGCGTACTACTCATCCACAACTATCCATGCCGGTCAATCATCTTCTGCAACCATGGTCATGACTCTATTGTGGACTTATATTAGGCTTTTAGAAGACAATTTTTATCGAATTACTACGCCACACAGCGTGTAACTGTGAGATCAGCGAGCACATTCAAGAGATGAAGAAACGTGGAAAATGATGGTGGCTGAAGTGGTCAAATATGACCTATGGATTGCGAGAGCTACAGTTGATATCTTCTTTATGGCCAATGGATGAAATGTCAATGAGCGTCCACTCCTGGGAGCCTCAAAGTGCCATTCGTGAACCGAGATCCGACCAGAAGGACGCGCTAAGAAATGTCCCCATCCCCAGAAAGGGTCTATCCCGAACGGGCATAAGGTTGACATGAGCGCGCGTGCCGCAACCTCAAGGCAGTCTTGGCGCGGCGCAAAGATCCCTTAGACGCGATTCAAAGGTTCCAGACGTTGGGCTAAGCCGGGGCCTGGGGCGGGTGCATGATGGCGCGCGAAGCCATTTCGAGACCCAATGTCCGGGGCTGGAACAGGGCCTTCCCCGGCGGGCCTGCCCCTTGCGGCTTGAACCCACAGGCCGTAGTCAGAACCTAAGATATGGTCAACCAATGTTTTGTCCAGTCCAGTGGCGACTGAGCAATAGGCTACAGCCTACAGGCACGCTTGCGGGAAGACTGGTTGTGGCTTTCGAGCTTCCAGGGTGCATGAAATACGTGGTGGCTCTCTGGAGTTTGTTCTGATACAGAGGTGTATGCGTACGCTGCATACGAATGGAATATTGAGATAGAGTAGTTAGGAAGGAATCGGGAACCACAAAAGAAATACGTGGTGGGACGGCTATCCACTGTGCCAATCCAGCGGCGCATCGGTATCCGTCCTCGCCTGTTGCCGGAGTTAAGGTTGTGCAACGACATACTGCGCAGATAGGTTGGCGGCACCTCTGGGGTTTCGACATGCGTGATGTTAAAGGAAGTCTCTGGTATCATCCGCATGTGAGCATGTACCAGGTAGGCTGAATTACATGTCGCGAAATTCATTAGACGTGTTGGCAACATTTGGCTCTTCGTGCGTGACATTACATGCTGAAAAGAGCTGAATGAATACATGGACACAAACATTCTCATTTGCCAGAGAGGAGTTTTTTTTCAGTCGCGATTCCAGTTGCTACTTTCGCAGACTGAAGGCTAATAGTGGTTACTGATGTACCCTATGTGTTAGTAGAATTCGAGCACAAAGTTGACGAGACGGGCGTGGAAAGCCGGATGTATATCGTTGGCGCTGAGCTATCGTGCTGTCTTGTTCGTGCCCGTTAGCCTCAGGTGCATCCCGGACGCCACATGGGCAATTGGCGGGCAGATCGAGGTTTGGCAGGGGTAGGTAGCGATGGTTTGCCCGGCGTCCTACAAAGGTGCAGGCCGTGATCGCAAAAGTGCTGACAATGCTTCTGCTGACAGATAACAAATGCCCATTGGCCGCCGAGATGGGCGAATTGCTGACTGCCTTGGGTGCGTCAGGGATTCAAAACAGTCAGACGGAGAGATCCTGTGCCGCGTTCTGCGTTGCATCGAGGCAGCAGCTAGGACTCTTTGCCCATGGGCCCTTTGCATCGCTTCCTTCGTCTGTCGCTGGACGAGTCTGCGATCTGAAGACACGGTAGTCCCCACAAAACGCCCTTCTCTTTGCGATGTTGGCGTAGACGCGTCTTATCTTGACGCTGTGTGTCAGAAAGTGACAGATGTGAGTGATGACAATGACCGAACGTATTCACGTGGCAGAGAGATCCTCTAGTGCATTTGGAAAACGATGAACACCCGAGCTTCAAAAGGGCCTCGGCTGGCAAACACTCAGAAAAACACGAAGATTTTTGCGCTCAATGGTCGATTGAAGTCTTGGCGGCTCCGCATAAAAGGTGGTTGAACGATGGAAAAGACGGGGGTCTTTACCCTAAATGAGACCTATCCCATGGTGATGGCCAGGCTGGGCCTGGCTGAAGGCCGAGGGTCTGCAAGATGCGAAGCCGGGAGCGGCAGCTGGGAGGTGGAGAGGCTACTGCGGGGATACATGCGGTTTAGACTTGGTAATTGCTTAAATTGACACACAGAATGGTCTGAATGGGATGTTCGTTAGCGAGATCAGCCAGTGGTTCAACGTTGCAGTACTGTTGTCACGAGGATGAAGCTGTTGTTACTTTGGACATTGGCAACACTGATTCTGTGCAAGCAACACCCGTTTTCTTCGCCTAACGCCGGCTTCACGCGGGTTATGATGCATAAAGTAAGCATAAAATCACGGCTCAGGTAGCGTTGGGACACTTCGCCGCAGGAGGGAGCATTGAAGTCGAAAATGAATAGGGGTCCGTACCACGCCCACATTTTCCCCAATTTGCAGCAGCAAAAACAAACCTCAGAGCCTTCGGGACCCGACTGTTCCCCAAGTCCTAGAGCACAAAATCTGCTCCAATGGAGACCCCTGCGGCCCAATATCGGGCGGTCCTTTTGTAGCGCGTCTCGTTTTCCGCGACGAATGGCATGATGATCAGGACCGCCGCTCTGCCAAGACAACTCGCGAAACGTCAAAAGGCACTTTATCTAGTTGCAAAGGAATCCACGAGTCATCTTGCGTGCTGTTATCGCGACGCAAAGAGGATTGAAAGGCTGTCATACCAGATGGAGCAGATTTACTTTGTTCGGCGCTGTCGATTCTGAGTCGAATGTGCTCCCACCGCTAGACGATGCACAATTATTTCGCACATTGGCCTCATGGTGGGGGAAGCCGCAAAAAAAGTACCGATGCTGGTTTCTTGGCTAGACCTGAACCCCGGCAGCCAAGATGTTATCGGTAGCAACCGGCTCGGCGTTGGCAGCTTGCACACTCAGCTTAGTGAGCTGAAAGTCAGCCTCCGCCTGAGGTCTCTTCGCATCGTGAATGCAAGGGTTTCTTCCACTTCGCCTCCAACCCCGGGGAGCGGCGAACACCTCTGCACCGAGCTTGGTCCTGCTGGTGATCTCTCCACCCCTGACATCGTCTCCGACCTGGCCACCACGAATGGCGTCTCGTTTACCAATTTGTTCTTAATGAATGGAATGGCGCCTGTAGCGGCTGCCACGCGAACTGCGGGTGGCTCGACCGAAGAAAGCTTAGCATTCGAATTTTAACCAGCTAACCTCCGTCCAACCTCGTTGATCGACCCAACAAGTCGACCAGTCAAGTCGCCGCTGTTCGCAATGAACGCCGTGGGATTGCCCTTCTAGAACGCCACCAGAAACGTTACAAGACCATTCAGGGTCAACAGGATGTTGTTCCCTGGTGATCCTGCAAGGCGTCGGACAAGCTTCGCTTGGCCATTTGGTGACGGGATGCTCTGGAACCCGGGGACTCCACGAGCTGATAACGACCTGCCTATTCAAGCATTGAAGTGCAGTTGAGGCTTACTGCGTCGGCCAAAGGTGCCCATCCTTTCGGTTGATGCCTCAAGATGGTAGGGGTCGACGCGATGAGCGCGGGGGCGAGACGAACGCTCTACACCATCCTCGATTCACGTCGCCGGATCCAGCGAGGGTGGGCAAGCCGTATCCTCTTGTCGTGGGTTAACAGAACTCGCTGCAAAATGACACATCATGAAGTTTGTGCGCCCCCGAGGTAGACTTCACTGCATGCTCCCCGCCCAACAAACGTATCGCCTCTTATCTGCCCTGCACCCTGCACGACGTTCCCCGGAGGCCATCCCACCCTTCGGAGAGACAGGGATGGCTAGCTGATGCCTCGCCCGGGGCCTTTTGCTCGACGCTCGTGCCACCTAGACTCCGACTCGACGATCCCCTCCGCTGGCTGGCCAGCCAGTGGGTGAACCGAACTCTCCCATATCGCTGGGTCTTCTGTTCTGGGCGCAGCAGGGGGGCGGCATCACGCATGTAGGTCCGCCGCGCGGGTGCGACCTTGGGGGAAGAAATGAGGAAAAGCAAAGAACGGGCTACTGCAACCATGTGCCCCGTCATCTAGGATATATATCAACTTTCCCATCCAGCTTCTGCTGTGTCCCGTCTCTGTTCTCTCACCCCGCCTTCTGCGTTTCGCAACCACTACCCCGCGCAGGGACTCTGTCTTCATTCTTCACACAGAGCGCGGTGACATAACAGCCTACCCATACAACCATGGCTGAAGAAAAGGTCGCCCCGGTGACCGTCGCCGGCGCTGAGCCTCGTCCGTCCTACACCGGCAGCGCCGTTCATCCAGATGAGAAGGGTGCCATGGGCGGCGAGTGGACCGAGCCCGTCGTCGACACCAAGGTTCCCGAAACCGAGGACGTCAAGGGCGAGGAGGATCTCTACCGTCCTTTGTTGATGGACCCCAATATTCCGCACGAGGAGAGCATCCTGACAGTGCGAGCTGTCGTTGTGGGCTGCATTCTCGGCTCTCTGGTCAATGCCTCCAACTTGTATCTTGGTACGTTGATAGCTGTGTCTCGACATCTGTGCAAGACACTAATGATAATTCAGGATTGAAAACCGGTTTTACGTTTATCGCGTCAATGTTTGGCGCTATCTTCGGCTACGGAGTCATCAAGATGATCTCCAAGTCCAACCTGCCCATTCTTGGAGGCCCCTTCGGTCCTCAGGAGAACAGCATCGTCCAGGCAGCCGCTACCGGTGCTGGAGGTATCGCTGGTATCTTCGTGGCCGGTATCCCCGCCATGTACCGTCTCGGAGTCATGGACAGCACACCGTCTGGAGATATTGGCAAGATCTTCACGCTGACGATCTGCTGCTCGTTCTTTGGGCTCTTCTTCGTTACTCCTCTGCGCAAGTTCTTCATCATCCGTACTGCCAGAGAGCTGAGGCTCATGTTCCCCACCAACACCGCCACGGCCCTGACTATTCGCTCCATGCATGCCGGCGTTGCTGGTGCCAGAGACGCTGTTAGCAAGCTCAAGGCGCTTAGTATCGCGTTCGGTATCTGCATTTGCCATCGCGTGGCTTCTTTGTACGCTGTTGGTATTCTCTATGACTGGCACTTCTTCACTTGGATTCACATCTGGAGCGGTTACAGCTCGTGGGCGTTGAACATTGAGTCGTGGGGTTGGTATTTTGAGTGGACTACCGCTTTCATTGGTTCCGGTATGCTTATCGGCATGAACTCGGCCTGCTCCATGTTCGGTAAGTCCCCCTTTCCAGTTGCCTACCTCCGCCACTTTCCCTTCTCTCCTTCTTTGGACTTCAGGCTAACGTGCTTTCTCTCAAGGTGGTGCCGTTCTTGCCTGGGGTCTCATTGGTCCTTTGCTGGTGCACTACGGCGAGTGTGTTGGACTCGATGCCAGTGACGGGGATCCTAATTGGAACGGATACTACGCCTTTACTTCGCTCAAGAACCCCCGCGAGCCATCTCCCAGATACTGGCTGTTATGGCCTGGTGTGATGGTCATGGTGTGTGCCAGCATGGCTGAGCTGATTGTTCACTGGAAGATCATCTACATCGGCTTTGGCGCTGGCTGGAAGTCGATCTGCGTCTCTATCCACACCCTGCTCATGAAGCGCAACAAGCGTGTCAACTTCTTCGCCAAGGTTGCCGAGCGCGAGGAGAAGCTGGACGAGAACGCCATCGCCGACCCTGCTAGACCTGACCAGCAGGTCGCCACATGGATCTGGGTCACTGGCCTGTTCGCCTCCATCATTCTCTCCATCATCATCATGGCCCTGCAATGGGAGGTCAACGTCGGCATCACAATCCTCGCCCTCATCCTCGCCTTCCTATTCTCCTTCCTCGCCATCCAGATCGGTGGTGTGACGGATCAGACTCCCCTCACGGCTGCTGCCAAGGCCTCTCAACTCGTCATCGGTGGTGCCACCAGCGGCTCCCACTACGGCGTCCAGCACGCGCAACGTATCAACCTCATCTCCGCCGGTCTCGCCGCCGGTGCCGCAGACGTTGCCACGGCCCTGACCTCCGACTTCCGCACCGGTTTCCTCCTCGGAACCCCGCCCAACAAGCAGTTCATCGCCCAGGCCATCGGCACGTTCTGCAGTGTCTGGCTTGCCCCCGGCCTGTTCGTCCTCTTCACCACCGCCTACCCGTGCATCATCGACGCCGATATCGAGCACTGCCCCTTCGGTGTGCCGAGTGTGGCGGCGTGGCAAGCCGTCGCGAGAGTTGTCACAGAGCCAAACATCTCTATCCCGCTCTCTTCTGGCATCTTTGCGGTCGTTCTGGGTATCGTGTCGATTCTCCAGGTCATCGTGCGCCACTACTACCTCACTGGCCCTCGGGAGAAGTACCAGGACTTCCTGCCCAACTGGGGCGCCATTGCCTTGTCTTTCGTCATTCCCGGACCCGTCTTCGTCAACGCTGCCTTCCTCGGTGCTATTATCGCCTTCGTGTGGCGCAGATGGAAGCCAGCGAGCTTTGAGAAGCTCGCGTACGCTGTCGCTGCTGGCATGATCGCTGGTGAGGGTATGGGAGGTGTTGTGAATGCCATCTTGACGCTGGGCAACGTCGCTGGCGATAGATACGGCACCAAGGGCCTGGCCTGTCCTCTGAGTGAGTGCTAATTTGGCATTACACTGTTCGGGTCGAGTCTACGCGGCTCGGCTCATGGGATTGTGTCATGGATTCTTATAATGCGAATGGTTGAGATAGTCACGAGCGCTTATGCTAAACGTCGTTCATGTTGAGTTGGGGAGAGAGATACCAAAATGATTTTATGTAGCAGTACAGCAACTAATACCACCGTGTCTTTGATTGATAAACTTTTGCTTATATTCAACCTGTCAATGGGACGTCCCAGGTAAAAGAAATGGAACCTCAAATGATGTGCATGACGGACCCAATATGATGTTAGAAGTTTATTCCCCCTACGTATGTGGAGTGCCTCAAGCTACCTAGATACCTGTCCCATAACGCCGTTTTATGCCTAGAAGACCATGTCTTCGACCGTCACCCCGTGATGCAAGGCCATTGCCTAAAGAAGGGGGGATAAGTGGTGCGCCAACCATAACCCAGAATTCCGAAAACAACATATGATCATCATCAAAAGAGCCTACCTGAAGGCCGGAAATACACTCTCCTTTGATGTGTCAGGCTCCAAACCCTCCGACTTTCCAGGGCCCTTGCCCTTGCTCTCATTCCATTCCGAAGCGCCGATGGACATCCATCCCCAAATACTCACGGCGCTCACCAACATGATGATAGTAATGAAGCTAGCACCGGCCTTGTCGCCCGTAGTAATCGGCGAGAACTCACGGTACGGATGAGAGTTCATGCCGGCATTCGGGTCACCCTTTGACGTGCCTCCCGTGGAGTTGGTCGCAGGGGCCTCGGGGTCCATGATGCTCAGCACGGCACCCAACGCATCCATGGCTTCTCCTGCACCACTCGTCTTATCGACCGCAGGGTCAACGAACACTCCCTTCGTCCAGTAAAAGCCGCAAGCGCGTCCGGATGTTCCTCCGGTGCATTGTTTCAGCGCAGACCGAGTCGAATTGAGAAGGACAGGCCGAATGAGCTCGCGGGTCGATGGCACTAGCTGAGATACGACGTTCATCCAGCGGTGAAGATATCCCTTGAAACTCAGCATATCTTGGGAACAGCGTCCTTGCTCAAATTCGCAGGGCACCTCGTATGCGGCACCGTCGGCGAAGAAGTCCAGGAGGGCGGACTCGACGAGTCTCTCGGTGCGGTCGAACCACTTCTGTTCTCCGGTCTTTGATGTGTCAGCTTATGCTCGATACATTGAGAGGAAATCATCAAAGTAACGTACGTGGTTGGCCATGAATGCACAGCCCTGCATCAAAATAGCGATGTTGTAAGAAAAGGTAGCCTTAAAGACGTTGGTGCAGTTCTTCGGGACGTGGCCTCCGTCATACACTCGGTAGTTCTCGTGGTCGATGTAGTTCACCGCCCACATCCAATCCCAGCTCTCTTCCGCAAAGCGAGCGTACGTATCGTTATTCGTGTACCGCGCCAGACGCGCGCCCATGTTAAAAAAGATCCCATTCGAAATCGTGTTCTTGTAGTCGTAGCCGGTGTTTGTGGGCGGGACCTGCCATCGCAGACCGCCGCCGCATGTCTCATCGTGGCGGTCCGGGCTGGCCTGTGTCGTCCACACGGCTTGCGCGAGCGCGAGCCATTGCGGTTGGTCTTCTGGAGGATCCGGGAATTTGTTTTCGGCTGCTAGCATGGCTGCCATGCCCCAGAAGCCTTGATCATCGTTGCCGAGGGAGGCGGTATGGTTGGGTGGCATGTAATCGCGTCCGGGTCCGACTTGGTGTAGCATGCCCTCCGTAATGACATGGTTGTAGCTTGTGTCGCCTGTGTAAAACCAATAATCGATATAAGTGCCCATCATCGCGCCGCCCTGCCACCAATAGTAATCTCCCTTCCCATCGTCTGGTGGTCCTGGTAGGATGCCTGGGATCTCTCCGGTCTTATTTCCTTGGTAGAAAAGCATGAGGTCGTATGCCAACGTGCTGGCTGTGGTGAGAATATCATCTATTGTCCAAGTCAGTACCTTGCGAAAACTGATTGGCTGGCACAAGAGCGACATGTCGCGATGCATCTGCCTCGTACCTTGTGTCTCGATAGAGTACTCTGCATTGACAGCCCCAGCAAGCAGCAGCGCCGCTGGCGCCACGCCCGAAATCAATGACGACAACATGTTGAGCGAGAGGAAATGTGCAGAAGCAAGCCGTCTCTCAGACCTGCTTCTGACGGATAATAACGAGCGATAATATGTGTTTTGAGGGTGTTGTTCGGTGGTCAGGACATGTGGTGGTGTCCTTGCTGCTGTGCAAACGAAGGGCGGTCACAACAATCGGGTCGGTCGATCGTAGCGTTCTAGAAGACTGGGGTGCAGATTCGTCGGGGTAAATGGGGAGAAGCGGAGGGTCGGTCGTCACTCGGTGCCTGGGACCTTGAGAGATAAATGGTTGCGTCTGCAGAAGTGGTGGCTGGGATCGTCTGCGTCGAATGACCTCGCCGCCGGACTGCAGTCTCTCGTGATGGGTGCTGGTGGGATTGCACGGCTCGTTGGACCTGAGAGTTTGACAGGAAGGCTGTAAATAGACCGACAGAACGAATGCACTGCGCCGCTCCAGATATTCAGGGAGCAAGAACACAGCTGATCAAGGGAACATGGAAAGATGGCAGACATTCAAGGAACGACCGGAAGATGCGCATACACCTAAAAGCAGGCTTACGGGAACATAAAATCTGGGGAAAGCAGGACGGTAACATCGGTGGTATCGATGACACTTTTGTTCCTTCGCACGACTTGGCGCCAGGACGGTGACAGGATGGCTGTACATAATGGCGACGGGTTCTTGGCCTGGCCACCTGAATCTTGGGGTGATGAGTGACATGGGCCAGTTAGAGAAGAAATGGACTGTTGGCCCCGTTTGACAAGAAAGTTTGGGTCACCCAAGACTTTGATGAAGGCTAGCTCTGCCTGGCGGGCATGTTCCAAGAAGTGGATGACGACGCGGGCAGAAGCTTGACATCGAGAAAATGAAAAGGCGCCTGAGAAGAGGACAACACCAAGAGTGCACAGCTTTGCTGGGCATTGGGGCGGTGCAGGGCCTACCATCCAATCTCACATTCTCGTTGGCCCAGGGCCCGTCATATTCCATGTTCAGGCGGTTTTAGTGTGCAGGTACGCCAAGAGAAATATACGAAAAGAACGCGAAGGGAATGCGGCACCGTCAAGGATGGACGGTCTGGGCAGCACATCTATTGGGGTTTGGCGAGCCTGGGCGCAATCCGTATTTGTGAGATCATCCGCCGGAACAGCTGGGCCTAAGGGTCTTGGGGGCTCTTGGGGTCTTGACGGTGTTTCCAGCCGTTCCGGCTTCCGTCAGCTCACCCATCTTGTACGCCGGTTTGACACACGGGGAGCTCTTGGGATGTTTTGGCACCGGTGATCCGGCTCCAGTCCGGAGGGTCGATGAAGTCAACATTAACTTAAGGTGTTGAATGGGCGCCAGCGCGTCACCATCGGCCGTCAGGGGGCTGTTTTGTACGGATAGGGGACGGGAACAAAGACCGACCAACCAACCTCCAGGCTTCGCGCGCGGGGAGCATGAATCGGGTCTCGCGGACCGACTTTTAGATCCAGCCTCAAGGGCTTGGTTTGGGTCTAGCGCGCTTGTCCCCTTGCCGGATGGAGGCTGAGCTGACACCTTGATAGAGAGGAGATGGAAGAGACAATCTGATACAGTGGCTCTTCAGTGGACAAAACAGCAGCCGTCGGTTTGGAGGAATGCGCTGCCCCTGCCGCTCATCATCAAACTGCATTTCTGGAAGCGCTCGGCACAGCGCAAACCAGTGCACCGCCAGCATTTCATGTTACAGAGACTGTCGCCAAGAGGCTATATGTTTGGGCGAAATTCATAGACGAACTTGAATGACAGGCGCGCAACAAGAGTCTTGCCTAGAAATACGAATGATGAGGGCATTTCGCTTTGCTGAAGTGTACCCACAGCCTAGCGAGATCCCTCACCGTGCCCAAACATGAGGGGCTTCATTATGGAATTTCTGAGGGATGAGTCCACAAGATTGAAGTGATGAAACAAACGGAGAAGACTTCGCAGAGATCTGTCTGCAATTAGTGATTGCCGTCTCACAGATGCCAGTCTAATCCTTCGGAGGCAGTGTTGAAAAGCCCTCCTGCCGCACACGAACCAACCCCCTGTAGAAGACTCCGACCGAATTTTATTTACTGTGTCAGCGCGGCAACAATCCCTGTGTACTGGATTTAATAAAGTTACTTGGAATAATACTTCGAATCAGCATAACAGTAGAACAGGCGACGGCGACGGCGACGGCGACAACAGGAATAGAGAGTTTACCTAAGTCCCTAGGAACATCAATCGTGCACTTTAGCACAAGTGTTGCCCTCCACTGGGCTCTCGTGCGGGGTCTTGTGGCCCTGGCGTAGAGCCCACCGAGGGACAGAAATATCAAGCTAAAGCAACAGCGTAAATCCAATGCTCGATGCCTGACGCTTAATAATAGCCCATAATTACCATTCGGTAAAGGATTCACGGATTCGGCCAGGATAAGAAAATGAGTCTGATCGCTGTCACGGCATATCCAACAAAGAGCTAAAACCGACGATTGACATTTCAGCGGTGCGCCGCGGCCAGGAAAGAGTCCCATTGATTTGTTTGAATCTGATCAAATGATGTTGAACTCACGTAGCTTCAGACTGTGTAGATGGCTCTGGACCTTTTCTCCCTTCCACCTGAACGAGCCGACTCGCTGATAGCAACCGACGGGTCCTGAGTTGGGAAGGACAAGGACTATGCCGGCGCCTTCGCTGCCTTCCGGACTATTCCATTCAATAATAGGAGCACAGAATAGCCGTCCGTCGACTTTCGTCCACTGTTCTGCAACCCTTGTCATCCTCTTTGCCGCGTTAAACTCGACACTCTTGCTCAAGTCAATGGCTGGGGCGCTGATATGCGATATCATGGCCTCTATGTAGGACGTGTATTCGTCAAGCACAACAGACGTGTACTGGTCAAAGTTCCACCGCTCCTGGTCCAAATCTTCAGCCGTCCCCGGTATAAGGTGAAAGCCCCCGTCCGCTCCCTGGAAACGTAACGCTTCGTCTCCAACCTCGACCTCGACCAACGGAGCACGAAGTCGTAGGAAACCCCCGGTTACTTCACCGTAGGGAGAAGGCCCTACTTTTGACAGCTTTATGTCCAGAACATCGCAGACTGAGGTTGGATGATTACCATCAGGGCCGTACCTGGTGTGATGGAAGTATACCCCTCCTTCAACCGAAGCCCACGACCATGATGGCGCCCGATACTCGGTGGTCCGATACTTCATCGGAACCATCTCATCAGGACCCGCAACCCAGCAAAGTGACTGACGTAGTTGAGACCTCCACATGCCAGCGATGTACTCATCGCCAGCAAAGTCTTCGTGATATGCAGTTGCAAGCCCTGCGATGGCAATCATTCTGTCGGAAAGAACGGTAATGCCGCACGTCGTGTACTTCTCGACCAAGCTGCACCACATGAAATGGGTGAAGGTCTGTCCGGAAGCTGATGCTCTTTCACGACCTTTGGCGTTGTCCATGTCATTGGGCAGGCCATCAGGCCAGGTCTCGCAGAAGGTTCCTCCACGGCATCCCCACCAGAGCTGATTGCGTGTGAGGCACAGGTTCCGAGTGGATAACCGTGCTTCTTGCAGAACCCATGAGCGGCGGTACAACGGGGACTCCTCAACTTCTTGCATCCAAATGTCGGTGTTAGTAACAAGGAACCGCTCATTTTTGATGCCGCGCCACTTCGGGAATACCTCCATTGGCCGTATGGTGCCCGTGTCTCGGTTCTGGAAGCTCAACTCCGAATTCTCGGCTGCGGCGCATGCGGAGATGTTGAGCAAGGAGTTGCGGTACACATCGCACATGGTTGCTGCCTCGGCACGCCAGTCGTCTTTCGAGTCTTGGATGATGCAAAGCGAGTCGATCCAGATGAACTTGATGCCGAACCCCACCATGACATCGAGCGCCTCTTTGTAACTTGCTGGCAACGTCGCTATTTCTATGCCATTCTGGAGCTCGACTTTATTCGTCTGGAGCAGCTTCAACGTCTTTGCTTGTCCCCAACAATGAGAGAAGGATGCGTAAGCTGGACAAGCTTTGGCGTCAAGATGTTCAACAACGCGAACGGTAGTTGAGTTGACGATTTCCACTAGTCTCGTGGGTCGATAGTTCGTGTCGATATGCTTGGAGCATTGCTGGTGATTCTTCAGGCAATCTTTCAGCCACTTATGAACTGGAGTCCACGATCCGGGGCTTCCCAACTGAGCAGGGGGCTCATAAGATCTCACATATGAGCTCGCATCTTATTAAGAAGCATTAGTAGGCGCCTCGACGAATGATGCGAGGTGTAAAGAATGAACTTACTCGACGTGGGGACCATCTCAAACCCCCATATCGGTGCAAATCCTGACTTGTTTGGTCCCTTCATCTCAGTTCCTGTCTTTGGTAACTTGACATATCCCTGGCCATCGATATTCTTGCACTCTAGTGAAGAATTCGTCGCGTAGCTTGACTCAGAAACATCATCCTCCTCGTCCCATCCTGCATCAATGGTCAAGCGGAGCCTTGGCTTGTTTGTTGTCGACATCTTTGGGTATGATAAATACCAATTCGCCTTGAATGGCTGGTTTCCGTCGAAAAGCTGGAAGGCTAGACTCTTAGTCATGAAACTGCAGAGATGACAACCACTCTTTGCCGCCTGCAGGACATCATTCCTTGACTGATGGTGCGGGCGATCTTCACGTAAGACTCGTTCCCCGGTGAAGATCCCCGCGCAGGTTTGACAGAGCTGAGACTCCATGGCTCAGTCAAGCTGCATTAGCGAGGACTCTTGAAGTGGAGTTCTTGGCGATGGAAGGTGACTTGTACTGAAAGCGTGATGCAACACAAAGACTCAAACTCGTCGTCTATCTAGTGGTTAAGATGCATACGGGAAAAGGAATGCCGGAGAGAGAATTCCAGCGGAACGCAATGTGGGATAGTGCTGACATGCAGCCTGATGTTCCCTTGAAGGCCCTTAATCCATCCAATCACGTCTCTTGTTGCAATTATGCCGCCGTCAGCCTGGATCGTACCCACAACAGGTCGAATCGCGTCTCGAGCATCCCACTAATATGCATGCGGTCACCTAAAGCCTTCATGGGCATAGACCGAGGGAACCAATAACAATTACTATCGTAATTAGGGCAGAATGCAACATTGCCGTTCCACGCAACATCAATCTGTCGCCACTGTTGACTCTGATGATCAGCTGCAAGCCAAACCCTTTCAATATGCTCTCAGATTCAGCTTTGGGAAACCTTCGTTCATCAATCTACTAAGCTCCAGGGAAAACAAAAGCCATTTGCGCCATCCTACCGTGGTCTCGGTATTTGATTCATACATCTTCATCACTCAAGATGCCCGTCATGTCCCCGTCAATGCTTGGCTCTATCTTCCTGCACTTCACGCTTCGAGCCGCCGCTACAGTTCCAGACATCAAGCCTGCCGTGGAGTTCGTTGCCGCGACAGCAGCCGCAGGAGCACTGCTTCAAAGCACGGAGGTGCAGCAGTTGACCGAAGACGTTGTGACTCTCATAGTCGATCACGAGACGACAGCCGAGTACGCGTCTTACTTTACCTTTGGAGACAATCCTGTCTCTCCTCCAACTCAGCCTCAAGCACGCGCAGCTTGCAAAGCTTTTCCTGGCGATCCAAGCTGGCCAAGGGATGAAGTATGGGGCGTCTTTGATCAACTACTCGGAGGAGCTCTGGTCCCAACAAAACCTTTGGGAGCTCCCTGTTACGACTCTAAATGGGGTGCAAGAAATGACATTGAGTGCGCCAATATCATCAAGAATTCTACAAATGCCAACTTCCTTAGCGCCGACGCCACTGCCAATTACTGGCCCATCTTCCAAGGACGCACTTGTCAGCCAAGAAACGAGACATCTGGTTCCGAATGTACTATCGGAGGCTACCCGGAGTATGCGATAAACGTGACTAGCGTTGCGCAAATTCAGCTTGCGGTCAATTTTGCTTGTGCAGCCAACTTGCGCTTGGTGATCAAGAACACTGGGCATTGCTATCTTGGAAAGTCGTTGGGGGCCGGTGCACTCAGCCTATGGATGCACAATATGAAGGACGTTGAATATTTGCCCAAGTACGAAGGACCTGGATACTCTGGTCCCGCTATGAAGTTAGCCGCCGGCGTTAGTGTCCGAGAAGTTTACGAGGTTGCTGAACAGAACAACGTTAGCGTCCTAGGTGCAGTTTCTTGGGTAGGTTCTGTCTCTTCAATGTCCATCAAACCAGCCACTGATAGCATGACAGAGCGTAGGGTACGCTGGTGGCATGATCACCGGGGGAGGTCAGAACCCCCTTGCGGGCATCTACGGAATGGCCGCCGACCACGTTGTCGCTTTTCAGATCGTGACTGCTGATGGCCGTTTCCGAACTGTTTCCGAAAAGGAGAACCCCGATCTGTTCTGGGCTCTCCGTGGTGGCGGCGGCGGGACTTTTGGTGTCATCACATCAGTCATCATCCGCGCACATCCTCGGATGAATGTGGTGACGGCAAAGTGGACACTCGATGCTTCCAATAATAGCATCGACCAGTTTTGGAAGGGCGTGAGAAAGTTTTACGACGAGTTCCTCAACTGGACTGACGCCGGGCTGTATTCCTTCTACATCATGTGGCCGACACCGCAGCTCAGCATGAACTATATGTTTGCCCCGAACCACACTCTGGACTCCTACAACGAGGTCGTAAGCCCTTTTTTCGAATACCTCGAGGCGAACAACATCACTTTATCAGTACCGCATCAATCTACGGCACATACGTCTTTCTACTCGGCTTACCAGGCGACATGGGGTGCAAACCAGTTTCCCGTTGGTGTTGACACGTCGCTTCCCGCGAATCGACTGGTGCCCCGCCGAAACTTTGTCGAGAAATATGAGGAGACCTATGCCCTCATCAAATCCCACGTCTCATCCGGCAAGCACTTTCTGGGTTATCACAACGCACCTGGTAACGCGGGCTCAAGTGTCGGAAACCAGAACAATGCCGTCAACCCCGCCTTCCGCGAGATGGTCTTTTTCCTGGTGACCTCTTCAAACCGTACAGCTGATCACTCGACCCCCGCCGCTCTGGCTGCTCAAAATATGTATCTCCAGGAACAGGTTCTCCAACCATGGCGCGAAATTGCCCCGGTCTCCGAAGGGGGCGGCACATATCTCAACGAAGCCAGTGTCGAGGAGTCTGACTGGCAGGAGAGTTTCTATGGAGGGAATTACCCAAGACTTAGTCAGATCAAGAGAAGGTGGGATCCTAATGATGTCTTCTATGCAGTCACTGCGGTGGGGAGCGAGAGGTGGATTGTGTTGGACGGGGACCAGGGCGTGCAGACACAGAACGGAAGATTGTGCCGTGTATCTTCCCCAGAGGACAGGCTGTAACGATCATGCCTTCATTTCAGGCGCTGAGATGATACTCAATCTCCAGAATTGGTGCTATTTGCGGAGGACCAACGCTCCCGCCACGTCAGTCTCTAGTACTTGTACTTAAAATGAATGTTCTCCCGATCGGTCATATCAGCTTCAGCATTTAGCTTGCCGAGTCGCTCACTTTCTTCCTCAGAGATGCCTTGTTCACGAATGAGCTTCGCGCGTCTTCGGTTCTCCCAGATGTCTGAGGTCGTGTATTAGCATTCATCTTACATCGCAACTTGTAGTAGGTCTTGACTTACAGTAGAACCGCCACGCCCCCATGCTGCAGAACTCAACGCAATAGAGAACAGCACAAGCAGTGAGGCCGCGAATGTACTTGGGGGCGTCCGAGGCCACGAACATCTGAGCACCCACCGCGTTTCCAACACAATAAGCGACGAATAGAACTGTTGATGTGACCGTCTTCTTCGTTCTGCCGGCGACGTTGGAGGGCAAGAAGGTCCAGATCACTGCATTAAAGTCAGTGTTGGCCACGGGCTCGACAATCGTACTACTTACTGAGACCAGGCAACGATCCAAAAACTTGCAAGATGTACATGCCCCATCTAGTCCACTTCATGGAGTCGGTCGGGAGCAGGGCCAAAGCCATCATGCCGCTGAAGGCAGGCACCAACGAGAACATCATCATGAGGACTTTGGGTTGTTAGCAGCAATCGAGATTCAAAACCACGGGGACTTACATCGGAGGTTAGGCTTCTTAAGGGTGACGTATCCGACAACCAAGAACCAGCAGATGCTAACACAGTAATATGGGGTAGAACCCTTGAGGAGTGTCTCCAAGTTTGAAAAGCCGAATGACTTCCAGATCAATTTCGAAAATGTGGTGTTCGCTCCGTTCGGTAGTGCGTTGATGATGGTTACGAAAAAGAAGAAGTAGGTTTGCGGATCTGTCAATGTTGTCTCGTCAGCCTGAAGATGTCCCTTAATGCAATTGTCTCCAACGAAGACGTGACGTACCCTTGAAAGTGCTCCAAACTTGCTCCCACTTGAACTCAGGGCGCTTGTTCTTATCGGACCCGGTTTGATTGGCAACCACGCGAGCAATTGCCGCCTTCTTCTCTTCTTCGTTGAGCCATCGCACTTCACGAGGCGTACCGAGAATGAACCACACAAGGATTCCGCACGCAATGGTCAAGCTGCCGAGGAAGAAGGAGATTCCTTTCCACTGCAAGATAGATGTCAGCCCATGCCATTAAGTCTTTTCAAGAGATAGGCTTACTGCTGCAAGACCATTGGGGTCTTTCTGTGCATGCAATCCGATCCCGTACATGCACAGACCGGTGATGATGTTCATCCCAGCATTGGATGTTCCCCAGATCAAAGACCGCAGTGTGTGCTCTTGCGAGGTATACCAAGCTCCCGTGATCAGCATGAAAGTTGGTGAAATTGTGCATTCCAAAGCGCCTTGGAGGGTGCGAAGAATCATGAGGTGTGCGAAGTTCTTTGCAAACGCAATGCAGAGAACCACGACGCCCCATAGTATCATCACAACGGAAAGAAACTTTCCAGTATGACTCTTCTGAATCAGCCAGTTACCGGGAAACTCGCACACCAAGTAAGACAGGTAAAAGATGGTGCTCAGCCAGTTGAACTGTTCGCCAACCAAGCCGGTGTCTTCGCGAAGGCCGAATACCGCCTGCACGCTGAGAGATGTCTTGTCGGCCTGTTGGGTGCCATAGCAAACCCACATCAACGGGAGGAGGAACAAGTCGATCTTGAAGCGCAACTTCCGGAAGTAGGAGTCGGAGTATTCAGTCGCATCTTCAATGATGCCTTCGATAACATCATTGGGCTTGTCGTTGACGTCCAACTCGTCGGTCTTCTTGATGTCGGGCTCGGAAGTCATCTTGGCGTCAACAAGGCGGAATGGAGGAAACACAACGATGCCCTCAATAGAATTGTCGCCAGAGGCGGAAGGTGACCTATTGTTTGTAATTCGACTATGTAAACTACCGAGGATACCCCACTGAGACACTGCTTCCTTATATTCAACGACAATCTGAGTTGCGGTCACCGCATCTCTCTCCATCCTTATCAGCGCGCACCTGTAGGGGACCAGGTATCAGTTACACGACGCGTTGGCGATCCGGCCGGATCTCCCCCGATCAGGCCGGTCAGGTGGCGATGTCGGAGATAGCCCGGTTTGCCATGGATAAGCAGAAGCGTGCGATAATGATTGGCGTACTTGGCATTGATTTGACATGGGAACTTATCGACGCACCCTGGACATGCTGTGATCGATTAACCAATTGTTTCCAACTACAGTCGCCAGCGGCCCGGGACCCGGCCGAAGCTACCCCTCATGCCAACAGCTTACGCCAAATACTCAGTGTCAAGAAGATCAACCGAAGACGGAAATGCGTAGCCATATTCAATTGTTACCAAGAAACATTTTCTCTCAATCTGCAAGAACCTTTGATCATCCAATTGAATCACATTCAGAAACATGGCAAACCAAATCAAGTCCCCTGTTGTTGATGCGACAGGCAAGACACGATTGCGGGAATCTCTAGAAAGGGCCAAAAGAGGTGAAGGCCCGAGCGTCGGTCAATGGCTTGAGTTCCCCGGATACTCCCTGGCGAGGACAGTAGCGCCCTTGGGAGAGGATGTAAGTTATTGAGCATTCCCAAATCTCGATCTTTACATTGAAAGGTTTATACGAATCTAACACATGTTGGCAGTGGATTCTTATCGATACGGAACATGGAAATATTGACGACAGAGACATGTACCTTCAGGTTGGGGCCATCTCGACTTCAGGGGTGTCACCCATCGTGAGGATACCAGCATCGGAGCACTGGATGATGAAAAGGGCCCTGGACTGCGGTGCTCATGCCATCATGGTACCGATGTGTGAGACAAAAGTTAGATCGAGCATTTCGTGTTCTCCATTCATGGCTAACGATTTTTTTAGGAACAAGCGGAAGCTGTTGTTCGGGCATGCAAGTACCGTTCAGCTCGATGGCCTCAGGGTCTTCGCGGAGCCGGTGCCATGTTCGCGCACTCCGCATTCAATCAAACCGGTCGAGATTACTTACTCAGCGCTAACGATAACGTGATGGTCTGCGTGCAAATAGAGAGCCAGAAGGCTGTGGATAATGTGGAGGAGATTGCTGCAGTAGATGGGGTCGACATGCTGTTCATCGGGCCTAACGATCTCGCGGCCTCAATGGGCCATGTGGCATTTGATCATGCTTCAATCCCCGAGGTCCAGGAAGCAATTGCTCGTGTTCTGAAGGCTGGGCTTGACGCCGGGAAGTACGTTGGGCACTTCGCGCTCAGTGCCGACGTTGCGGCGGCCAAGTATAAACAAGGGTTCCACTTCGTGAACTGCGGAGCGGACATCGTTGCCATCGCCGCATGGATGTCTATTGAGATGGAAAAGCTGAAGAGCCTGGTTTCTACAAAGGCCGACGAGGAGAAGCCGAAGGAGGTGAATGGCACCAACGGAGATTTGGATACAACGGAAGACCCTAAAACGGCCACCGAGTACAATTAATTAGCCCTGCCCTGAGTTTCATAGAGCATTTTCTCCAATCGCCTTCACAAAGTAACCGCATAAAAACGCGTTATTTTGTCTGACTGATTGCTTTAAATTTTTGTCGATTTGAATTTTTGGACTCGTAGCCTTCTCAGCCCATAATAGCGACGGGTAAATTGGGCAACTGCAGAATGACTACGCCAAAGCCGTAACGTCACTCGTAGGCGAAGACTACCGTATTCAATGTGTTATGAACATCCACCAACCTCGATATATGGGACCCACTCAACAACAAATCGATAAGGAGAGGCCGGGCCGGGCTCCGAGCCGAGACTTGCCAAAGGCATGATGAAGCATTTTTGGCTTCATGATGAAGAAGTGGCGAAGGCTGGAGCAGAGGTCAATCTCAAAAGCATTGAGATAAAAACAGATGTATGCTATACATACAAAAAGCCAATACAGCAATCACCTTCAGGTCTTCTTGAACCTTAGATACTGCCATGGCCGATGCTCTGAACAATCAAAACATGGCTGATCTTTCACCATACTCGAATCGATCCGTTGTGTGGGCAGGCGTCAGAAAACTCGAAATTCGACAGCAACCCATCCGAGTACCGAACGACGACGAGGTTCTGGTCGAAGTTATCACCACTGGTATTTGCGGGTCGGATTGCCACAACTGGGACAGTGCCAATGTCTCCCGTGAACTGATCCTGGGCCACGAGTCGGCAGGTCTCATCAAGACCATCGGAAAGAATGTTACAGACAGATTTGTCGGCCAGCGCGTGGCAATCGAGCCCGGATTCTCATGCAGGGAGTATGGGATGTCCCTGACAAAAACCTTCGTTGTAGACACTGAGTCTAACTAAGCCTGCCTTTGGCCACAGGTGCGAGTTTTGCGGACGGGGAAAGCAGAATATCTGCTCTAGATTGAAGTACTGCGGGATGGATCCCACTGACGGGACTCTAAGTCAGTACTTCACCTGCCGGGCTTCTAACACGGTTGCCATTCCTGAAGATGTTTCTTGGGAGGAGGCAGGCTCGATCCAGCCGCTAGCGATTGCGGTTCAGGCTGCGAGAAGGGCATCGCTGAATCCGAGTCAAAGCCTGGCTATTTTGTAAGTGAAACTCAGGATTGTGTTCAGTACCTCCAGAAACATTGTTGTGGCCTTGTCATTCTTGATGCTGACGGGTGACAGTGGATGCGGACCTCTTGGTCTCCTGATTCTAGCTGTGGCGAAGGCATATGGCGTCAAGAAGATCGTTATGTTCGACATTGAAGAGTCTCGAACGAGATTTGCCGAGTCCTATGGAGCTGATGTCGGAATTGTCACGCCAAGAAATAGCGACCCTTCTCAAGACGTCCTGTCCTTCTCTCAACATTACGCCAGGGAGGTCATCACTAAGTACGGCTTGGGATACGGCTTTGATGTTGCTATCGAGGCTAGCGGCGCTGAGATATGCGCTACGATGGCAATTTGCATGCTAAAATCAGGCGGAACATGTGAGTTGCGTGTTGAATCCCGTGAACACTCGTCGTGCTGATTGAATATCAGGTATACAGGCGGGCCTGGGAAGACCGATGGCATCGTTGCCCCTTTTCTTGATTACAGCCAATGAACTTGACGTAAAGGGTAAGGCTTCTGCAAAACTCCTAATTTGAATCCTTGCTGACAAATACTCTTCGCAGGAACCGTTCGGTATACTCATGGGTGCTTCGAGGATGCCATTAGTCTGTTATCTACGAAAAAGGTTGATCTCAAACCGCTCATCACGTCCACGTACCCCTTGACCCAGGCAAATGAGGCATTTGAGGCGCAGCACGCCAGAAGGGACATTAAGATAGTTGTTTTTAACCAGATGTAAAGAGACCAACTGTCTTCCTGGGCTAGAGCAACCACCAATTCTCTCGGTGCATAGCTTGGCCGTCGTCGTCGCTCACATGTACTTTGTTTTCTCTCATCGGAGACCTGGATTATTATCTACAATTGTTGTATTCATCGGTATGATCGTCTGGACTGAACCTCATTCACATTCGGTCTTGATCGAAGGAAGGCTTGAACTCTACTGAGTAAGTAGGGAATAGCCGGGTGGATATTAGACAACTGGTGGTTTGTCATGCTACTTAGTTAAGGGCGTCTGCATCAATCCCAAGACGAGAATAAGACTGGATCCAAAGGATCGAATGGAAATAACTCAGACCCAGGTATTTCGCCCCACAGAAAGTTTTCACCCCCGGTTCGGGGAGTGTTCGTCCCCTCAAAGTCATCCAGCGTTCTTTTGTTGGTGTTCCTCTTAGATTGAACCGGTGAAGTACTGGTCTGGCTTTGGCGAGTATTGCGTTCGAGAGCCAGCTTGCTTCGCTGGTGCTGTAGCAACTGCTCAATGATAACCCGGCTTCGCTTCGCGCCAGACCAGCGAACTTCGACATCCTTCAAGAACGAAACACATTTCTTCACATCATCCAGAACCTCGGGATTAGAGTGACTTGAAGGCATCCGTAGGCTGTTTTCATATTGCGCATCAGCGACCACACGTCAAGAGGATTCGAGCTCAGGTGGGGGACTGGACTTACAGCACGATGCCAGAGAGCGTCATATAATGAACTGAGAGAGCCAGATAATGTGAAGTAGGTACCAAATCTCGGACAATTTCAGCGGCGTGAATGCACATTTGTGCTGCACTCACACATTGAGATATGGCACCTGATATATCTACTTCCTCATCCAGAGCGGCTTGTTTAGGGTAGTTTAAGAAGCAGCTTGGCTCATTAGTAGGGAGACCTTCAGATACGACCGGAAAACACGTACCGGTATAGGTTCAGGAGAGAGCCCGCATGTAGGATGAAGATAATGACACACATCACCAAGGCAGGATCGCCCCCAGGACTCTTTTCCATGCTGTTGGCTGAGAACTGAATGTGCGGTGGCAGACTTGCGAGCCAATTTCGCAGAGCCTGATCATACGTATCAACGCGGGAAAGAAATCTCTGTGTCTTGGCGGAGTCCGCAGATGCGAGTTTCCGAAGGTTCAGGGGCGAATTGAGGTGCTGGATCTTGCCAGCCAGTCGGGAGAGGCGGGCGAACGCGAGGAAACCGCTCATGATGCATGGTCCTTCGGATGGGATGTCAACCTTGGCTGGATGGTATGTTCTGGACTTCAGGTAGTAGGGCTCAAAGTCCTCATCTTTCATGTCCATGGGCAGCTCGCAATCACAGTCGTCGTCTTGGACAGCCATTGGACGGCCGAGACAGATAGATGTGATTCTGGAGGTTAAGGGTCAGCATAGGTCGAATATGCAGTAAGGTGTAGACAGGAGATGTACCTATCAAGGGTGTATACACACCACCATATGCGGCGGGACACTTGAAGTCGGAGGAACTCAGCGTGTCTGTTCTCCGAGAGTTCTGGTGCCAGGGATAATATCTTTCTGTTGTCAGTAGTTTGTTGACCGGAAATAGAGGAGCAACGAAGACGCACCGATCGGCTACTTAAGTGCAATCCCATATCTTGGGCAGCTGTTACTGCTTGGCCGGCCAAGTTCCAACTTTGCGACAAAGTGTTCCATCCAGCGGAGCACATTGATAGTAATGCTAAGCACTGGACTCTCTCAAGTGACGCTTCACCGGTGGAGGCGTAGAACATGAGGAGTGCTTTCTGATAGTATTCGATCCCAGGAAGCTCGCTCTCCGAGTTCGATGGGAGGAGGCTGGATGAACACGCACAAACAGCGAAGAAGACCATCAAGAAACGGCGATGTTTGGGGGAAGAACAATCACGGCCAGCTTTCAGCAACTTTTGGTAGCGTCGCATGAAGTGGGGCTTGAAGAGAACCGGAAACGTGTAGTGCAGTTTGTCAAAGTAGAGACTGATAAGAAGATCTGCAATGTACTGCGGAGGTCGAGGAAGGTCTTCTGGTTTTGGAATGAAGGGCAGCTCGGGCCACACTTTCCCCCGGACGAAGAGTGGAAGTTCGAGGTCGTCGGTGCTCAGCACACTTTGGCTCGCCCCAGTTGATGAAGGGCTTGTTGTCAAACCAGCAGGCAGCAGGCTCTTTGCAGCTTCTATGAGGATGTTGTGTGTGGCTCCACCGATGAACCTGATCTGAAAGTGAGATTTTGACTACGAGAATGCGGTTCGGTGACTTACCTGGGACGCCCATATGAATCACGAACCAAGGCACCGACTTGCCCGATTTCCTCGTCGTCGCGTCCTTCAGCGGGACCATCTTGACGTTGATCATTAATTGTGTCGGAGTCGTCGCTGTCGGACGAGTCCAGCATGTCGTCGTTGACGTGAGATTGGCGGACACGCAGTGGGGCCACTACTCGGTCTGCATGTATGTTGCCATCCAGATTGCCAGTCTCAGGGCCTTGCACATGAGAGGCGTTTTGGAGCCCCAGGACCGACTCTTGAACATTGGGAAGAGAGTTGAGGACTTGGGCAGCCCTCAGTAGGTCCTCGCTTGGGCTTGCCAAAGAGCCGGCTCCGGGTGACTGATGCATGGCCTCCAGCGATCGCGATAACTGGCTTGTAAGAGTTTCTAGCCTCTGGCACAGGGAGTCCATCTGCTGACACCGCGCCTCAAACGACGTGGTATAACTAGCAAGTCAGCAGTTAGTACGGATTATGTCGCTGTTATGGAGTTCCAAGATAAGGTTCCAAGCCTGATGCCACTTACTACCGGCTTGCTGATGCATTGTCTTTGGTTCCAGGAAACTCGCAAGTCTGGTCTCGGGAGCTGCAGTTGTGACAAGGTTGTTTGCCGTCACATTTGATCTACCATGCATGTCAGTATCCAGGTATATGTCTGAACCTTCAGTTTTGGATCATACCTTCTTTCGCCGGCATGCAAGGCACGCTTGCCACACCCGACTGCCGGCCGGCTCGGCGGCGAGTGGGGCATCTGGACCGGCTCCGTCTTCGGCGCCGAGAGCTGACATCACGGGGCTGACCTTGAGAGCGAGACGTTCTTGGTTTTTGTCGCATTAAAATGTCGATCTGACATGAGATTGATTACCTTGAGAATGATGAGATGCGAACGCGGAGTTCTTAGCCGTAAAGATGGGGAAGCCAGCAATCTGCCGAGGTCTTATCTCCGCTAATCTGTCATTGAATCCCTAGCCCCACTCCGCTTATCAGTTACAATTGGATATTACTGGGATTACTTGAGTCCAGGTTCTGAGAGGAGAACACGGTTCAAATTGAGCGGGTGGTGTTTTTGGTCGCGCCTCTTGTCGAGGAAGGATTTAATTGCATGCAAAACTGGGTTTATCTCAAGGAAATGGTTCAGTTCGATACGACGTCTCAGTCCCCAAAAGCCTCAAACCCAAGTTGTTACTCTCCACTTGATCCATTGTCACTAATCCCGTCTTGCCAACGTATCGGATACGTACTCCCTGAACCAAATGATCATTGAGCCCCCCTCTGCCATCCAACCCCAACTTCCCATTTGTAGCACCTGCGGCAGCAGCAGTCACTAGTGCAGTGCTGTTCGTCGGGTTGAACTCATCATCGATTGATGATCCCGTTCTTAACCCAGCCCAGGTGTACCACCATGCCACAACTAGAATGTAGACGATCAGGGGAAGAACAATAAGCAAAGCAGTTGGTGTCGTCTGGTGATAGCCCATGCGAAAGACTTCGTACGTCCCGTTGACGGTACTGCGACCGTCGGCTTCGTTGGCCGCGTAGTAAATCCGAAGATTTGTTCCTTCGTACTCGATAATTCCCCGCATCGCAGCTTCGACTGCGCCAGCATAGGAAAAGTTGCCTGAACCGTCTCCACTCGTGTTCAGACTAAGCATCGAATCGGTCAACCCGCTTCCCTGTTTTGTGAATGCATATGTCAGAAAAGCCATCCAAGCGTGCAAAATCTAGTCGACGAAAAATGAAGACGTACCCAGCTAGTTGTTGATATCATGAAAAGAGAATTGATGGCGTCGGCAGTCTCGTTCGGAATACCTGAGCCGCCCATTCTTTCTATGACGCTCGACGTAAAGAGCCCTGTGTCCGTGGAGTAGCCCACAATATTTTTGGTGATCATCGGTTCAAAAGTGCAAGTCATGTTTGGAAGAGACAGCGGAGCGCGCGAGTATCTTCCCATCGGAGTCAGGTACAAAACATATTTCTTCACCGATGCATCGGGCTGACAGAAACCCGGAGCTACGACACCGATCCCTGGTACTACGAAGGTGTGATTAGATCCGCAATTGCCTTGATTGACAATGAAGCGTCGTAACTCCATCGTTCCGCCAGCATTGGAATTCGTCACTTCCATCGACTTCAGAAGTTGGGTCTGGATGGGTGTGTTTGAAGTCTCCTGGCAGGTCACGTCGGCCGAGAGACCCTGCTGTGTAAGGGAGTAGTTGAATTGTTGTGATTGGTTTGCCATGGACGGGTCCCAGGACATGAATTTGACATTGCTGAAGGCTGAGATTCCCTCAAATCCAAGTGGGAGAACACCACCTGTTGACCCCTTGAACAAACTTTCCACGACTCGGACAGAGGCATTGTGAACCCCGAAAGACTCCTGGGTAGCGGAAACCCCTGCAGAGATGGCGGCGATCGGGTCATCCGCGATGGGGCATGTTGGAAAGCGAATTGAGCCGGTCGACGAGTTGTACGTATACCTGGTGCAGCCGTAGACCTTCCTTTTTGGTATACCTTTGGAGTCAAAAGTGTTGTACCATTTCCAAAACTCAGGTGCGGTAAAGTCGAGTTCATCTCCCACAAGAGAATCGCTGACAAGAACCCTGGTTGGGGTTAGAAGGGTTGTAAAGGCGGTAGTAAGAAGCAGCGCAATGACCCAGTTCACTGTGGTGAAGCCGGATAACCAAGGACGTTTGATGTTCAAAAGAGGTTTCTGATTCGCGCACTTGTTCCATCCTAGAAGTAGCATGGTTAGCAAGCCATACGTCAGCCGAGTGCAGGAAGAAACCCTGCCTTCAATAGTAGACAAAGCTGATCCCACGCGGGCCTTCTGCCTAACCATCAGAAACAGAACACTGTTGAGAAGGAAAAGGAGGATCGCCGCGACAATGGTCCCACACACAGTCTAAATAATGGTGCTCTTCTTTGGGTTCGCCAATAACCATTGGCCAAAATGGAAAGAGTAGAGGAGAGGGGCATGGGCACTGCAGCCCCAGAAAGCAATTGCTAAAATGCTCAGAGCTATGAGGAGAGAGTTGTAGATCAGGTACCAGAGAGGGGCGTTGGTTGTGGATCTTGGACGAGAAGCCTGAGTGACAAGCTCTGTCTCTGTTGTGACAGGATACAGGGAGCCAGCCATCATGTGAAGTGCACCCGATATCTGAAATGTGAGCCTGCTTGAAATTGGAAAACGGCCTTCGTTTCTATGCATACTTATACTGAAGCACCAAGGGAGCGCTAATATGCGGCTGAATCATTATGGCTGAAGCTGAGCATTAAATGAGCTGCTGAGGGCGACGCCCTTGCCAAGAAAGAGCCAAGTCTCGGACATTTCAATCACATTATCATGGCACAGACCCTAGCTAGATCGCTTGGGACGCCACAACGGCACTAAGATCTCGGTCAAGAATGCAAACGCAGACATATGCAAGGTTTATCTACCATTGACGGCCAGACGTGACCTGAACTCAATTTGTGTTCGTCGATATGGTGAATGTTCTCTTATTTACAGGGTAGCTGTCCTTCACATGTCCAAGCCGGCTCGGCTAGTCTTTCAACGCATAAGTACCTAGCCATGAGTATAACTTTACCAGCTGGACAATGTTCCATAATAATCGATCAATACATACATGAACCTTGGAAACACCGATTCTTCGGACATAAACTTCAAGCCGTCACCTTCCCAAACTCGACCACCATGGTTGTCAGTTAGGCAGTGGGGGTCGCCATGGCAGGAACAGCCATATCGGCAATGGGTGCAGCAGTGCGCTTCATCCCCGTGGGACCACAGGTGCTGACCTTCAAGCCAGCGTAGATGGACGAGTACGCCGCGGGCAGAAGCTCATCAGGCTGACCAGCCGGAATGGTTCCGACATAGGGGTTGAAGTTGTAGATACCGCAGGGGCAGTGGTCGAGAATCTGCATCCCAGCTGTTCCGGATAGCACCGTAGAGCCCCCACGAGCGAGGGTGAATGAGATAGCGCCGGGCTTCATGTCAACGGAGAACTTGGCTGCGCCAGCGGGTGCTTGGACTGTTACGCTGGTACCTCCGACGTTTATGGACACAGAGCCTGCCTCCTTCAGCAGGGTGATAACGAAGACCTTATCCTGCATAGTCTCCCAGCCATACGGACGACCCTTGAAGTAGTTGCCAGAGACGTTGTTTGCGTCCGCCATGGTGGTATCTGTGGCATCGCAGTTGAGACTTCTGAGGGTAGGTCGGAACCAGTAGACAATCTGATCATCTGAGATGTACGGCTTAACGTCACTTCCACCGTTGTGGAATGCATTGATGAATGGCTTTGCCATATCAAGCCAGCCGTTGTGGGGAAACCCGTAGACCCATTTCGAGTTGCCATCATCCCCGTGGGGACTGTCAAGACGACCTACGTAATGGCTCTCGCCGTAGTCGTTCCAGGTGACGATCTCAAGAAAGCGGGGCTTAAGGGTCAGGATTTCCTGCCAGCGGTCATACCAGAGAGTGTCAGACGGGAAGACCCAGTTCTTTGAGTAGGGGACCTCTGGACCGAAGTGGGTGAAGAACCAAGGGGACACCGGCGCAATGTAAGGTTTTCCTTTGAGTGCAGCGATGTAAGCTTGATCTCCCTGCTGAACGGTGACATTTCCATAGCCATCGGGTGCCTTGTTTCTGCCATTGTTGGGCCACCCAAGCCAGTTCAAGGCGCCATCGATAACGCTGAAGTCCGTGCCGTACTCCGGGTGGTAGTTGGGTGCCCAAAAGACGCTGACACCAGCAGCGCTGCGCATGGCTGCGACATCCATACCGTCTCCGGCAAAGGATGAAGCGAAGACCTTGCCATCGACGATAAGCTGTGCCGGCCGGGACGCGTATTTGGCGATCATTTGACCAACGCGTGTCGCCTCACTGGTTCCGTACCAGTTGAAGTCGAAGGAGATGAAGACCTTCATGCCATTGTTGGCAGCTGACTGGTAGGCGAGGTCCAGCTGAGCTTCGCTGTAAGAGTCTGTACCAATGTTGAGGGCAAAGGCGTCAATGCCAGCTGCCTTAGCGTGCTGCATATCGGCGTCATACTCGCTGGCAGAGCTTCGAGCACCGACGATACCAATCTGTGGACGGCGGTTAGTACCACTAAAGATGACTGAGACTTTAGATAATTACCATGAAGTGACAAAAAACCAGCTTATCGCCCCCAGATTGGCGCTGAATGAGGACATCATCCGAGGAGGGTGGGACGGCAAGGCCGATCACCGGAGCAACAGCTGTTGCTGCCAATATGGCTTTCAGGATACCTCCGAGGAACATCATCTTGGCTGATGTATGCACTCGAATGAGAATGAGAGAGAAGACAGTGGTATGTACAAAATGGCTTCCAAGACAGCTCTGATATCAGAGTCTGAGGACCTACAAACCTTTCTTTCGCTGTTCCTTCATCTCTTTGTCTTCTTTATACAATGCAAACAGTCATGATAGAATCCTGCCTTCGAACCGTCTTCGGCAAGATCTGCAACAAACAGGACTGCCGACATGTAAAGGTCCGATGACAAGCCGTTGTAGGCCCGGTTGAATCATGCCGCTGTCCTTGATGCTCCATTTTCGCAACAAAGTGTTCATGAGACAGCAGGCTCTTGCTTCATTCGTCTTTGTCTGATCATGCTTCACAGTATCACTAAGCCAATAAGAAGTCCAACATGCTACGTTGCAGCGTCGTTGCTTGCAGGCAATACATATTGCATGCAGCCTTGAGAGCATTGAAGTTATGAACAAATATCCACCGGTTGAAAGGATGAAACTACGGATGAGGCACTTTGACGGTTGCGAACAGCGCCAAAGTGTTTGTCATCCGTGTGGAACATCACGGCCCACACAACAAATCAAATAAACCCCTGTTTGTCACACGGTCTCGTTGAGGCCCTCATGCCAGTGCCTTTGTTGTCTCTGGATGCTGAATGGACCTTCCATCTAATATGCATGACATTCGGGCCGTGGGGTCAACCAGTCTCCGAATGCCACCCTACCGCCGGCCCATATGTTTTCTCCCTTCGGGAGTTGGGCTGGTCATATATCTGGGGTGCATATGCAGAGCTCGGTATCTTGTGGCCAGACCCGTGCCGCATATTAGCGAGTACCACATGACGGCTGTCTCATCTCCTACCACATGGTGTCAAGACCCGACAGTGCGGAGTAGGCCCAATAGCACGTCAACCTCATTCTCTGTTCCGACGCAGCCTCCAATCAGGTACCTGAAGCAGAAGCTTAGTAGAAGAAAAACGGGCCATGTGCATGTCGCATCATTCCGACGTCTAGTGCCACGTAGATGAGATGACGGCGTCGGCGAAAGTCGGGGTCCCTTTAAACCGACGTCAACGAGCTCACCGAGTGTAAGTCCAACGTAGTAGCCCTGGACCAATATTTAGTCTTGGCCAGCCGGATGCAGCCCAGCTCCACTATGTATTTGTCCATGACATGACGAGGAGAAAACGAAGAAATGTCGGCCCACGAAAACGAGACATTCTTCTGTACGCATACGGCCTCCTTTGATTCATCTCATCGCAACGGAATTGTGATGCGCAGCAAGATTAGCCCCGCCACTTATCATGCAGGTCTAAGCCGTCCTTCAGAAAATGAGGTTGTGTCATGGGATGGTTGTGGAGGGTGCATCTGGTTTGGGGAAATCACCCGTTTTTGCATCCATTTCTCCTGGTTGGCCGTCAAGGCTGATGCTCGGATCCAATCACCACTGCCACCCACCATCCTACAACCTTTGCAGCTTCCACCCATCCAGCAGTGGAGTAGCCTTGAAACCTGCACCTCATTGCGCTCACCTGGATCTCTCATATGATCTTGAAGTGACGAAGGTGGAACTTCACAAGCAACAATCACTGTCCCGGCCTCGAGCCAGGAAGTTGAAGCGACGCGTAGATGTCGGTGTTCGGTCCTATTGATGTGAAACCGAGAAAAGTTGCTGTCATTGACTGCTTAGAAACGTGTAAACCCGGCACTGGCGGTCTGGAAATCATGCAGTCAGCTGCTTCATGTGCCAAGCCACCTCAGGGACAAGATCTGCTATCCGCATTCGATTTTCGCCAATAGCTTAATGGAGTCCTATTAACCTTACTACGAAATAGACTGTCACGGCGTATGGTATGAAGGGGACCTACCGCTGAGACAAATGCGCCATTAATGAATATCGCTCATGGAGATCGTGTTGGGAGAGTTGGACCAGACAGCAAAGGATTGCACAGCGTCATTAGTGAGTAGCTTAATGTAAGTATGGTGTCATTGATAATTCATAACTTAGCCCTAACTCTACAAACATGAGATCCCATAGTTTGTTTCCCTCTTTCACCACAATCGTCCCGAGCGTTCTCATTATATGCTGCCGATGTTACATATCGCTGGGCAAGTAAATATTAAAGAGCATGTGATGTAAATGAGACCTCGGCGACCAGCGCTTATCTCCGATCTCCCAGCCGAAATATTTCACCAAATCCTTTTCTCTGGGATCCTGAACTTGATCTAGACTGTGACATGAGTTGTGAGGAAGTCGCTTGCAGTCGTTCATCTAGTGCAGCCCGTTGGCCATCGAATCTTGCATCAATGCTTCCGATAATAAGCATATCAGGATCAACTGAGTCCCAAGGCTTCCAATCGACGACGTCTTCTCTATTTGTAATTTCCGTGTCAGCGATGGCTGAGGGTAATGATACGGTGAATGACAACTTACTCAGCCAGACGTTCAAGGTCGTCGTCTAACCGCCTCAATCTTTCCAAAGCCCGCTCGTCCGCACCAAAAGACACGAACTGTATGGTAAACCATCGTCTTTGTCCTTTCTTCAGCTTGCCTCTGAGGGTTTTGATGAAGTCAGTGACAGCGCTGCCGTTAAAGCCAATAAATTAAATAACGCCAAGATTTGACTGATTTGATTGCCCCTACGCCAGTATTGGTTGATTTGCCCTGTTGGCCAATATAACAAAGCAAATCCATAGAACACGTGACTCAAAGCCGCCA